AATCTCATTTTGCAGCTTGATACCAGAATATAGTGAGTCCTAAACTCATCTTTGATACTCGATAGTTATCTTCTCAGAATACTTCTTTGCATACAGCTGTCACAGGACTAGTTTTTACAGCACAGGTCCTTCAGGCTTCTGGAGATTCCCTATAAGGGAGCTCCATAGGTTGGACATTTCTGTCGCTACATTTTTCCAGCAATACCGATAGTAAGATTTGAATGACTGTACTTCTAGTAAGTCTTCAAGTTTTGCTTGAGATATGCTGGCTCACCTCATTAGTCTTATATATCATATCTTCCTTATCCAGATTCTTTTCCTCTAAGCCCATATCTCTTATGACATCATCTACTGAAAATTTGTCCCAAAATGTGATGTGAATGTCATGCCAGAACTGGTGAAGATGTTTATTTTTTCCAGCCTTTTTCTTGACAATCTCACTATACTGCGGCCTCAATATTGTGAGAAATGCCTCTTACTCACTCCAGAAATGACCTTGGTTACTTGCTTTGCCCTCTTTTGCTGCTTCTCATTCTGCCTTTATTTTGGCACATTTCTTTCTGACATATTTGTCTATGATAGCATGGTCATCCTTATTCTCATCATCATCCTCACCATTGTCCTCTTTCTCATTCTCCTCATTCTTCTTCTTCTCTGCCTTCTGTTGCTGCCCATTCTGCGGCACCTCAATCTTTTTCTTACCACTCTTCTGGTGTCTCCTATTCTTGCCATTGCCATTATCATTGTCCTACCCAGTTGATCCATTATATTCATATATGGTATCTCTGCAAGGCAGTATGTAAATACTCTCTTGAGCTTGGCTATTGTCTTCTTCCATCATGTCAGGAACTGAAGTTGCACCAGTTATGGGTGGAGAGCCAGTGATGCTTAGGTTAGAAGTAGAGCTCAGTTTTCTAGCCCCCTCTGCTTCTCCTGTAGACTGCATTGGAAATGGGCTGCTTGTTGCTCTAGCTATAGTAAAATTAGCTAAAGAGATAAATCAGGTCTGAGTCAACAGCCTTCTTAGTTACCAAATTGGTAGCTAAACTGCAATATCTGATAAGTCACTATTAGAGTTTTGATCTTTACAGTTACCTATTTAAACCCACAGCTCCAGAATTTAATGCAGGATATGATTTCATTCCTTCCATCATGTCCCATTGCTCTTGCATTCAACCCAGTCCAGTCCTCTGCAATATGTTGCATATTTGAATATCAGTATATGAGATGTCCTTATCAGAGGATGAGTTATGAAATGCTATTGATCACAGGTGAAGGATCTCATTATTCCATTGTCTTTTTCTACTTATCTAGCTTTGTTCAAAAGCATGCCGCTCATAGATCAGATGCTCAACTCTCTCACTGCCCTCAGAATTGGTGTTGACTTGGCCATTGCTGACAATGCTGCTAACCTTTCCCCCCGCATATAGTGATCTGCCTTCAACTATGTACCAATATGATCTGTATCCACCTTCTCCAAAAAGGCCTCCTCCAAAGAACTGATACTATATCATATTTAGTGGCAAGTATACCAGTGTCTTTGGCTACCAGTATGTATTCTCTTCCTGCTCTCTCATTTTCAATCTCTCAGCTAGCAATTTTAGTCACTACACTGCTGAAGCAGTCATCAGGGAATCTGGTTCAAGTCATGCATCTTACTAGGGTTGGTCTTTTGCATTTGAAGCCTGGAAGTCTGCCTGTCTAGTAGACACTATCACCAATCCAGTTTACACAACAGTCGAGGTTGCACAATCTGCAGAACAGCCTTGAAGTGAAGAGCTCATTATTCTGAGTTTTTGGAAATAACAATGTGCATAAAAAGTATGATTGCACTCTGCATTCTTTATGAATGCATCAATATTAAATTAGCAGAAAACTAACAATAGAATTTAACCAACCTGAACAAGTAGATAGTACAAGGTTAGCCTTTTCCTATCTAATTTTTGTTGCACCTCCAGATATCTCTCACAAGAGAATCTGAAGAGCTTTATACAGATCTTACATTTGAGCTCTTTTGAATCACTACCTAGAATACCAGAGACTACACAAACATGGTATATAATTTATATGAGCATAGATTAGATAGTGCCATATACTTACTAATATGGCTATGAGCATATGAACAACTTTTATTGTCACATGTCAATCTATCAATCTGCTTGAGACAAGGAAGTTGTTCAAAGCAATCAGAGGGACATTCTGAAAATGTTAGAACAGAAAATGATGCAGAAAGCATAAGATGTACAAGTAAAAATTTGATTAGCAATGATACAAGCATAAGTTCTGCTAGCTGGCTTCAGATTCGAAGCATCAAGTGAGGTTGACACCTGATAGTTAGAGTATCCAAGAGATTATAAGACTTTATGATGAATGACATCTTGTCAAAGATCAGCCAATGCTACATTACTGCTGTGTTTAATCAAAGCTGGCTTGCAGATATGATAATGAGGTCCATCTTTAATTCTTATTTCTTTCTTCATTTGTTGATTGAGTCACACTGTCTGTTGTTATTGCAGTACTATCTTTCAGGTTATTTACAGCATTCTCTTGATGCCTGATATTGACAATTCTATATGTCATCTCATCTGATTCCTTATTTTTATCTGACAGAGTTATTCTCTGTAGCTGAATCTCCATGCCACCATAGAGTACAATAATGACATGAGTAAGTACACTCCTCTCTTTTTGTCAGTCACATCTTAATAGAACTTATTTAAGAATAACATGCCCTTAAAGTGTATAAAATAGTTTGTCAATTTAGGTCTATTCCCTTGATACTCTGTTACTGATTTTTAATTATTGTATCGATAGATATGCAAGTTTGCCTCCAAAACTTGAGAACAGTGATAACAAGAGCTTGAGGTATAGTAAGGTTGGTCAGAGGAGCTCATATAGACAGACAATATAATAACATATATTATATTCTTAGAGATATTCTTCTTGATTCAGGAAGCATTGTGATGATATCTCACAGCTTTCTTTATTGAAAACTGACTAGTAATGGAGTCGACTTCAAGTAAATGAGACCTGAGATCTTGAGTGCAGTTTTCTCAGACACTGTGATTTATCAACCATGTGAAGATGACAAGACTACAATGCTCGACCACAGGTGTTTCATTAATTCTGGACCTAAATATTGAACTACTATAGTCTCTTCAGATTCTGCTATTCACATAATACACAGGAGAGACTCAAAAATGTTGTCTCAGTTCTATAGAGTTTTCTTGCATAGTGCAAAATATTACCTAAGTTATGAAAGAGCTGATAGTGGATATTATTGATATGCCAGCTGCACTTCATCCAAGATGCTGCCTAGTCTCCTATGAAGGAGAGTGACAGTAACATAGTAGACATAGTTGCTAGTGACATGCATGAGTAATTACCTCACTTACATTCTCATTTAGAGATTCTCATCTTTAGATCATTATATTAACCTTTTTATTTTTCTTCTCTTTGCTTTTCTTAGTGCAAATTTATTGATAATATAGCCACATATTCTTAGATTTTGGGACTTCAAGCTTGATCTCCCTGCTGCGCTATGACCTTTAGCTAACCTCACATTGATCGAAGTCTTCAGAGGCCTGAGAGTGAATTTATCAATTCAAATATTGCTGCATACCTCTATGGATCCTTGTCTCTAGAAGTGTGATAAATATTGCTATTGGTAAAGTGCACAAAGTCTCAGTACTCTTTAGTAGATAATACTGGGGACATTTTCATCTATTCGATATACTTGATCCAATACCAATTAATGATGTCACTTCTTTCTTGCCTAAGTACTATCACATTTGGCACCACAATAGTGGACAATGCATTCAAACTGTGTAATGACATTATATCATATCTTGATTGATGACTCTAGCAAACAATGAATAATAGCAAAGGGTATGTACTTCACTTCTCACTATCTTCTATAGATATTCAAATTGTATATTTTTTCTTTCACATTTAGCACAGTACATTATCAGTTACTCAACCTCTGCTAGAGCTCTATTCATGATCAACATTGATGGCATGACTGGTCTATTCTTCATCATGTTGCAATGTCAAAAGTGGATGATCATTCAAGCCGTTACCCTCTAACTAATCGTAATGATTGTGAATGTAATTCTAATGACTCGAGGTATGCTTCTCATCTTCGCTTCTGCCTAGATTCCCAATTGTGACTGTTACCTGCAAGTGTATGCCCTGTTTAATAGGAATCGAACCCTTCTATGGGTACTTATTATTCTATTCTGAGGCAAAGTTGGCTATATATCTTATGTTCTAAACTATGTCATGCCCAAACTAACTTACAATAATGATTATTTTGTTACATCAAATTTACTAATTTTCATATCTTATTGGTATGTTCATGCCCCCTTAATCAATGGCTACTTGATTGACCATGCTGAGGGCCACCACAATTATATTGTCTTGGCAATAACTCTTGTAGGATCTTATTGCTAGTATTCATGACATTTCTTTTTCTTCTTACACTTGTGAAGTTCTTCAAGGCTCTCCAGCATGGATGGGGTCATTGGCCTATCTGTGACAGTTTGTATCAGATGGGACATGGGCATATGCTCTCATATCAGTATTTATATAATTCTCCTTTGACAATGTCCATTTTTTTTTCAAAACCCAGATTGACTCAAGTTTATCTTTTTTCGATAGCTACAATGTTCCTGAGCTCGATGTTATACAAGTTCATTCATTTACAGGGGATTTGCTTCACATGAGTTTTTCTTTCATTTTCTTGTCGCTTCTCTTTTGAGAAGGAAGCTGAAAGTGCAGCAGTTGCTTTAAGCCTCAAGTACGGTAATCTTCGGGGAGGAGATGTTCAACGCTTCCTTAGCATTGCCATATCCGTTTGATAGCTTTAGCTCCGCCCGTACCATAGATAAATAGACCACTGGTGTAGGCGGTGTACTGGTACATGATGAAATCTCTCAAGACGATCCACAAGGCCTTCCATTTTCGGATACTTGTCGATGTCCTTGAGGCTTTCGCCTCTTTTCGTCTCTCTGAAGTTGACAACCATCATAGTATTAGTACTAGCTTGAAACTATGCCAGAGCACGAAACAAAAATAGCTGCAGCTCCCTTCGACAATGCTTCCGCGACTGTAGTCCTCCGGACTTGTGACAATGTCGACTTTCATGTCTTCAGAGAGATCCTCCTCGTTGCATCTCCCATCTTCGCTACGATCTTCTCCCTACCGAGCTCAGACTCATACAATGGCGCTGACTCAAAGGATGGCGTCCCTGTTATTTCCATATCTGAGGACCAGGAGACGATGGACTATATCCTACGTCTTTGCTATCCTTTACCTGGTCCCCCATCACTCACCTCTGTGTCAGTTGCAGAGAAGGTCTTTGAAGCCGCTATGAAGTATGAAATACAGAAGGTGTTAGATATAGTTGAAATTGAGGTAATATCACTGGGAAGTGCAGACCCATTACGCTTGTATTCCTTCTCCTGCAGGATTTCTCTGGAGCGCGGAGCAAGACGGGCAGCTGAGCTGCTACGCGAAAAGTATCGGCCCAGTGCTATATGTCCCGGATGTATCACATCCTACGGAAAGAAGGAATGTAAAGGAAATCACCCAGCGACTGACAGAGACTTCTGTATGCTGGTCGAGACACTGTACACTGACAACCCCTGCGGCTTGTCCGCTGGTTGTCTTTTTCGCTTAGTCCGATTCATATGCTTTGGCACGCAATCCACGTTCTGCAAGCCAGATCTTGCGAAGCCGGAGCCCTCAAGGAAAATGTCCTACCATGGACAATATCCCGATGCGACGTTATTGGTCCATCATCCCCCTGACATCATCTTGCGGTCTGCAGATATGGTCGATTTTCCTGCTCATAAACTTGTGTTGCGCATGGCATCCGCTCATGATATCGTTGATCGCTGCGTAGCAGGAGGTTCTCTTTCCCCGGAGGGGATACCAGCCATCGACTTAACTGAGAGCAGCGTTATTGTCAGGTCGCTCCTCGAACGCTGTTACACTGGTGGAGAAGTCGGCACCCGCGCTGTCGACGCTCATACAGAAATCCAGATTTGGCGCGTGGCGAGGAAATACAAAATGAAACGGCTGGCAGAAGCAGTGAAGAGTCAACTTCTGTCCTCAATACGCACCTCTCCACTCAAGACGTACTTCATAGCGGTCTCATGTCATTGGCAGAAAGAAGCTCAGGAAGCAGCTCGTGATATCGCTTCGCAAGGAATATGCTTGTCCACAAGCTATGTCACCGAGATGGATGGAATGGGAACTCTTGATGCCTATCGAGAACTTCTTCGTTTCTGCCACAAAGTTTCTCAGTCACAGTACCAAGTTTTACAGGCATTGTCTCCTGATATGCCGAAATCGGAACAAGGAGACCCATGGTACGATCCAGCGTTCTCTCGTCCTTCCAAGATTCCAGTAGGAATCATCCTCCGCCTACTGAATGATCTAAGAGGGATTAACGGTTACTGTTATGCAAGATTTGTGGACGAAAAGTATGACTCCAATCCTATGGCATTCGGAAGAGCGCTGCTCTCAAATTACGTACGGGTGGAACAGCAACTTTTGGACAGATTGTCCAAGGTAATTAATTTTCAATTACGTGCTACGTTCTTGCTCTGACGGAATCATCCAGATTACCTTGGAATTATGAGCACAACTCGTAGACGTATGCCCGAGGTCTGAGCGTAATGTCGCCATACGTGACGTGAATCCGGAAGAAGATGCGTGTGATCGAATATTCTTAGTTTTCAGGACCTGGAGCTCGACATCCTGCCTATGACTCTTCTCATCACCTACTAATCACTGTCTGATCGTCCTTGACTCCCTCCGTATTTGCAACCCTTCACATTCTCTGTTTGTGGCCGCAACATATTTAGCCTTGCAATGGGCTGCTCGCAACCCGGGAACACACTGCCAGTCGAAACCCTCCTGGCTGTCGAAAGCAAAAGAACACCTTGTCGACCTTCTAGAATTCGAAAACTTGTTCTCTTCACGTACAGCTGAGCAATGCTGTCTTAGATGTCATTCCCAAGTCGTTTTTGAATGGATACCCGCCTCGTCTCTGATGACCCTTCGATCATGGGGATTCGAACCCTGTCTCTCGCTGACGTCCAATTCTGTCAAGTTCCAGACATGCCGTACATGTACGTTGTCCGTTACGACTTATAGCGAAACGACGGGTTAAGGGATGGAGGTTTGAAGGACTTTTAGAGGGATAAAATCTGTCTAGTGCGCAATATAGTTTCCTCTCAACTCGGCTCGTGATCGACTAGTCTGACCGCCTACTCCTCTTTGATATATGCCATCTACTGCCCTGCATACGTACGTTGACCTCATGCGAATTGGAATACTGAAGCCCTGGAAGGACTGAGGCCGAATTCATCGATTCAATTGCTGCATGCCTCTGCGCGACGTTTTCCTCCTACGAGTAGTACTCCATTTTCGTTGGCGACACTTGGATGCACTTGGTCCAACACCGATCGATGATGTCACCCCTTTCTTGCCCACTGTCGGGACTGGCGCCACAACGCCTTCAAAGTCTGTAATGACGTCATGCCATTACTCTACGCTCTCCGCTCCAGGAATGGAGTCGTCATCCCTGTCAAAGGGCAGTCACCTACTCCATGGCGTGTCCTCGCCGTCCTACGTCGCCGTGCCCCGGCCACTTAGCGACTGTGTGGGAAGACGGGGATAGAGGTACCGAATGAGTATATAACCACACATCCCTTCGAAGGAGGATGCCCACAACTCACCCACATACTTCCATATACCATTCGCATTTACGCTCTCTTTACCATCATGTCTTCCAACAACACCGGCGAGCCAAAGTAAGCCTCCTCCCCCTCTCCCTCTGTTCTATCCTCCACTAGGAATGACCTCTGACCCATGTCTTCATCAGTAAGACCACCGGTCAATACCACTCCACCAAGGGCACCCTCGTCGAGTCCATCGGTAACCTCACCGGAGCCACAACTTGGCAACAATCTGGTAAAGAGGAACACGCTCAAGGCGAAACCGAGTACAAGGCTGCTCAAGCCAAGGGCTACGCCGAGGGTGTCACGGATCGTATCGGTGGAAAGAAGGATGCTGTTGTTGGTGCGATTTCGGGCGATAGGCAGCAAGAGACCGCTGGTAAGTGTTCCGTTCATGTTAAGACTTGGTGTACGGAGTATTGATAAATATTTCCCTTTGTAAAGGCAACGTTCGTCGGGATAAGGGGGAGGCGCAACAGAACATCAATGCACCCCAGTAGATTCGAACTCACTATATTCCTTATAATCGGACGCAACGATGTATCATTGACTCGGTTTCTTTATAGCGTTGTAATACTAGCATGATTTGTGAACTAACCGTTCCTACGCATATGAATCGACTCTAGCGGTTGAAAATTTTCTGTTCTATTGGCCTTCATTTACTTCGGTCGACACAAATGGTTAACTGAGTGAGCAGCACGCTTAAAGCTTGCTACCACAAGGCGCAAGCTTCACACGGAGATGTACTGATGTGCTTAAGGTTTATAGCTCGCTGTCCTTGATCATGACATTCTCAAATGGCTTATTACTTTCAAGACTTATCGAGACGAAATTCTATTTGGATTGACATGATAACGTCCGAAGGAAAGGTGATCCTGCGGAACCATTAATGGGATTGTCTTGTGGTAACACTTCGGGCAATGAAAGGAAATATTTGGCCCTTGTTAAAACTACAGGATCCTCAAGAGCGCAATGCTATATGCAGCTGTATTCCATACTTACGTGTCTCCTTTCAGATTTAAGTCCATTTTGCTTTTTCTTCGTCGTCAAATGGAGGACTGCTGATTGAACTTACGAGGTTGAAGATGTCAGGTCTACACGACGAAACTCACGAGATGACCTCAAGGCGCTAGCTATCATTTTGTATACAACGCATCACCGAAACGCAAGCATCCCGTTCCTCAGAAACTATCCCCTCTCCTATCAAGCCCTCAGCACATTTTCACTAAACCCACGCTCTTCAAAACGGCGCAATCGAAGTAGTCAAAGAACGAACCTTGTGAAGCCGTGAACTGCTTGAGCGTAGAAGCCAGCTCTCGTGCATGCACGGCATCAGTAGTGAGAGACTGAGAGTTGAGTCGAAAGCCAGTCATCCGAAGGCAAGGCAGACTCGGAGAATGAATTGGAGAAAGTCTTTCTCCAATCGAAGAAATCGACGCACGTGGGAGAGTGCCTGAGAATCAACACAACGCGTCAACGCGCCAACCCTATCAGTGAAGACCATAACGTCAAATGAGTACTTCAGCCCAAATGACTCCACCATTGCGAACACACCTCACGGTTTTTGCAGCAGGTTAAGGTGGTGTCGACTTCAGGGAGACTACTGCAGTACTCCAACGTCTCTGGGTCAGCTCATGAAGCTGCGTAGCTCAGTACGTACCAACCCACCGAAGAGCGTAGAAGACACCATTTCCAGTTGTAGGTGCGACTCATCTTCTCCATCTCCTCTGATATCTGTCGCTGACCTTTGTTCACTGCTCAAGGCTATTACCTGGAGATGTCAGGGAGCTGTTTATTCACGGTTGCGTCACTGGGCCGGATGCGTGACTGGCATTCCCCCAACCATTCCCCAGAATACTACCCAGCCCGATACGCCTGCACATGAGTGGGCCAGCAAGACGACCTCCATGCTCGACCCCGACACCACTAATACCGTCTCCACTATGAAACTGACTACAAAGGACATGCTCGACCAGCCGCCGTCTTTTCAGACGACAGTCTCTGGCTCCAGCGCTGCGAGTACACCTGGATTCCCTGGCGCACACCATGAAGATCCTGAAGAGAAGGCAGGCGTAGGAAACGTCGACTCCGGAGAAACAGCTCGTCGAGCTTCGCAGAGTGTTTAAGATGCTGACCAGTGTGTGGGCGAGATGGCGGCTCAGTATCTTCCCAAGAGCGTCGTTGATACCGTTGCTGGCTATATGCGTGAGCAAATCCTAAATTTCGTACCCTACTCTTCCAGTTCAGTCTCCCCGTCCGCGCACATCCTTTGTTTCATGATTTCCGCCCTCACTTCCTTTACTTTTGATCCGATTAGTGCCCTTTTCGTCTCACCATACTAGAAACGAGAGATTCCTGTAGATGTTACCGTGTCCATCAGGCATATTCTCGTTTCGTCGTATGTGATCGTCCAGTGTCCATTTTCGTATGCTTGTGATATGATTTCTTAGTCGAAGAGGCACTTAGGTGCGTTTCTTCCTCTCAGATCCTGTTCATTCCAATCCGGGTGATCAACTCGAAAGACACGTTGCCGGTGTCTCGAGTCCCTCGTTTTTATTTCGCTTTCGACGTCTTACCTTGTTCCCTGCGTATTATCCCATTCACATCTCACTACCCATCTACGCCAGTTCCCCGTCCACTGCCTGGTTCCGTACAGGCATCTTTCGACAGCATCCCTCTCTAGAGATTCATTCCCTCCCTAGTATTGGACTTACTGGCTCATGCTCTCACGAACGCATGGCTGGTGTCGGTGCTCATCCCGGTCCAATCGCTGAAAGTGTCGTTGCGAACCCTCCCGACGACTGCGGTCGTCCGGCTACTCTAGGCTCAAGCATCTTGTTGGGCACGTCACGCCCCACAACACGGATTTGTTAAAGCTTCAACACACGACGTACCTCGGCAGCAGTCATTTCCGAGCACTGAGCTTGCGGGTCATGACTCTCATGAGCAGGTGGCGGGCGTCGTTCGCTTCTTCACCAGAATCACAAAACTCCCAAACGATAACTGTCAGATGACCCATGTAGGTCTCGGTGGAATGTTGGATGCTGACGCATGATTAGCTGGTGCGATTGCTGCAGTGGGTAGCGTTGGGATAAGATGAAGAGATTCGGTTCGTACACGTGTTATTTGCAATCTGTGTCTAGACGCTAATGTCCAAACGATACATTATTCCTTGGCGTCGGCAGCAGTAAGAAAACGAGGTCCCAGCCAGAAAGGGCTTCTGTCTTTCGAAACAGCTATCAGTTCTCTACCCGAGAAGCAAGTGGAGGAAGCGAAAACTGTAGGTGCGACTCGACTAGCGGTTGAAACGAACCCTCGTGCACCAAAAGACGTGACGGAGCCTTTAGAGGGTACCGAAGGTGTTTGGCGAGGCACTGCAGCAGCAGAGGATGCCGGTACTTCCACTGGCAAAGGGGGGCAAAGCGTGGTCACGAGATTGTACGAAGAAAGGGCTCCCTCTACGACAAAACCTGCGAGTCCTGGATAAGAAGGAACCTCGGTTAGTCATACTGTACATGCATGTTTCGTGTTATTGATCTGTTAACTTCCAGTACCTCGTTAAATAGCGCGTTGTTCAGGCGCTGTTATACTTTCGAATGTGCATAATACCCATTTTCATGCTCGACTTGTCTCCGGATCCGCATTCACCAGCTCGATAGCTCAACTATGATGCTTCTTACATCCCTCACTGTTGGTCGTGCCTCGATTGCACCGATTGAAGATGTCGTTGGGATTACTGCTGGTGCTAAACAGTGTTATGATTTGGTCAGACAGCGAACTGCAGTACATCAGTATGGATGCATCCATCATATACAGGTCTTAGCAAGCCACAATTTTACGACATCGCGTCTAAACTGAATATGACATCTGAAGCTGAAGATCGAAGGTATGCGCCCGGTGTTCACTAGCTTTTGCCTATCATAGGCTCAAATTAGGTCTAGATTCGATTCCCACATCCAAGGATTGTAGTTTCCGTGGAAATAAGTTGTTCCATTCTTATATTCGAGTTTCGGGACCCCATGCGAAAAGACTTGGAGCCTTATCTTGAAGACTCCTCAATGCGATAACGGTGACCTTTTCCTCTCCACTTGACGAGGCCCCCTCTACTTCTTCTGCATCCTGACAATGTCTGACATATCCGAGTTCAAACCTTTGCTCAGTACGTCTAGCATCACTTTGTATATGTTGATCACACCATAAACCTTCATTAGACCAGAGCGTGGGATACGGCGTGGTAGTCGGTAAGCTTACTTCGATGATACATTCATCGAAGTCTAGTTGACCCTTCGCAGGCGTCGGCTTCTTCTTCGCCGCTCTCATGCTTGTATTGACTTTCCTACAAGCCAAATTCTCCAAGTTCTCACCTTCTTCATCCGAGGAATTTTCGGTAAGTGTGTGCGCATGATTCTGTCAGTTCAAGATCATTGATAGGAATCTCGATAGAGTGCATCCAGAAGCGTGAAGGTAGAATTTGTCTATTGGAACATCGGACAAGAAGCTGATGGACTCTCTAACTGTAGCCGGGTCTTGTGTGTTGTGGGATGTGAGTTTCCTGAACTTTACCTCATGCGTCTGTCTTACGGATATACCTTTTATTCTCAGTGTTAGCGCGTGGACATGGAGTGCGACATTACTACAATCAAGTACAGCAGCGTATACATTTGGGATAAGCGGACCATGGTGAAGATTTTCATGACGTCTGACTCGAGCAGCTATTGACCATGACACAGGTGGTACGGCGTAGGCGGAACTATCCAACTGGCCTTCTTTGCTATGATAGCGGCCAAAATCAAGATGAACGCAAATGGCGCACATACGTTCCTTGAGGTGAGCATATGAATTGGGTCATCAAATTGACAGTTCAAATCAGACTGACGACGGTCGTCAGATCGTGAAAGTACGATTCGGAACCGCGGCACATCTACTGTTCACCTTCTATGCATTCTTATGCATTCTGGTTGTGTGCGGCTCGCTTCTCCGTTCGTCTTTCCCCAACATTCGGTCTTGAATGATTGTTACTGACTAGCCCTTATAGTCGGCGGCGCGGCTACAGTGACGGCACTGACAGGCATGAATATCATCGCGGCGTGTTTCCTTCTGCCTATTGGCATCGCCGTTTATGTAGTCTTCGGTGGCCTCAGGGCTACGTTTGTCTGTGATTGGGCTCATACAATCATTCTCTTTATCGTCATTTATATCTTCCTCGCCCGTACCTAGTAAGCTTTCATTTCTCTTCATGTCTCGTCTTTCATGAATTCGCCTGTCAGTGCAACATCGTCGGAAACCGGGGGTATTTCCAGCATGTATGAACTGCTGAAGCAAGCTTCTGTGGACACTCCTGTACCAGGGAACCAGGACGGAAGCTATCTTACAATGAAGTCGAACCAAGGCATGGTCTTTGGTGCGGCTACCATTCTGTCTGGATTTTCGGGAGTTTTCTGTGATCAAGGTAAAGAAATCGCTCTTCACTATGTGACGTTTGTTGAATCGTTTTCAGGTTATTGGCAGCGCGTAAGTGATTTTCGCACATAATGGATATCAAGAGCAACTCATTTCGGTTCAGGCAATTGCTAGTGCTCCACGCTCGACAACAAAGGCTTATGTATGTTTTGTACAGTATTTTTCAGCGCAAGATGGAATCTCAATAACATACAGATGCTCGGTGGGCTGTCGTGGTTCGCGGTTCCTTGGGCGTTCGCATCCTGCCTTGGTATGGCGGCTCGTGCACTTGTTCATAACGTATGTATATGCTTCACAGAATTAATTATTCACAGTAAATAATGTTTGGATAGCCTAAGTTCCCTACCTTCCCGAATCCCCTCTCGGACGCGCAGACAAGTGCTGGATTGGCTGCTCCTGCCGCAGCTGCCGTTCTCATGGGCAAAGGTGGAGCCGTAGCTATTCTTCTTGTGGTATTGTATGTGTAATTTGTATATATCATCAGTCGCTTTCCAGCCTCTTACTCTCGCTTACAGTATGGCAGTGACTTCCGCCGCTAGCGCGGAGCTCATCGCTGTCTCCAGCTTATTGTACGTCGATGCATCATTCTCAGTGGCTATTGACTATAGGTCCTTCGTTGCACCCCTTCTAGCTCCTACGAGTGGGTGGCTTTGCATTTAGAGGACAGTTTCTACTGACCTATGACTTCAATTAGCTTATACAGAACATACTTCCGCCCTAAAGCTACTGGAGCTGAGATTGTTCGTGTGTCGCACTATTTTATATGCTTCTGGGCGGTTTGGATGGGCGCATGGGCCACGATTGTGAGGTCATTTTTGGAGATCGCTCAACAGCACGCTAACATATGTACAGCTTCACAAAGCGAGCATCGACCTGGGTTGGGTGAGTTTTTCCCTAATCAGCTCAAGATTTTATACTAACAAGCCGTTATGAAGCTGTTTTACGTCCAGTAAGTTCGATCAGTTAATGTACATACGGGATTGATTGCAGATATTTGCCTTATTAGAGGAGTCGTTTTGAGCCCAGCCGTCGTCCCAATCGGGCTTACCGTCACCTGGTCGAAACTTACACGAGCTGGAGTGTTTTCTGGATGCATCACGGGCGCAATTCTCGGAATGCTGGCCTGGATGATTGGCTGCTGGAAAATATATGGCACGTATTGATTCTCCATTACCTATGATGGACTCTTCTCTAACGTTTTAACAGGCGTTATTAATATTGCTAACTTGGCCAAACCCTACTCGGCAGTATGTAGCGGTCTGACTGGGCTATTATTCTCCGGAACCCTTACGGTGTTAGTTTCCTTGGCCAGTAAGTAGAGTCTCATTGATGACCCTCCGAGATTTTGTATTGAAATATGTTCCCATAGAACCAGCGAATTACGACTTCAAGGGAACGCGAGAAATTCTCGTCTACGATAGCGTTACCATCGATAGGAAAGCTTCGACTGAATCGGTCGACGATTCAAATGTAGGCGCTGAGGCCAACTTCACGTCAGAAAACGAGAAGAAAGTTGGGGAGAAGACTTCAATTAAGGAAGTCGCAGTTCCGGACAATGCTAGCACCACACATGACGATCAGGCAGTCGACCTCGAGACTCTCCAGCGTATATTCAGGAAAGCCACCTTATATTCAATCGCTTTGACACTCGTGGTGGCCATCATTGGTAAGATGCATGTTGCATAATCTGCACGTTTGGTTCTAACTCTAGCCAATGTCACAGTGCCCATACCCATGTTCTTCTCACATTATGTCTTCAGTAGGGCATTTTATACGTTCTGGACAGCGTGTACCATGTGAGTGCTTCCGTCGATTCACGATGCCTCAGATTCTGACGGATTGTTTAGTATCTGGGTCGGCATGAGTGGTCTATTCTGTATCGTCCTTCCACTTTGGGAGTCCCGACGAGAAATAGGTGTTATTGGACGAGGGCTTCTAATGCTCTTACTCCGTCGAAATATCATGAATGGAGACGTAGACAAGCGACCAAGCATTCACTCTGAGTCAAGCAATGCATAAATTCCAAGGCTAAATACTTATTAGAGACCAAATAGAGTCACCATAGTGGAAATATACACGCTTGGTTCAAACAGATTTTACTGTCAATCCACCCGAATGTCTTTGAGGGCATCGATCATGAACACAAAAGTCCCAGGCAGATTGTAGCATGTACAAGCAACTATCGAGTCATCGGTGATGACGTCGCCTCAGAATGCCTTGCAATGCAGTAATATTCCTTACACTGAAATCTCGTAAACTGAGAAGCTAGGTACAATGCGACTGTCACATGAAGCGACCCGGGGACTTAGGATCTTCTATAATTCAATGCCGAACAACCGGATAGAAATGTCGGAGTAACAACGTGCTCAGAACAGAACGACATTTACCTCGGACGCAATTTTCTCTACCGTCTTAACCTTCCTTACACTCTGACGTTCGTCGCTTGCGACGCATTCAACATGCTCTCAACGTGGAACCAGTGAAGGTACCTGGCAGTCATCCCAGTTGTATATCAGATAAACGGATAACAATAGCATACCGCATACAGGCTTCTTCCTTGAAATGTGTGTACAGTTTCCGGTTGTGCTTCCTCTGCATGGGGCTGCGGCTTAGCCATGATGCACCAACGAACGAGAATGATGCAAAGCAGACCTCTTCCCGGCGAGCCTGTTCCTCATATTTGTGAATCTGGTGGATCAGAAAGTGGTCAGACATGACGAAAACAGAGACTCCACTCAGGTACATCTCGAATAGACATGCAGCCTTGTTGGCACCATAGGCCGTGAACCGTTCGTCGCACCTGGAAACATCCATTCAGCATATCGGGCATGAAATGTACGTAAAACAGCGTCCTACCAAGGAAGGTTTTTGCTCATGATCACATATGGCTCCTGCGCACTTTGGTATTAACCGACAGGATAGATATCATCCTGACCCGGGGGTACAGAGTAATACTTTGCGTAATTCGTACTGTTGTGTCCAGCCGCCCAAGATGCATGAGAGGAGGCAATCTTAGGAACGAAGCTCTGGACGAATCGAAGTGACGTGTTCAAAGAATATTACGACGATGCTGCACCACTAAAGAGAACTAGTCACTGACCTCCTTATCTCGAGGGTAAATGCCCTGATCTGACCCATCTTCTTGATCGAGATACTCAAACACTGGCACTACCAGAGCGGCCGTACCTGCACGAAGTCTCTTGTACACCTTCAGTTTTACTATCTCATTCATCGCGTTACGCCAGGCCGGTCAACGTTCGAGGGTGGATTCGAATTCCACTCCTGGCCGTTCAGCTCTAACTTGTGCATCGACTTCCGGACCGCGCTCCTCCAATCGGTGCAAACAGCAAATTCCACGTCCAGCATCATCACGAATTCAGTCCTAGCAAACAGTCGAGCAATGTTCCTCCATAAGTTGAATTGTCGACTGCCTTCACCTTGTCCATCGTTACCGCCAGATTCCACTTTAGATCCTCGGACAGATCGGGAGAAGGGAGAAACCGCAAGATGCACGTCGACATAGTCTGAGAAATGAGGAGAAGAGTAACACAGCTCGTGTAGTTCCTTCAGCGCCCTTATAGACGGATGATCATCGGACAGTGCAGAGATTCCTTCGACAAGTAGCGGCACGTGTATCGCCACAGAGATGGGGCCTAAGGACGTCAAGGTCAATGCTTTCACAAGAGAGTGTCGTATCCACCTTGATATCTTTCGACCAACTGTTTCAGCGCTTTAAATCGGTTACTCGTCACCAGTGTCGCAATTGTCACGTCGTCCGATTGTATTCTGGACAAGGCGCGGAAGTAGTCCGGTACGATCTTCGTAGGATGCAGAGACTGGGTAAATACCTTTGAAAGAAGGGTTTCTTCGTATACAGCAGGAGATCGTGTACGACCATCAAGATAGGGATTGTCGGTCGGCCATAACAGAGGAGTTTGAGCAGGACCCCCGCTAGTTCCTATATATGTCTCATCCCTAAATCGCCAGTTTGGGCCTGTTTCGGGCTGGGGGATTTTGGCCGATTTTGGCTGTTTCGGGCTTCCGGCATGTAGGATGCCCTAAGACGGTCGATTTTCGGGCTGTCCAGGCATGTAAGATACATTTCTTCTACCGTACATCGAATGCATATACTACTACTCCGTACAACCTTTGCTGTGCTTGTTCGGCATCGCAACTCCATCCGCATCCACTTCTTCGGGCTTACTGCATTCGCGAGACCACTTGACGAACTCTCGCACGGCTTCAGCGAGCTCGACATTGAGAGGCCCTTCGACATCTTGGATGAGCTCCTTGTTTCGGGCTCCCAGGATGAGGGACACCTACACGAGCTGCTGTTTCGGGCCGACTCAGCACCGGGGAGGGGCGGTCGGTTCAGTGCCATTTTCGGGCGGGCAGCCCTGAGACATGCCGGCCGACACCTGTACTTTTCGGGCTGACCGGGATGAGACAACTATAGGAATTAGCGGGGGTCCTGTTTGAGCAGATCCAGAGAACACCTGAAGGAGACGAGAGTCGATTTCAAATTTACGAGAGATATCCCTGCTGGTATTCTTGCTCTGTGAGGAATCAGAGGACAGCTTAATAGAGTGTAGCATTCCAGGAGTGGCAATTGAAAGGAATAGGCGAGTTGTATATACAACGGCGAAGGCGAAGTAGACCAAGAATCCGAACTGCAAAAAAAAACTTGATATTATCGAGAGCATGCCGCGATAGGCTCCAAAGACTAGTAGTAACAGATTCTAGCTCACAGTGAAAGTAATATCAAGTTCACGAGCCTAAAGTAAACGTTCTCGACGATGAGAAGAGGTGCAAGGCAGAGGGATGTGGATGCTAGATTCGACTTTCGGCAAGAGCCGAGCATCAAGGAAATCTCGCAAAAGTCTTTAGGTCCTCAGATTCCTCAACTGAGAGAAAGTCACATCGAATTCGAGCAGTATAAATTATTCCATGTAACACATATGGATCCTAGTTCACATACATGTGATTGAAATATTTTCTGTTCACGTTGGCGGGATAGATCGTACATATCATACAGTACGTGATCATGATATAAGTACTTGGGGTTAAGAACCGCGTTGAAAGTCAGGCTAGTCAAACGTCGACAAATTTCCTGTACAAGCCAGGCCGACTAGCATCGTACACCCCAACCAAATCCGCCTTCAAACAAGGATGTTACGTCAGGACCACCTTCGCTGCTCGCCGTCGGTCAATGAAACCTGGTCTGCCGGAGAGTGGAATACGAGGTGGAATAAGAGTATGATCCTCAATTATCCTGTAAGTAAATGTAAATAAACAGAGAAATCCTAGCACTGAGCATGAGAAGTCGTCTCACTTCAAATGGAGTGAACGAGAGATTCCGCCAGGAGCTTCGAAGGCAATTTTTGCCTCGCCAGCCTGCATACACACTTCTAAGTAATCGTGGCGAAGGGAGCCACATTTAGGAATCTCACCGAATCAGACTCTGCCTGCTTGACTTGCACGCCATCCGACGAGGCTTTGACTTCCTCCCAAAGTCGCCTCTTGAACTCGGGGCGGTCCTGGACTTTTCCATCAATCGAGAATTCATTCGCGTCGCGAGCGATAAGGTTATCGAACGCCGCGTTGAAGGATTCCTCACTGTCGGCACTGTAAAGCTGATTGAGCTTGCGCTTCGCCCACTCAGGAAAGGGAGGTCGCATCGATGGGGAAACATGGACCACATGATTCCTCGAAGGAATATCTGGATGGAACGGGTTAAACGGATTTGAAGACATCGTGTAACAATGAGCGGAGGAGATGGGTGGCGAATTGGAGGGAAAGGCTTTCTTATATGTGAAACAATGGAATCTTGGAAGTCCCCGGCGCTTACATCTACCACTGTATACGGCGAAATGCGTAGACACTGAAATGGACCGAGCTGTCTTATAGAGGGCAAGGTATGGAAGAACGGGTACGCACGAGCTCCGGATGCGAGGTTCAAGAGTGTCATTTGACGGCGACCATGCTAAGACAAGATTCCTCGAATCCCTAAGGCAGGCTGAAATCAGTGCTTTCACCATGGCCATTACAACGCATCGTGGCACAAAATTATATCTCTAGGATTGAAAATCAGCAATCGACAAGACAACAGGTGAGTTTACGTTGAGGATATGTATCTCACCTTACTGGTACGTACTGTTCGACAGAGGAGCAAAACGAAGTTAATAAAAGGATCATATACTATTACAAATCATATGCATGTCCTTGTGGGAATAGTACAAGTAGAGTGAAAAGCGATCCAATCATTCTTCTTCGGTCGAAGGTATAGAAGCTCTCGCTCTTCCATAAAGACTTCATTCAAGCAGAGCTCCCCGGGGCATTCGGGTTCGGATTGGGGAGAGGGATGTGAACTGATCCTGGCTTGTCCAAAGTGACCTGGTCGAGATGCATGACTCGCCTTGGATCGAATGCTCCACCCCTACCAGGAAGGTGAGGCGGTTCCAAGGTTTTGTCTGGCGCAATACTGATTCGAGCAGTTAGTGCCTTATTCGGTTGCCAGCTCAGGGCAGAATACGTACGACAGGTTCAATGAAGAAGTGACAGTGCTGGTCTCTGGGGCACCGAGAACCAAGAACCTCTCATCGATAGTGGCCTGGAAGAAGGTCCCGACCTTACCAGCCTGTGGAAAATAGGAAGCCATAAATAGACCGTTGAGAAGAGTGTAAAAGAACGCACGATAACACGCTGGTCTTCGCTATCAGGAACCTCAACGGTACCAATAAACTTCACTTGAGCGGAAGCCTCAGCGAATTTCTCGCCCTGGATTTGCTGCTTGTACTGGTCACGAGTGAGCTTCTGCCCGTTGACCGTGATAGTCGCGTCCTTCGCGATGAAGGCATCGAAAGCAGAGTTAAAGTCCGCTGCTTTGGTGGTTTGGAAGATGGCAGTAAGATGTTGTTGGACCCAGTTAGTAAGAGGAAGGAGAATGATGTTGGAAGTCATGATGTGTTACTTCGAGGTGATGGTTAAGTTGACTGTGTTGCTGTTGGGATATGCACTCGACGTCTTGTTTTATACCCGCAGGTGCAGCGCCAGGCGTCGACAGGGCCCGCTGAGACCCCGTCCGACATGATCCCGCTGCGGCTCGGAGGCGCATCTGACGTGATTTGGGCGAACATAAGACCAAATTAGTACCAACGGCGATGGGGGCGCAACATCAATAGGTCGGCCCCGCAAGCGAAATCAAATGCGAGCAACTTTCATTGGAAGACCAAAGCAGAAACTGCTGCTTTCTTCGGAGCGCCATGATTTCCTGAGAATGTTGCTAATGGCGATGAATGATCGTAATGAAGACGGACCCGATGACTGTCTCTTTGCCTGGCGGGGGTAGTGGTAAATGAAGTGGCGTGCTGCGTAGGAGTGACAGAATGAAAATCCGAACGACGAGGTCAGAAGCATGAGGAGTTAGAGCCATGGTTGGAGTAGCTCACCGAGAGTAATCGGATGCTACAACGGTGTACATCTTTGCCTGTTGGAGCACTTTGGATATCAGAATGCAATCAGTCGTGACTACATGCTATAAATATACACGCGCCATAAAGTAAGCGCATGTATGGAATTTGAACAACGAGAATGCAGGCAGCTTACCGAGAACCGAAACTAGGCAACATAAGGCTTTATGATTGGCCTACGGAATCTGCTTTAGACCGACAGTAGTATGAAATCCTTAACACGTCGGCGGCCGAGATAGATTGATGACAACTATGGTTTTCGAATGATGATCTCCCCAACGGCCATGCACCTACGTATTCAGTAAGCACCCTACAGGCACCTACAGTATGTCGCCCAGAGCCGACCATCGTAAAGAGCTCCACCGCAGACGATGGCAACAAAGCTCGGGAGATCACGGCTTGCCTGAGCCTTAGACTGGCCGGGTCTTGAAGCTTGATGATAGATACAGTATCGGATGAGCGAGCGCTGTAACAGACGATGACGTTGAAGAAATACTCTTGATTGAAGACCGTGGTTAGATTCAATAAGCTCGTTTTCAGGTTCTACAGGCCAAGACATTCATGTTCAACTGCAAGGAGGTCAACATTTCAAAATTTCGATACTCAATTATTCAACGTCGACGATATATGCACGTTTTCTCACGACATGTCACGATGTATTGGCAGTGAGCGTGACAGAGCCACTAGCGGCGAATTAGCTAAGTACAGGATGATGCGAAGAAATTGGGAGACAATGAAACGAGTATCAGACAGAGAGATTATGGGGGCATACTCGAAAAGATTCAGCGAGAATAGAGCCTAAGATTCTTCATGACCACGAAAAGCTGGCTGGCAATCTTCATGCTTCGTCTGTATGAGGTTTTGCACTCGTCGGTCATCGGTAACAACCTGCATCCCATGATGATCAATCTCCATAACACAAAGGGGCAGCGCGGATCCGGGGCACGTACCGCTATGCAGCCGCAGTTCCGGGCTGTATGCTTGTGAGCTTTGCTGGACTTGCAATTTTCCGAATTACAATCCGTCACTTGACCTGTGTAGTATCGGCCATGGAAATGCTGGAACATAACGTCATTAACATCATTCATTCATCTTCGTAGTCTCCGCCGAAGGCTTACCTGGCAGCCGCGATGGTAGTCGCCCACTCTACGTAAGACAGCGAAGTTAGCTTCGTATGATGTCAGAAGGCTGGAGTAACATTTACATTTCGTGAATACACATCGTAAACTTGAGAAAATGGCACTCAGCAGGGTATGGGTATGTCGTTGAGCGTGTTCAATGATACGAGGGGCCTGTTCATATAGGTCTTTTATACACACAGCGGGAGAAGCACTACTTCAAACGGTCGACAAAGAGCCTTGGTAGCATTGAGCCATTGTACCATGATGGAAGGCCACTCAAACAAGCCTGAAGTCCAGAAGGTAACTGCCACGCGGAGATGGCATAGAACGAAGCAAGATGAACACGCCGCAGAAGTAGATCCTTGGTGGCCGTTTGATGAAGCCGCTCTAAATGAGATCTTCCCTAGATCCCTAGTACTGCGACCCCGTGTATTCGTAATAGGGTAATAGGGATGGAAGAAGCGACGTCAGAGAACCCTAGAACTGTAAAGTTTGCATTGTTCATCGCTTAGTGACAATGACATGAGGCATAAGGTTCAGACCTCAGGGTTTTGGTCAGGTTCGGACATTATGCTCGCGTCCGCAGGCTGTGCTTCACGAGGAGAGCCTGCATGAAGGCTTACGGCAGAGAATACTCTAGTCATGGTTCTCGTATGCGCAGACATAGGGCCTAAGCCGACCTGTTATGGCATTAAATTCTACCGAGACTGACGAATACGGATCTTCGCAGCAGCAACCTATACCGGAAGAAATCGTGTTGAAGGAGAGGAGGATCATCGTCATAAGCAGATACAGCGGGAGAGCACCGCACAGAACAAGACCAGCGAGACCCAGTATTCGCATTCAAGCATCCGGTACTGATCCAGTAGCAGCATCACCACGAGGACCCGCATTGTTAGCAAGCCTAATCTTCTTGATCACCCTTTCGTCCGTGTTCAAGGCAGTTCCTTTGCGTTTGTTCCTCGTGGAGACAGGCGGATCAGGAGATGTCAAAAGCGAAGTCTAAAGAAAGTGAGATTTCGCCCCAGAAGACTAGATGATACGTACATATTCCTTTTTGGAAGGAGCACTACGTATTGTGGTGACAGGACCGTCAGGAGAAGCGAGGACTAGAACGCGATGAACCTACTACCCAACCGATAGTATAGCCCTGAGCTTGACGACTCACAAGATGGCAAGGACTCAGGTTGTGTTGTATTTCCACGGATAGCAGATATCCTACTTCGAATGATGCTTTGCTCTAGTCGCTCTTGTGCGATACTCTTCTCAAGTACTCCGATATAACTTCGATGGCTAGCACACTGATTTTCCAAGATATTGTTATCGACGTCGTGTCGGAGCGCGTTTTCAATCAGAGCTGGTAGACCGTCGACAATGGTTATTGCATGAGGAAGCAGAGCAGATGAGACGGACATCTTGAGTATTTGGTAGAGTATTTGGAAGAGACTAGACGGAGAGACTCCGCTTCGGGCGGGTGATATCACGCCGTCACGGCATAATAGTCACGGTCAGCCTGTGTGACATGCGTGACAAATGAAAGTTCACAAACCTTCTCGCATTTGGTACAACTTCGTTCAATTCTTTGGAACCTTACATCTCGGTATACTTGCCATCTAATAGCTCCTTGCAGAACTTTAAATACGGCTTATAAGCTCTGTGAACTATCATGACTTCGTGTCTGCACCATCAGGATGCCGCGGTTCCCACCGATTTGTATTCAACTGCGGTATTTCTACGTGATCAGGTAGGTCGACATTTGTATATCTTACGGATATTCCTCACATGCATGGATAGCTGAAGAAAGTTGAAGACCGATGCATATCTGGACAGGAGCGAGGAGAACAGCTCAAGCAACATCATGCAGCGCTTCTGGAGGCGATCAAATGGTTCAAGCTCGTGGAACAAAACGAGAAGAACGTTACCGATGAGCTCAGGCGTGAGCTCACTCTTGTAGAGGAGGAGCAGGCTCGTGGTATCTGGCCAGCTTCTCCAGCGCCGATCCCGTCTCGCAGACCCTCAACTACCGATTCTTCTAGTTCGCCTTTGGTGGAAGGACCAAAGACATCCTTGATCGAGCAACTCGGACTGCGACTCAATTTCGATTCAGGCTCTGCAAACGACCACGTGTCGGAGAATTTGTTTCTCCCAATTAACAACCATCCATTCTCACCGACTTCTCCATTCCGGCGTACTATACAGGATAGCTGGAAACGAAGGTTCTCCGAATTGCTTCCAGCCTCTCGCGATGTATCCTCTGCATCCCCCAACTCGGACACTTCTCAATTGGTAACCACCCCTCGCAAATTTGGAGGGCTCGCTGATTCGCGTATGAACACCACTATTCTCGCGCCCAACGGTTACTCGCACCCCATCAAGCCCAAATATGTTGGCGGGATCGCTTTGAAGAAATCTATGCCTCACAGGTCTCATCGCAAGTGGAACAAGTCCTGCATGCCTCTTCTCCTCTCAAAGGCTCGCCTTACTAGAAAGCGTAGTACTGCTTTGAGGATTAGCGCCCCAATGTTGGCAACGCCCATTCTTTGCGAAGGAAAGGATTTCAAACAACCTTTTCCAGACGAATCTTTCGAGTCTTCTGATTGCTTGATGCAGTCGTCGTCTGTGGCGGTCTCTTGCAAACATTAGAAGCTCGGTGCTCGGGCCACGCTCAAATGATACCTTCCTATAATCACTTTCCGGGTTGCTTCATAATCATGTCTTATACCCTTGCAATTGCCATGACCTACTTTTTTCTGTCAAGATCGCCTCAACTCTCCTTTCAACATCACACGTGACTCATCGGGACTGTGATTACCGGCTCCTCGATATGTATCGGCTGCACTGTTTGCTGAACTCCAACGTCTTGTCTCTGATGTTATATGACCGCGACTTTCTATGCGATAGGGCGCGGCTCAAGAACCGGTACGTGGGATTCGAGTTGTGGCGCAGTCTTCGTTAACACACGGTCTCAGGGCTCCGGTGAACAAGGTGTCATGATACCCTGTCTGCTGCTACGATCACATTGAAGCCGTCTCACGGACCTCGAATATATCTATAAGGTACCTAAACAGTCTCCCGTCGGATGAGGCCCTACGGCGTACTTTGTAACGTACCGCGGTGCCCACCCTGTATTCCTGTGCATCGCACGCCGTCAATAAACCGAGGCTTTGGACTGTAAATGGAACCCAAGTTTTCTGAATAAGTTTTCCGCCGCTCACGGTGTTCCGCGGGTCCTTTGAGTCAGGAATTTCCTCGGTCCACGGCTTTATCCCATGACATGCTGTATTTTTCACATACGTAAGGATGCCTGCAACGGATTCCAAAATCTAGTCGAGTTGACGTCCTTGGGGTTGGATTTCTCTCAAAACCATCAGAGAACATAACCGTATGATCCTATTTGATTCTTCGCACGAACGATAACTAATAGCTCTTAGAAGGCGAGAAGCTTCATTGGAACGTTTGATGTAGGCGTTAAGGAGCCTGGGCTTAGAGTTATACAGCTTACAAGACCATTTATGTATCTTTCCCTAGTCCAGCGCAACCGAATAATTGCCCCATCCATCGCCTAGTTCCTTCGAGGCACATCGACCTTTCACAAATGACACTACAATCGGGGCAGGTGCATCGGGGGGCACTACCGGAGGCAAGCAGAACGACGGATTGCTGCAACAAATGCCGTCCATAAGACGCTCACAAGACGTCCCTCGTGCTTCATGGCCGTAGGAGAGCGTTCAATCTTCCAGACTACCACTGCGCAGCATTCCCCAGGACTGATGGACACATCATGCTTGGCTATCGTTTAGCTCGCATAGTGTGTACTTCTCTGAGACTTCACTTTAACTTCCCTTCCCGCGATTGACACGGTGAGGGCCCGTCCGGCAAGCATCTAAGGCAGGACACTATAAATATTCAGGACGAGCAGAGCGCACAAACTGCTCAGATCCTTGACGACCTTCTTCTCTGTCAACCCCTGTCAACCCCATCCAAGCCACTGCAGGATCAATCAAATGACAACATCTCCACACTGGACGTCCATCAGCGTCATAATTCTTCTGGCTACGATAGGTTTTGCTCTGTACAAGGCCTATCGTGGGGTCGCTTCCCGAACACTACCATATCCTCCTGGGCCGCCGAGGCTCCCTATACTTGGTAGCGTTCATCTACTTCCTCAAGAATACCAGGAAAAAACGTTCGCGGAATGGGGGAAGACCTTCGGTGGGTGACTACCTATCTCGAGTATATGAGATTTCTTCTTATCCTTTCGAATGTTTGCAGGAGATCTTGTGTTCGCGAAACTCTTCCGAACTCCTACGATCATCATCAACTCCTTCGAGACTGCTCGAGACCTTATGGAAAAACGTAGTCGAAATTACTCCTCTCGTCCTCGATTCATTCTCATGACCGAACTGTAAGAGCGCTGCCCGCTTTCTTGACCCCAAATAAACCGCTAACGGCCCTTTCATCGCAGAATGGGTTGGAAAAACGTGCTGACGCACACGCCATACGGAGATGAATTCCGTTTACAAAGAAAGTGGATACAAGAGGCATTTCAAACAAAGGCTGCTTTGGACAGCTACCGGGCGTTGCAACGGCGAGAAGTGAACGTCGTTCTTGCCAATCTCCTCTCTTCCCCAAATGCGTTCATGGCGCACTTTACAAGGTACAGACGTAAGCACCACATGCAGGTGCAGTGTTCCTGAGCGTGGCGCTAGATTTTCAGCAAGTGTCATCATGGAAATATGCTACGGCCATCGGGTAACAAGTGACCATGACAAGTTCATCCATATTGCAGAAAGAGCAGCTACTGCGACAGTTACGGCCGGAAGGTTGGTGTTCAGTTGTTTCATCTTCAATGAGCGTATAACAGAACTCTCCACATAGTGCTGGTAGCATGCTTGTAGACTTCTTTCCAATTCGTAAGATTATTCGTCCCGACATTCTCTGACATTCTCGTGACATCATGCAGTGAAACTTCTGCCCACATGGATGCCTGGCGCTGGTTTCAAAAGACGTGCGTTTCATGTCCGAGAGCTGGTAAAGGAATTGTATGATGCGCCTTACAGCATGGTATGCGAGAAGATGGTTAGTCATGGAGCTCCTCCGCGCGGGAGTCTACTCGTGTATTGATGCTCTTTAGGCCTCCGGGATTGCATGGCCTTCTTTCACGTCTACCCTTCTGGAGCAGTGTTACCGCAAGGGCGAACTTACAGCTTATGACGAAGACAACATCAAAGGTGCAGCCGCCGTCATCTACGCAGGTAGGATCATTTGTTTCTATCATATGCGTTCTTTGATTATAATTCCCATATTATCAGCTGGAACAGAAACGGTAATCTTTGGCTGAGCTTCCGCGAGAATACATAGGATTTAACCAACGTTTACAGACAGCGACTGTAATGATAACATTCATCCTTGCCATGGTCACATTTCCGGACATTTATAAGAAGCTGCAAGAAGAAGTGGGCAGAGTGGTCGGTTCTGACCGTTTACCAGACTTCGATGATCGAGAGTCATTGCCTTACGTAGAGAGTGTGATCAAGGAATCGTACAGGTAAGTTCATCCGAAACCTACATCGCTTCGCGACCATCTTACGTTTATGTCCATTCAGATGGCATGTTCCTGTCCCGTTAGGTACGTGATCTTCTGCGTGTTGAAATCGTCCTAGCTGCTGAAGGAAGTCATTCATTCGTAGGTATACCTCATAACACAATGAAGCCAGATGTCTACAACGGCTATTATATTCCCCAGAATTCCATGGTGATCGGGAACATATGGTTAGTATTTTTCAGATTTCGTTCTCAACATGTTAATTCAGGCGAAATATCATAGGAATATGTCTCAGGATGAGAGCGTGTACCTCAACCCAGAGGAATTCCGTCCGGAGCGGTTCTTGGGGGAGACCAACTTTGAGTTGGACCCCAAAAATTTCGTATTCGGCTTTGGAAGAAGGTGAGGATCAAAATTAGTGTACCAAATGATTTTCGCAGTTGATACCGTGTTGATACCTTTCTTTCTAGGCAATGTCCTGGTGCCGACTTCGCTGATCGCAATATCTTCCTCCTCGTAGCAAGCCTCGCAGCGACTATGGATCTCGCAAAAGCAAAGGATTCTGAGGGTAGGGAGATTACGCCACCAATTGAGTTCACCTCAGGATTCGTCTGGTATGGTATCGCCTTTCTTTTTCGAATAAGGCTCATCTTTGTTTGTAGTCGACCAAAGGACTTCGTATGCCAGATTACGCCCCGCTCAGAGAAAGCAGCGGAACTAATTAAGCAAATGAACGCGGTGACAGGCGAAGTATAGTCTGAGCTACGTCCTAATGCTTCCGGATTCGTAACTTCGAGCTGTTCTTGAATACCCATTGTGTAAGGTAATTGATACGACTTCGGAAATACTATGTATAGCGCAGAGTTGCATGTGTCTAAAGACGGAGGGTAATGTGTGTAACGTTGTTCAGGAGTCCAGAAAAGGACATAAGCCGGGACGAACTTCCTTCATAGCGGCATGCGTGAGGTGCGTTCGATAGTACTGTAACATGAAGTGGCTGAGACAAGTTCGAACTATTCGGCATGAGGATTATAACCCCGTGGCAATCCTCCAGTACTGCTTCCCCGTTCTTGGTAATGTGAGTCATTTGAGACGTTCTAGGAAACATCCCAGGCACTTGGACAAAGCCAGCGTCGTCTTGGCTTGACAGTACTGTAGAGGCTTCTTGCGTTCATCGATGCTGCTGACGGGCGGTCAAGGATGAAGCAAAGGAGGAGGTATACCAAGTTAAGCTTCGAATCCGCCAGCAATTCTAGTACAGAATTCCAGTGATTTAGCTTCGAGAAAGATTCGGCGACAACAGTTCATGACAGCAGAAATCGAGACGACTTTGTCAAACAAAGCAATTCTCATTCATGATCACTTGATTCGCTGAAACAATCGATAACACGGAGGAAACATGAAAGATCAGGGCTAATTTACGAGGTTTAAACGTTATTGGCAGCGCTGGGGATAGTACTGATCAACGCTCAAACTCCAGGAGAGGATATGTCCTTCCAACCCCCCCAGTGCAACAAGTTGCGATCAGAGAAATCATCACGAGACCCTGGACGTACATTCCTTGGTAGCTTCCACCGCGACACATGTTGATGTGAACAGTACAGTACCTCCTGATCAAAAGATAGGATATACAACGAGTCAATGAACTACGCAAAGCGTCGGACTTCAAGCGCTCACGCTCGAGTCTTGTCTAGTGACTAGCATCTTCTACGTGCGTCGACCTTGCCCACCTTTTGGTATCATCCACAATCGACCACTACACAGGCGAGTTCTCTTTTTTAGAGCACGTTCAGTTTATTCTCCGACGATATTCTCCTCGATGTTGCTCGCCATCTGAGCGTTCGTGGTGCTAGTCTTGCGCGACGAGTAGGTCGAACTTGCCTGGACATTCAGCGTACCAAGCTTACGATACGTTTAGGTTTGTCGTGCACTATATCGTGTAACAACTACTAAGTAATTATGGATTGAATTTCTGCATCGGGATGTCGTGACGCGAGGAATACCAATTGCCCCATATTGTCGTGCTCTCGATACACTCTCGGCTTTTCAAGTGGAGTGTTTGGTCAAGCACGCTTTGAGATTGCATGAGAATTTCTGAAAATCTAAAGTTCCTTGTCGACAAACTAGTTCAATGCAATTTGACACGTTCACTTGGGTTCGGCTAACCCTTGGTCAATGGCTCCTGGTTGCTTCGTCTGATTCATCGACCAGTGCAATATCCCTCTGGAGAACATCATCTAATCTTACCGAAAATTCTGCGGGGCCCCCATGGCAGAAGCCTTCCTACCGGCTCCAGTCTTTGATGGACTCGTCGACATTGAGGATCACCACATTTCATTGCTCTCAGCCTTCGAAGAAGGTATGCATTCGCATCTCGATAACTTGTACAACTGCTATGGTACTTACGATGACTAGAACACCTTGGGTTGCGCTTCTGACTCTGACAATCCTGATTCAGAGACCCGTGTTTCAGGAGCTGGCTGCTTTCTCGGATATCTCATACGTCCGGTTTCTGCGTGGCTCTTATATGGGGTTTGCTCTTGATCACGAAATAGCCTCTCATCAGTACTTAACTGGACCACTGGCGACATAGAGCACCTTCAGACAGCAAGGTAACGTTTTCAATACAGTGAACGTGCTACATATGTTGACTTGACTACAAGGGAGGCTGCATCGACATGTGTCTTTCCTCGACTTGGCTCGCGACTATCTCTCCGTACAAGCTGGTAATTTATGTGCTAGACAGCGACACAGTCCCACGATATCAGTTCTCGCGATCTCTCAACATGCCGACAACTGTCGCATTCGCGAAGCCCATGGCAGGTCCCGCGTGCGGAGATTCGTGTCAAGGCAAGAGGGAAATCTCTCTATGTATCAGCAATTACAATGGCGTCTTCATTTATCGCGTCGACTGTCTTCCCGAACAGAGCCACCTGGAGCTCATATTGACCTGGAAATATAGTCCAACATTCAATCTCGATACTAAAATAATTGTCTGCCTTGACCCTCATTTTGGAGTTACGTCAGGCATGCTGACCTGGATACAAGACGATCAAGCCTCTTGGTCCCGCTGCTGCAAGGACCGCCATGAATGCCATGAATAGCTCCAAGATTGTCGAGGTCTTTGATGAATCCATGCCGGCTCAATACTTCTTAGGTGTCCATGACTTTGATGAAAAGAGAGGCGTTGCTATTTTCGGGAATGCGTTTGGCGAGCTTGCCCTCTTTGACTTCAGTGATGCCTGTTGTAATGATATGAGATCGTTGGAGACCTATTTCGAGCAGCTCCACTTTCCTCGGGTTCCTCAGTTCGATATACCACACTTGGGGATTTGGTTGGGTCTTAGAACACGTATATTATTACTTCGGGCAACCAATCCCTCTTCTACAATGCGACTACTATGTCATTTACAAAGCGGGAGGAATCCTTTTTGTCTTTGGAGTAGAGGATGTGATTGTGTACGTCGTTCACGCTTCTATCTTACCAGTAGATCTTGCAGAGATGATCAGCCGAGTGGGAATAGAGGAATCGCCAGTTATTCGGGTGCCCATGTTAGACCGGACGAGGGACGTTGACTACGACGGTACGGTTGAAAAGTGGGAATGGGAGTGTAGGGAAAGGAAGCGTAATCGATGCCGAGACTTAGTGGACCGCGGTGGAAGCGTGCATCCCACCCTACTGCAGCCACAAGGAGGTCGGAAAAGGTTTGCCGAGTTGAACAAGTTTCTGGATTCAAAATGGGAGTAATGATAGACGTGGTGATCAAGTACACTGGAAGGGGCGCAGTCTCCAATCAAGAATGAACAAATGGCCAGCTATCTCAAATGGTACTTCTACGACTTCGATCCCACAATAAGAGATATTCGTTTAAAGTGGAATGAATAGATGAATGAGTTGAAATGGAACATCCATGAATGCAAACATCCCTTTATGAGTCAATCGACAAATTCATTTGCCTGATCAATCTAGCCGCCCTCTCTGAACGAGGGGTGATCGAACATTGGAAGTCCTTCGCCTTACTGCAGAGAGCGTTAGTTTAAAGAAGAGTCAGAAAGCAGGCGGACTCACCTGGCGAAACCGCTCAGATAGTTAAGTGGTGGGTCGATCTCTTGCCCAAATTCATTCTTTGCCTTCGAAATGTCTAGAGTTGCAATGATGTTCGCAGAGAGAAGGTATATATTGCGGTCGGCAAAGTCTGCACCAGGACAACGACTAAAGGAGAGGGTCAGTAGGTATTGGGGGGATAAGTAGAAGGTCATACCGACGACCAAATCCGAATACAAAGCTTCTCGGGTCAAGAGTATCCTCCTGATTCGTGGCCGTAAGGTATCGCTCAGGAAGGAAGAGCCCAGGGTGTGGATAGCGCGCAGTGTCTTGTGACATGGCCCTGCGGAAAAATGGTCATGGACTGCAAGAATCTGTGGACTCGTAACGAACCAAAGGTTTGCGATTACCATGGCCTTGCCGGGTATATGGTACCCATTGTACTCGTCGTCCTGCATGGTTGAATGTGGAATGCCTGTCCGAAAACTAGTCAGTCCTCGGGCACAACATTTTAGATGACGGCAATAAGAACCTAGGGTTACAGCAACACGCCATCTGTACGTCACTTATTAGCACGGGTTAAAAATACGGTTAAAAATGATTGTAAACCTGTAAAGCTCTTTTATAACACATTCCAGGTAAGGCAGCGAATCCCTGTCATCGAAATCTGGAAGACGATCGGTTCCAACTACTCTATCCATTTCATCCCTTAACCTCCTATACACATCGGGGTGCGCGACCATGGCCAAAATGAAGGAATTCATTGTGTTTGAAGTCTGTTGAGATTGTATTAACTCTTGTAAGAAGGTATGATTACTTTGTCTTACGGTCTCCGTACCAGCTGGAATGGAGATAAGAAATGGGTACTCGAAGCCTATGTATTGTACCCACCAGCGTAGATGGCAGTCGATGTGCCTTTGATGCTATCTTCATCGTACTGCGACAATTCTCCGTCTTGAATGCAACTCTCCACCAGTGCAGATGTGATACTAGGTCTTGCCGCTCCCAATGACTCCAGGATTTGTCAGCAAGGGAACCCAATCGGGTTCACAAAATTAGAAGGCAAGTAAAAGGCTCACCATTTGCTCCCGCACCATGTTATAAGGCACATCTTGCATGTCTACGATAGACTTTCTCGCTGAGAATGCCTTGCGTTTGAAACCAGCTCCAGGCATCCATGTCGGTATTTGTTTTACTATCGCTACGTCAATCCCAGGCCGGCGCGGTGAATCTCTGAGAACGTACAAAAAGGAAAGAAATCGACAAGCATACTACCCGGGCTAGAATTCATGTTAGTCTATGGATAGATATTGATATGGACGTCACGATGCACCTGCCAGATTCACTGATAACTTCTATACCACGCTCCGCGACATGAACAAACATGTCATCAGCGGATACCACTCGATGGCCATAGGTCGCATCGAGCGTAAGGGAAGCTGTAAATCTAATAATTGCCAGTGTCATCCGGAGGCACAGAGATCATATTTGTGCGAGATACCTGAACAGATGGGCCTTGAAATTCTCCGGACTCGTGAGCATGCCCTGCAGGGTGATGTAAACTTCGCGACGCTGCAACGCTTGGTACTGGTCCAAAGCCTTCTTATTTTGGAACAAGTTTTGCATCCATTTGCGTTGTTGCCTATGCCGTTCTCCATAACGCTGATGTGTAAGGACTGTGTCTAATCCCATGCTGATTTATTGGAGGAGTTTAGTAAGAACAAATGCCTAAGAGAGGATTTTGCCTACAGCTCTGATTGGAGAATAAAGCGTGGCCTGTCAGAATAGTTTCCGCTACGTTTGTCCAAAAGATCACGAGCGACGTCGAAGGAATTGATGATAATGGCTGGAGTGCGAAAGAGCTTGGCAAACACGAGATTTCCTATCGAACCATAAGCTGGCTGACTTGTCACAGCACTGAGGTGACTGACCATATGTTTTCCCCCATTCAGCTAACGTTCTCTCCTGATACTCCATAGGCAGAAGATGAATGTTGCCAAGAAGAGGAAGTCGTCTAGGCCCAGGAGGAAAGCGAGGCGTCCTGACGAATAACGCGACACATAGTCGATACAGCAAGAAAGAGCCTGCAAGGGAAGTAAGAGGAACCCAGATCGCCGTGAAGTTCGTCCAGACTACCATTGCCAGAGTTCTGAGGGAAATATAGTCAATGCGAAGAAGCAGACTGCGATAGCCATCACAGTATGCCTCGCCATTTATAGTCCATATCGCAAGTGCGCTAGGTCAGGTATGCATAATAGAGGATGACTGCTATTTGTCCACTACCGATCGTTACGTATTTGCAACGTTTGTTGCAATACATCAGCCCCACGATACGTGGACAAACAGACACTGTTTAGTGTCCAACAAGGAACCTTGGAGCGTACAATTTAAAATGGTCACCGAGGTTATGTCAGCCATAGAGTACTCACAAGAGTATCGTCATTCTCGTGACAATCAATTGATTGCCAAAATGCACCTTGCAAGTGGCTTGATAGAAGGACTTGGTTTCGCACGGCATAGGTTGTCGCCTCGATGCGGGCCCAGAATTGATGACCAAGTACGCCACTGAGAAACTGTTGTTGGAGCCTCAAGGCCTCACCGAGTAATGGCAATTCTTGCGACGCCTTCGTGCAGAACCACAGTGCAATCAGAGCGACTCGTGCGATATCGGCACAACTAGGGCGCCTGCCGTGAGGAGCGAAATAACAAATGCTCTTAGAGAATTCACATGAGACTCGAGTACATCCGCCGATTGACGATCTTCTGAGGTTTTTTTTTACCTTCTCGTACGACCGATGGAAGCGTATCTACCAGACCAAGTCAGCTTAGATTAGACGAACTTTGACTTTATCGTGTACCATAATGCGGGCGTTGGCGGTTCGAGGAAAGACATATTTGTCCTAGAACCACGCGTAATGATGGAACATCAGTGAGCACATCTTGTTCGCCTGAGTATACTGTACATCTCGTGTGGGGCGCACAGGATATCGATATCAATAGTCATACTCATAAGCTCCGGAAGTTCGAGTGTGACCCAGTGTAATCCCCCATCATCCCGAAGGATATTGAAATGATATACAGGATAATAGAATTCTTCGAGGCGAAGCAATTCCGAGCTGGAATGGGACAGCCTTGAATTGTTGGTTTTCTCATGTGTGGCGTACAATAATTCTAAGGAACGGCGCCCTGCAAAGGAATGAAGCAACAGACACATAGCATGCACGTGAGACTGACCAGTGTTTTCAATAGCAAATGTCTGTGAACTAAATGCGATTCGAATGATGGCTGCGGATGACTGAAGGATACCATCTATAGTCTAGAAGATGGTGGCATTAGCTTCGGTAAATAAACCATCGTATATTCTGATCGGAAGGATGTGTGGCGTTAATGACGGGTTTTCTAAAAATCTACGACGAACGCAACCTTTCCGAAGCGAGGCCATGATATTCGTCAATGTTGAATCCCGAAGCTGACTGCCAGCGTGAAACACATCTCGAAATGTAGCTGGTTTGAGGTCATTGTCCCGACTCTCGGGATCGGGATCACATCAGAAGAGGGGGAAAACTCGTATGTCTATGTAGATTTAGTACATCAGACTTGGGAATGAACCAGGATAAGATTACGCATGCGTTAGATGCGTACCGGCCAAAATACCAACTACCGGAGATTCGGTGTAGAAGTCATCATTCCAATCCCACCGCACTCCAAGATATATGTAAGCGCAATCTCTTGCAGATTACACCCCCTTCATCTGCAGTACTAAGTAATTGATCGCAGGCCGACTGACTGACGAAGCTAGTAGCCTTCAGCAAAAGTTGGAGGTCATGTTCATGTTCAGAGAAAGATCTCAACCAAGAAACGGCAATTCTCCGGGCCGGATCAACTTCTTTCATTTCATGTGGCCAGGACCCCCGCTAATTCCTATATTTGTCCGATCCCGGTCAGCCCGAAAACTGGGTCCGTAGGAGGCGATCTCTCAGGGCGGAGAGCCCGAAAATCCCACCAAATTTGGATCGATCCCCGATGCCATGCCAGCCCGAAACTGGGGGCATTCGAGGGCTCCTTGATGCCGATTGCCCGAATTAACCCAGTTCGTAGAGATGAGACTCATTAGAGACTCATTCCGGGTAACAATCAAGTAACGATTGGCTGGGAGGCTCATGTGGCTTGTACGACAGGTTTACCCGGGTGAAAAAGGGCACAAATGATGGACTGTAGGACCCCTGATAATGCCCCAGATATGCTGTTCGGGACAAGGGGGTTTTAGGTCCGGATGCAAGTCCGGATTTTTCTCCGGATTTCAGACTGGCCTTCCCAAAAGTGCCAAATTTCCTCCGGATTTCCCGAACGGCCTCCAAAAATACCTAAAAATTGCCAGAACGCTCGAAAACCATCGGAAACTGCTCAAGAACACTCAGATACCTACAATATGGCTGCAGAAGCTGAAAAATGAATGTTTAGGGATAGCCTCCAATAGTAGACTACACATGTACTGAATTATATAGTTAAATGTCATCGCCGGAAAGCTCCTTCTTCTGAGAGATTCCCAGTCCCTCCAGTGAGCGCCGGCAGTCCCACTCCAGTCTGTAAGCGCCCGCTGAAACCGGCCCGCCTGCTCTGCCTTGGCGGATTTCATGATGACTTCAGCTCAACCTCCTCTCTTGCAAAGACCCCTGCCTCCGTCGAGGGGGGAAACTTGATTTATGACCAAATGAATATGTCTATTATCGCGGCACCGCTGCCCTCCCCAGGGTTTCACTTTCAGACGGTTTTCGATCACACCGTTGATCAATGGAAGGGGAGGGAAGCGGGGAAAGTGGACATTGGGGGATATCTATGGACAGATGGATGGACTGTGTGGACTGTGGGGGCTTGATTGAGGGAATGAATGGTAAGCATGCGCCATCATTAGATAACAGATGTAAGTATGATATGAACAAGGTGCGATCGAAGCGTTCGCCAATGACTGTATGCTACAGCCTTTAAAGGAATTGGTACAGTAGGAAAGAGAAGACAAGGCCTGTCCAACGGCGAGGCCAAGCTGGCACAAAAATGACGTGAGATAAATATGGGATTGATTACTGGGGGAGAGGTGGGGACTACGGATAAGATAGAGAGGATAGAGCGGACAGGTAGAGGAATGAAAGAAGGGAAAGAATGAATGCAAGAGTGCAAGAAAGGTGAGTCAGAGTCTGAAAAGCTTGCTGTGGCCTGAGGCCTAAGACGGCTACCTTCAGCTGAGCTGCTGGTTGCTCAGTTGGTGTTGCACGATGGCAGAAGTTGTGCAGCGCACATGGCCTCCCACTGTGCTGCGATCGACTCATTGCTGTTCAGCAACTTTCGCCATTGGTCAGCGACCCCTTCTATAGAATCACAAACATGTGTGATGCTGCTTCTCCTATACTTGAATGCCATCCCTGCATCCTCACAGTCGAGTTTTCCCCCAAAGAACATCCGTGCATTGTGGCTGTCCCGCAAGTCGCGAGCCTTGCGCTCTTCTTGAAGGCGGTCGAGTATCATTTGGTAGGAGTTCTTCATGCCGTCGGGTTTACAGAACTTCTCCCAGAAGGCTTCATCTGAACCGAGATGATCACGTTCCTCCACAATAAACTGTATAGGTGTGTATCGCCGTGAATATGTTGAATGAAAACTGACGAAAGTTTACGACTGACCTTCCAGTTGCCCCACGTAGTGCGGATTGCTTTCCATACCCCACTCGGTGTGCCGACTCGTGCCTTGTACAGCTGATCCCAGAACTTGATGGCGATTCCACGGCCTGCGACCTTGACATGGTCAGATTGATGCCAGTCTTTAAACAATATAGGTATGTCATCAGAGAAATGTCTCCCTCATGGTCGCGGAATTTCATCTTCCTTATCCAGGATGAGTTCTTCACTGTTGTCAAGGTGCAGTATTAGCTGGCACTCCTTTGGTATGGTTCTCATTGTGCTTGATGGCATGGACTCTGGCTGATTGCCATCCCCAGGGGCTGGCAGTGGTCGGAACATCATGAGTTCACGTGGAACAGGAACTTGATGGAAACCGCCTGGGCTAGAGGCCGATTGAAAATAGCCTTGCTGTAGCATCACCTCATGTCGTATGGGGTCGTAGTGAGGTGCACCATGGATGGGTTGCTGACCGTGTGGGTTTGGTAGACCTTGGACGATCTCCCTAGGATACCCCACTGTCTGTGGAAGAAAACCGGTCGAAGCTGTAGGATGTGGGGAAAATCCTGGAGGGCATGTTCCTGTACCAAATGCTGACATCGTCACCCGGGCGAGCTGCTTCAAGGTCAAATCCTAATGGGATTGCGTAACGGTTAGTGTCCTGATATACATCAAATTCATCTTAGCTACTCACTATGCCCTGAATTCTCCTGTCGAGTTCGCTACCCGGTCGGCCATCAATTTCAACAGGTAAACCTGGAGAGCTGTGGTTTACTGGAGGGATCTCAGGTGAGTCATCTGATGTTGTATGCTCGACGCTTTCAGGGATTTGCTGAGGCATCGGTGTCACTGAAGCATCCAGACTTTTGTTGCAATTCAGAAGGGGCGCGCTGAACTTGAAGGAGTCAATCACGCTGTCGGCCCATGCAGTATTGTGTTTGATTTTTCCATCAGACATCTCTGCCTTTGAGACCGTGCGATCATGTCCAGACTTGCGGGGCCTATATTCGACCTTGGCCTTCTTTGGAAACTTCTTTTCCATACGCTTCGCGAGACCACTTTTCGCTCTCATTCCAGTCATCGCACCATGAACACGGGCCTTCAGTGGTTCAAACATGCTATGAACATGTCAAAGCTAAGTTCTCTGAATCAGATATGGTGACACCAAGATCACTAACTTTAGCCATCCATCACGATTGTCAGAGAACGTCTGCAGCCGGTCGAGTAGTTCCTGTCTTTTGCCCGAACAGTGGAGGTGGTAGTCCCTGCATATTGCTTGGAGCTGCTTCACTGTCTTGTCAGAACTGGATGCACTGGTGTGTTAGGAGAGACATGCAGAGGATGAGTACTACCTACATGTCATACTCAATCTCCTCTATATCACGGGTATCCATCTTCAAGCTTTGTCCCGCCTTGGATAGGACTAGTATATCATTGTGAGGTCGCTTTCGGGTCATAGTGTATAATTATGAACAATAGAATGGTATTCTATATGAGGTGTGCGAAAATACAACATTTGCTGGCGATCGTGCTGTACATGTCCGATCATTTATTTCTGATCATCGTTTGCACGAACCTTCACTCTACACTCCATCTTTGCTCAGAGCAACGTTGAAGCTTACTACCTTACTACCATGACTGAACTTGCTGGTGCTCGGCAATGCTTCAATGAGGCTTCGAGAATCGACTACTGTGAAGTCGAAGTAGACTGCTTGGATGAGGTTGAAACACTGCACAATGTCAGCGATATCATTCAAGCTGAAGCAACAGGAGTCAAAGACAAGGCTGCACGAGCCTCCCAGATGGACGTCGATTATGAGGAAGCTGAGTGAGAAGAGGATGACGATGATGATGAATTAGCTGGATGGCCATCTGGTGGATTTGGGCTCAGTATCAAGCTTGCATCTGAAGATACACTTGTGAAGTCAACTCAAGATGAATATCGCAGGTATGTTGAAATTTGACTTGAGAAGTCTGACTCACTTTAAAGTATTGGAAGACTGTGGAAACAGTTTAAGAAGTTTTGCGCTGCACCAAGGATAAACTACGTCAAGAATGCAGAGGACCTGGAGAACCTCCTGCCAGATATTCCTGCAAACATTCCAGAGATGATCTGTACATGGATCATGTATAAGTGAGTTGTATGACACTTACTGCATCACTGTGTAACTGCACGGACTTACAATTGGATATGCTCATCATTTGCTAGAGCCGATGAGCTTGACATCTTCAACCCGAAGAAACACAAAGATCCCAACACCCCTCGTGTTACCTTTCAAACAGCGATGAAGATGCGGGCTGCGATGAGCTACAAATTCAGCCATGACTTCAGCTTGCATGATCGGCCATGGCAAGAGTGTCCGACATCTCCAGGAACCTTCATCAGAAATCCGTCTCTATCTCCAGAAGTATCACAGTACATGATCAGTCTGAAATGGTGAAAGGTGACACCATTGTGTCATTTGAGAGCGCAGATATAATATACTCACTTTGCACTATAGGCTCGAGCTGGCGAACAAGTCACAAGTGCTCGTGCAATTGATAGCACTGTCATGAAGGCATTATACACTTACAACCTTTCATATCCAAAAGGAGACCTTGAACCCGTCAGTCATCAAGAGCTTGAAGATAACCCTGAGAACTGGGGTGGATATCGCATCCGAGTCATGCTTCAGACATGCTATGTCATTGCCATGCTTTGCCTACTCCGGTTTGATGAAGCCCTTACAACCACATGGGATATGGTACACTTTGAGAAGTGGGAGGGAGGTTTTCGAGTCCGATTGGACCTTGTCATGCGAAAGACTCATCAGTATGGTGGTAAGTTTAATGCGTACTTCATATATTGTATAAATCTGATTGTCTCTCATTGACAGGGATTGCACCTTTTTACCTCTATCCAAACCATGAGAAACCATGGATGTGTCCCTGCCAAATGCTCGCACTGTGGTGGAAAATGATGCGGGATCTTGGAGTGGATGTGCGAGAGAAAGGAACCTTTATCTTCCGAAAGAAGATTGGTAAGGATCGCATTTCGAGCAAGGCAGAAGATGGCATGGTGAGTCTCATTCCTTCACTATTCATTGAGCTCAATTTACAAGATGCTGGCGTCACAGTCCAGTGCTTCATTTCTCACTTGCTTTCATCACAACCTCTGTGACATTGACATTGATCCCGCCATGTACGGCACACACTCCTTCCGCCGTGGGGGCTGTCAGTACTTGGCTATTGAGCTGCGTTGGCCGCTGCGCCATATATGCACCTGGGGCAGATGGGCCGAGAACTTTGATAACCCCGGAACAATCTTCAAGTATCTCCTTTCATGGGTCGACACACCTATGCTCGACCGATCCGACTACATGAATCCACTTAGGGCACCAGCAGCACAATGCTCCACTTGCGGCCGTACCTGTTACTGTGCATAGTCTGTACACTCATCAATATAATCATTTTCTTCAAAAGTCTTCCTACGCTGAGCAGCTTAACTATCGACACGCATTATTGAAGCTTTCATCGCAAAGGCTACAGTACAACATTATACAGAACTTCGCAATAACTACATATACAAATACACAGGCTACTTTACAACAGAGCTATTCAAGAGCTTTCAAACCTATCATAAACCTTCGAAGCCAACCGTAATACTACACTACATCTCCAGTGAGATCGATGATCTCATTCGTTATGTCCATGGAGGCTTCAGACACATCATCATGGGTAAGGTCAATGATATTGGAACCAGAGGCCCCAGGTGTAGAATCACCAGTAAGGTCAATGACGTTGATGCTCGAGGACGCCGCAGGGGTAGTATTGTCTGTAAGGTGAATGACACGCAGGTCTGCATCACATGTAAGGTCGATAAAAGACTCCGACTTGTGACTCATGGCATATCGATGATATCTCTCCCGACGGTGAGCGCGCATGGTGGCCAACGTTGGAGCAGTCTGCCGCATGAGTCGGGCCTCGGCACTGACAGCAGATAGCCTTGAAGCTGGTGGATACAATGAGGAACCAGTCAGGAGAAAGGCATTGGCATACTGAGGTCGAGCACGCGCAAGGACGGCAGTGGGAACATGTAACAAGTGCGGTTTCTTGACCAGCTCGCACTGGATTCCTTTTGCTTCATACTGTGGGGTAGTGACAATGTGATCGCCGATATTCATTGATGATGTGAGGGAAGCCGATACGACATCATTAAAGGTGATTGGCTTCAGCATCAGCTTTGTCGTCGGAAAGCCAGGGCCATTGCCAGCCTCTTGCATGTCGATCTGGAAGAGACTTCCAAATGTAGATGTTACATGGCTACACACACTGAAGTGAGAAGGCGTATTAATCATTCAAAGTACAAACATGTACCGAAGGCACCACTTGACCAGAAGACTCATTCTGGATAGCTTCGAACATGAGCACTCTCATACCAACGCCTGCCCAGATGCATCGCTTGAACTTTTCAAGCATGAGATGTGCAAGCGCGAAGGAAAAGTGTCGCTCGCAGAGACGTGTGAGAAGAGGTATGTTTGGCAGCTTGATGAGCCACTCCTGCACAAGAAGGGCTGGCGTTGATGAGATGAGAGGCTGAGTGAAAGCCCTTGCAATTGCAAGATTTGGAAATGATGAAGGGATGGAGGCGGCAAGCATTTCATAGCGACGATCCAGGTGACCCTCTGGATCCTGGCGCAGACAGTCAACCAACTGCTGACGGACTTGCGACACCAGACGAGACTCCTCAGCTGCATCAGGAGCTCTGGCGGCAGCACATAATGTGGTGCCGATACCGTAATGGGCAAGACAATGGGCAATGGTAGACCCAAACCCTGTAAGTCTGTGCTGTTAAAAGCGCATTGGGTGAGACGTAATCTATGACATGGCTAAAACTGAGTCATACCTGATCATAGTCGCAACCGCTGAGGACTGCAATGAGCACCATACCATCGCGTGTGAGGCCAATGTTGCCGCTTTCGATCTAACCTGATGTGTATACAGTGATTTCATTCAGATTCTGATTCCGAGATGAAAATGATCTATGGAAATGAGATGCATCAGTTGTAAGAGGATGACAATGGTATGAAGACTTACCTTCGCACGACTGTGAAGGCTCCAAATGCTAGAGCATCACTGTCTTCCATAAGGATGGCATTGATGATGCCCAAAGCATTCATAACGGCGAGCTCAGCTTTGGCCTCACCGGGAGCCTGCAGAGAAACAGGGTCAGGTCTGATGCCTCATCTGGTCATTTTGCCCGTACAAGGATAGATACATACCACATGCTTGTGGAACCCGAAGGCACTGAGCATCTCCTCAAAGAGGCTCACCAACCAGTGTGGAACTGGCACAACATTGGTTCCTCGCTTCCTGCGCGGCCTATTTGGACCATCGAACACGAAAACTGGATTGATGGGCAGAGCGAGCAAGCAGGCGAGACAGTAGAATAGCAAACGCAACTCCAGGTTTAAGCCTGATTGTGTGTGTCCAACGGCAAATGTGTTCTGCGCTGTGTGCAGCCAGATGCTGAGAGAAAGCGAGACACAATGTGAGCATAGCAGGCATATCGACGCTGCAGGAATGTCCGTACCTAGCGTCGATGCCCACACGGTATCCTCGCGCTGCTGGCTTGTCTGCGTAGCCATCCTTCAGTGCCAAAGCACCCAAGCTGTCATGTACGACTGCTGAAAGCTTAACAAGCTGTTGGGAAATCAGAAGAAAGCTCATCAACAATTGCACTGCAGCAAAAGCGACTTTATGAAGTAGGTAGAGATGGCAACATACCTGCCATAACCCCTGGACACCCATGTTGAGCAGAAGATGTTTTGCCAGGGGTTTCTTCACTGGGAATATTGGTCAGTGCAAGTGCGAGAGGCAAGTCGAAGAAGTGGGAGCGACAAGCGACGACGTCTAGGGCCAGTAGCAGCCAACATCGACGTGGAAGATGGTGGAGAGAGAAAGAGACAAGAGAGGGAAAGGCGAGAGCCCCATGGTAAAGGGATGCAAGCCAGGAACTGGAGATGGCAAGACTGCAAAGCCAAAGAGTAGGGACTGTACATCTGTGAGTTGAGCAGCATTCGCAGGTCATTTTAGCGGTACGACCTGCGAGAATCGCCCCCTTGCAAATCCGTTCTTGACTGGCAAATTGACAGTCCCAGCTCCGACATGTACAGTCTCTAGCGGCATCCATCGGCAGCCTCCCAGACCTCCCATTTTGGGCAGGTCTGACTCTCTCCATGCCAGACTCTGCCACCTCAGCAGGGATTCACCATCTTGGATGCTTTCTGCATGCCGTCTGCTTCATTCCTCATTCGCCTCGACCTCTCGAATCATTATATTCACTCTAGTGCTACGTACAAGTGCCGTCTGTGCATTTTACCGCCCCTTCCCCTGCAGACCGACCCTCTTTGAACCTTGCTGCTCCACAGTCTTTGGGGGGCGCGCCTGACCTCTTCGCCCAGCTTTCCCCGCCACATGGGTGAGCAGCTTACCTCACCTTCCGGGGCATCTGAGGACTCAACATCGCATGGACCTCAGCCCTACTTCTTGCATTTACGCGATAGCTGCATGGCTTCAGCAATTCGTGGAACAGCTCCATATACTAGAGCAGTTAAGACACCACTATCAATCCCTCCCTTGCATAGTACAATGGAGCCAGAGGGATCGGGTATAATGTGTCAATCAAGGACAAGAAACAGAGCGAAGGAACAAAGTCAAATTGATGCATCCGCAATGTCAACCCCTGTGTGAACTGCTGGCCGAAAAAGTGGTATTTAAGTTGAAGACCTGCGTATGAGACCCCGCCGATGGATTCTACTTCCTCGACAGAACAATGTTTCCTATGTCGACCGCCCGATGAAGAGAATAATTTTCACACCCCAGAGACTTCCACTGAAAGCATTGTCGGAGTTTACCCAATTTTGCTTGTACTGTAAGGTATTCACTATGATTACATGAAGTATTTCTCCCACCCACTAATATACCTTCCCATTCCGAGCAATAAGTAAGAAATTTTCAGGGGGGTACCCGGCAATTTTCATCTGGATTCGCAGATGGCATTGCTGGAAAGGGGCCTCCTGATCCGGACCTCAGCCCCAGTGAAAACCCCGCCTGGCGGAAACTGGCGCTATGTAACTTAGCCTGACAAAGTCACTTTAGACGCTGACTGATATGGCAGATGCGGACGGTGGCTGCACATTTGCCATGTCTTTGCTTGTCCACGATGATCGACTCGTTCTTGCTACAGCTTTTGACCGGATCCGGCGACAACGCGACTACAACATGGTCACGATGACCAGAACATGCTGCGCATCTAATGCACTCATTCGAGATGCGTCCCCTTCGTAGTTTCCACTAACACCATGTATCCTATTATCCTACTTGCTCTCGTCGTGCAATAGAACATCATTCCACTACCTCCTTCATCTGGGCATATCCATCCCGGGCCCACTGCTGACATACGTGATGTCATCTGCACAACGCAAAATGAAAGAGTACTTTTGCGACTGCGACCGCTACTGTGGCGGAGTCCAGCAGAAGGTATCCAAGAATACGTACTACAAGCACAAGGTCCATCGCACCGCGCGCATTGGACAAGCATTTGGTTCCTTGCTGAGCAGACTCCGCGGTGATACAATTCCAGCAGATAGTCAGAGGCATACTGTTGTAGCAGATAGTTTAGATATGCGTCATGGGTCTGACAGGCCAATGAAATGGCGCCGTGAACATGCACGGAGAAGTGCTTCACTAAGTGAGGATCGTCATGGGCGAGTGAGTAGTTCCTTGTCATTCATACCAGGGGCATAATTATGATAGAATTTCTACGATATAGATGAACTTACACAATGAACTACCTGTACTACCTTTGGGTGAAGACATCACTAGTGCAGCTACAGTATGTATTTCTTCATAACCATGTTGCTTTACTGAATAGTCATGCAGGGTGGTGAATCACCCTCCTCTGCCGGAGTTTCATTGTCTTCAAGCCCTGTGGATCTTATTGCGACCTCTGTCTCCTCAGCATTGTATGATGCAGCTACCAGCTTGGAGGCGCAGCAGGGCAATGGTGCTCGAGCACCTCTAGCGGAAGCTCCAACATCTGTGACGACAGATGGCGATCCAGGCAGTCTCGCAGACATCAGTAATCAGACGAGCGCTGCACCGGCTTGTACAAATGACTCCGAAGCATGTGCTGTTGCGGATGCCCCGAACTATGAGGCCTTCGAAGACACTGGGGCCTCTCTTGATCTGAAGATTTGGGAACTCAAAATTGCCCAGGACTTTATCAACGAGCTTCATACTGCCTCCCTCGATGACTCGAAACTCTCCCAAGCGGCAATCAAACGTCTTCGCAACACTCCTCGCACTGCAACGCCAGAGACAATGGATCCATTGTTGCGATTATCCATTGAGATATACCTCGCAACTGAAAATGCATCGCAGAAGATGTACAATGAAATACGGGACGCCTTCCATCGCTGTTATCCGAATGACAAGCTCCTGTCATATGATGAGGTTAAGAACTGCCTTGCAGAATTGACAGGGATCTATCCTCTTCTGGAGGATATGTGTCCAAACTCGTGTATTGCGTTTACTGGTCCATTCAAGAAACTTGATAAGTGTCCCCTTTGTGGTGCGGCGCGATACGACGAGCATAAGCTTGCTGCGAGTGGTGGGAAAGAGAAGGTTGGACGTTCCTTCTATACCATCCCTATTGGTCCACAGGTGCAAGCCCTACTGCGCTCTCCGCAGACAGCGGAGCACATGCACTATCGCAAAGAGCTCATTGCGCAGATTACGGAGACCATGAAGAATGCACATCCGCCTGGTTTCATGGAAGCATATGAAGACATTTTTCACGGCTCGGACTTCCTCGCGGTGCATGAATGGGGTGATATTGGTCCTGATGACATTCTCCTTATGCTGTCTATTGATGGCGCTCAACTCTATCAGAACAAACAGTCGGACTGTTGGATCTATATTTGGGTGGTACTCAACCTCTCGCCGGACCTTCGATACAAGAAAAAATATGTTCTACCAGGCAGTTTCATTCCGGGCCCTAATAAGCCCAAAAATTTAGACTCGTTTCTATTCCCGGGACTTCATCATGTTGCGGCGCTGCAGAAGGAAGGCTTGTCACTATGGGATGCATATGACAATCGGACTTTTCTTGCAGCTTTGTATGTTGCCCTTGCGACGGCCAATAGTCCTGGTATGGCTAGTATTAATGGGCTTGTTGGGCACCATGGTGGTCATGGTTGTCGAGTTGGCTGTCCCATGTGAGGACGGCATAAGGAAGGCGGTACACATTACTTTCCTGCGGCTCTGAAGCCACATAACTTCAACATTGCTGGATGCAGCCATCCTGATGTTGATCTTCGGAATCCACTCAATTCGGACCTGCAACGTTATATAAGAAACCTCCGTTACGTCCAAAATTCTCCAAATGAAGCACAATATAAGAAACGCCGACTCGAAACCGGGATCGTCAAGCCTTCCATCTTTAGCGGTATACGCCCCAGGCATATTCTTGGTGTGCCTGAGTGCTTCGCTATCGATCTCATGCATCTGGTTGCCATCAATCTTCCTGAACACCTTATTGGCCTGTGGCGCGGTACTCTATATTGTGAGGAGACGGATAACAAGTCGACATGGGAGTGGGCTGTTTTGAAAGGCGAGGTGTGGAAGAACCATGGTCAAATTGTTGCGCAAATGACTCCTTACCTTCCAGGCTCTTTTGATCGCCCACCACGTAATCCGGCTGAGAAGATATCATCAGGATACAAGGCCTGGGAATACCTCCTGTATGTCTTTGCACTAGGACCAGGCATTTTCCGAGCAGTCCTACCTGAAAGGTACTGGACACATTTCTGCAAACTTGTTGCTGGTATACGACTCCTACAGCAGCGTCGCATTACATCTGCTCAGCTGCGACAGGCTCACAAATATTTAATTGAGTTTGTGGAAGAGTTTGAGGAGCTCTATTATCAGCGATGAGCAGACCGTCTCCATTTTGTGCGACAAAGCATTCATCTTCTCATGCATATTGCTCCGGAAGCTGTTCGCATTGGCCCAGGCGCACTCACGACACAATGGACAATGGAACGGACTATTGGTAATCTTGGACAGGAGATACGGCAGCATTCCAATCCATTTGCCAACCTCTCTGAGCGAGGCCTTCGACGCTCTCGAGTAAATGCGTTAAAAGCTATGTATCCTGACTTCGATGAAGACATTAGAAAGGGACCTCCAAGGGGCTCAATTGATCTCGGGCAAGGCTATCATCTCCTCCGTGCAATGGATATATGTGCTCGTCCACTTCGAGAGTGCGAATATACTGCACTTCGCGCTTTCATGTGATTGCAGGATGAGCCTACTACGGATGACTGGTCACCTAAAATAACCCGGTGGGCAAGAGTTCAGCTACCAACTGGTCAGATTGCACGGTCGGCATGGAAGGAGGAATTGAAAGCACTCACAAAAGTCCGCATGGCACGTATGGTGAAGGTGTGCATTTTATTTAAATGTGAACTATTTGCGATAACTCTGATGGCACCTTCTATTTATCACAGCTGCGATACGAACATCGTGAATGTGTTGGGGAAGTTAAATTTTATTTCCAAGTTCAAGTGAAGGGTCAAACTCGTAGCATTGCTCTCGTTTCTCTCTTCACTGAACCTAATACACAGCTTCTGATGAAATCAAGTGGTACTCTCCTTGTTTGCCGATATTTGGGAGATGCTGCACTGGCAGTTGTGGATGTGACTGACATTGTTTCTGTCATTTCTATGCCACCACTTCCGTCTACTGCAGAAGAGTTGGCCAATGCAGAAGGTCATGAGGCCCTTCGTGATCATTTCTATATTGTAGAGAAGCTGGGCCTAGACGTCATGCACATTGGTGGAGCAGACGAGAATGATTATGAAGGCTTGCAGTAGTTATAGGACTCTCACTGTGTATCTCTTCGAAATATATCTCGCTTGGCTCGCTCTTACTGAATATGGTATGCATATTGGTTCATAAGTGAGACATATTGGTGCCGACAATCTCTAACTATCAAAGTTTCCCAATACCTTTCGACTTCAGTTTGCAAGCCCCTAATCATCTTCCGGCTCTGTAACAGACTCTTCCGCAACATCTTCATACTGCGTTTCAGTAAACAGTGTTCGTGGTCGCTTGATTTTTTGGCTTTCTTTTATAGGTACGTCATCAGTTTCTAAACTAGCCGCATGTGGTCACTTGGATGCTAACAAAACACTTAGCTTATTGTCACTAAGAGTAGCTTTCAGAATACCTACTTACCTCGCTGAGCTGGACATGGTGAGTCCGGTAGTTGCAACTCAGTGTCACTACCACTTTTGGTGATTTTATCGCAATAACCAACTTGTAGCTCATTGGTCTCATGAACCACTTCTTGAGAATATGCAGGGATTGCTATTTCAGATCTTCCTTCATTATCATTAGGTCTTTCTGCCTTCAGACTTGCAGGAGGTGACACCTGTGAATTGCTTGAAATTGAGATGGTAAGAGCCTAACAAAATAAAGGAATTGTTCAGAATAATAAGTTTTCTATAGGCAGTTGTAGAGTACACACTGTCTCCGCCTCGAGAGAAGGCAGAATGAGTAAGGCAATAGGGACCCGAGGTACAGAATCTTGACCCATGCGTAAGTTGTTTGAATCCAAGTTAAGTCGGATCCTGTATTCTCTAGTAGTTGCCCTTCCAGCTGACATTACTGACTGCTCAGAATGTCTCAGTTGATAGTAAATGAAACTGTTGGTTCCTTCGACATTCTCGTGTCCACTGCAGTGGTCGAGTTAGAAAGCGGAAATGGAAATATCATGTGATCGGAAAGATCGCAATCTTTCTGAAACGTTCTGAAATTTCTGAAACGCTTCTGCATCTGCCTTCATCCTGTCTACAAGTACACTCACCTTCGGGATGTTATTATGTCCTACCCTATAGTAGAGCCATATACATCAGATGGCTCTCAGGCTATAGTCACATCAGATGATCTTATTTCACAGACATCAACTTCGCTTTCTGGGCTCTCAATTCTGTCAGCTAATGGTGCTGGAGACCTTTGTGGTTCCTTCCCATCTCCTGTGAGTGTCTGCAGGTGTTGATTGACTCGCGTGGCAGTTACAGAACCATTTCTGCAGGCAGCACGTAGTCGCCATGGATTTGATGATTTTTTCTCAGTACAGGCTAGTGAAACAAGCTTCGGTTCATTCTTACAGCTTCGTCGACAGTTTGAGGGTCTTACACTGGAGCATGTCAAGCTAAGAGAAGAATTTGATACCCTCTCGTGAGTGTTTTGTTGAATATTCCAATGTGGTTACCACTTACAAGTCTCGATGCCGGCGTAGGAAGGCTAATGAGCATACTAAGACAGAGCTCGAAACACTTAAGTGTGTTCAAGACCACGTTCTAATCATTTCAACATGCATCAACTAATATTTTTATATAGCCGTGCTTACCTTGCTTTGGTGAACTCGGTCGGAGTTGCACTGCGAAACAAATCTGTAACATCTGGATCATCCTCCACTGATCCATCAAGATTCACATTCAATAGTGATTTCTGTGGCTTCACTGTGGATGACGACTCACCCTCTGCAGTACGACTGACCTGCAAGACACATCCAAATATCCGTTTCTGGATGCACGATGACTTCAAGAATGCCTCACTGCAGGGCACGGTTGTCAAGCCTCAGTCGGACCCTAACTCAGAAGGCAAGGATAACAAAAATAATCAGCAACTTTACCTCGAAGACAAGGATGGGAACATCATTGGGGGTGCTCATCTCAGAGCAATCCGCAATTTTATCTCTTCCTGCTTTTTTACCATGCGAGACCGAGGTAGAGCTGCCATGTCATGGATGGAAACACCCCATGATATCAGACAGGCATTCTACCGAGAGTTATGCAGAAAGTTCGAAGAATTTACGTTCTGCAATGACAACTGGAAGGCACAGCAAATTGCCGTCAACATGTATCCGCATTTCAAGAAGCGACATCTTAAAGCCATGGGCCCATCGAATTCTGGGACTAAGCAAGAGCCCTCAGAGTCATCGCTGGGCAAGAGAGCACAGAGAGATCCTTCTTCTGAGAGGCAAACAAAGTCGATGAAGTCAGATTCTCCGACCTTGAAGGTACCAGAGCAATCAGTTGATATCGGGGACAAAGCGGATGAGTCGACGAGCATAGTGACGCCGCATATTCAGATTGTAAGTCGCAACACCTTCTGTTGAGTATATGATTGACTACATTCACCGTTAGAGAGTACTGAATCCTCTGTAAGTCGTGTTGCCCCATCACATTGCTGCCAATCTAACGCTTTTTTGTTTTGACAGCGTGGGTGTCTTTACCACAGATGCAGAGCCATCACCGAGTGGACCCTGTACCCCCTCGCTCGATGCATCTTCAAATTCACCCAAAACGTCTTCTTCCACTCTCACCGAATCCCTCCAAGATGCAGATAGCAATATTCCAACTTTCAACGAGATCCCGTTGTCTGCGCCACCAGACCCTTCAAGTGAGTCAAACAGGCACCACGATGAGCCCACTGCGGCATCAGTGCGAGTGTCGACAGATCGACATGAACCACTGGCACACTACGATCAGGAGAGATCCGACGCAGGAGCCGGAATGAATAACTCTGGTATGTTGCTTATACTCCTACTTTCTCTTCATTACTGTCTGAGCTTTCCGTTTGATTAGAGGATGCCGACGCACTGCAACCATCAAATAGTGCCTTAGTTGGAACAGCTTCTGGTTCCGCATCTGAAATACCTGCCAGTGAAGGAAAGACTGGTGCAAAGTGAGTACCTTTGTTGTCATTGGGCTCTAACAGTATGGGCCTTACTTGTATCAGAGAGCTTTGCAGACAAGAGTGGGCCGTCACAAATCCAAATGGGTTGAAGCAAGACTTTGAAGTGTATTGGAAAGCCTTGCCCACAGATTCAAAGAAGGTGCGTCATTTGCATCAGGGGTTTTTCAACTTCGGCTAATGATTCTTGATTGAAGGTATTCACCTCACGGTCAGCCAAGCTCAGAGTATGTTCATTCTCGCTCTCATTTTTATAGACTTACACTGATGTTCTCACAGCGGCAGATACTCGGTATGTCCTCATTCTTTATTTATCGTACCGTACCCAGTCTTACATGCATCACTTGATATAGATAATGCGGCGATGCAAACATGGTCTTTACAATGCAGGTTGTTTATCCACTGCTCGCATTTTGCACTTTGCGGACTGTTTCGGATGACGATCGGGTACGCTAGGAAGAGTAGTAATATTATGCTATATACAGTTAGAAACTGCCATAAATACAGTTTGTTCTAATATGGGTACGAAGCGGTTGAGATCTGACGAAGGCTGGCAAATATATAGCTGGTATATACTGGAAGCTACAAGCAGATACTGGCAGAACCTATGCACAAAAAAAACACATGCAATATGGCATTTTCCCAACTTTTATAGCACTGTCTGCTCATATATGGTCGACGAGCCGGAGCAGCTGTCACCATATCTCGTCCGATTCTGGAAGATGGGATTCTCACTGGGCCTCAGCATGGCTGTTACCCACTTTTCGGCCAAAATCCTACGGATTTTGAACATCCTTCGGCCACTTTTGCCATTTTCGAACAGCATATATGGGGTATTATCAGGGGTCCTTGGACTGTCCATTGATTTTTGTCCGGATGCCAATGGAAGCGCCAGCAATGGTGTCTTAGCGCCCGGGATGATACATGCGCCGCAGGCCCGAAAGTCGAAGGTTTTCCAAAATCCTTCATGCAGCCAGCCCGAAACTGGTCAAAATGGCCAAAATCCCCCCAGCCCGAAACAGGCCAATATTGCCAATTTGGGGATCGGACATCTATAGGGTTTAGCGGGGGTCCTATGTGGCCTCATAAACGCAACGCATGTGAGTGCGAGCACCGAGCACACTTAGTAATAAACATAAGACGAAGTAATGCATGGACCGGAATTCTGACAATCGTAATCGCAACGGCAAAATTTTGCATACCCATATTGCAGACATGACGGCTGCCAATTGAGCAGAAACTCGACGTTTAGAAAAGCTATTGATACACAGACGATGATGTATAATACAGATACAAAGTCCACAATTCCTTCTCAATGTGCTTTTGAATTGTCACTAAGAGAATCGCCTTTCATTCTTCACGCAATAGTGATCCTCTTCGGTGCTTGCTCTGGTGTAGCCTTAGGGAAGGTCACGGTAAGAACGCCGTTGTCAAGGGCAGCCTTGACGTCATCAGGCTACGAACAACATTGTCAGCGAGGTGCTAAACATCACGTTAGAAGCATCGTAAAGCTCACCTTCACACCCTGAGGCAACGACAAAGCACGAGAGAATTTGCCATAGCGACGTTCACGAATCACGTAGCCACCCTCATCGCGCTCTGAAGACAACTTGCTCTCGCCAGAGATAGTGAGGACGTTGTCTTGCACGTCGATACTGACGTCCTCCTTCTTCAAGCCTGGAAGCTCAAAGGTGGCAGTAACGGCATTCGACTTAGGGTCTTCGTGCACGTCCATCCTGGACGAGTCAAGTTGACGATGTTAGCTCGAATTGTACAATGCCCCTGAGGAATACAAGAAGCCTACCTTGGTCTCAGAGCTCGAGGCTCGATCGCTCGTCGAGCAACACCAGTATCACCGGTACGGGCAGAGAAAGCCTCATCGAAGAGGCGGTCGAAATCAGTGAGAGGGTCGTAGAAGAAACGTGAAAGAGACATTGTGATGTGAGTACAAGTGGTTGAAATGTGTTTTGGATGGGAAGCGGCAAAGTGGACTTTATATAGACATAGTGGAAGTCATCAGTGACGTTCGCTATGTATCTATAAGTCTTCCAATGACTTCATATACTCCTATCTGGCCCATAATCTGGGTTGTTCTAGTGATTGCTTCGAGCCAGTAACGGGCTCGAGAAGAGTCGCGAAGTCTCCGTAGCGCCCAGGTCCGAGTAAGGTAAGTTTGATGGAGCTTTACAACTTTGGGTAGGTTTGGTTAGGTCGGACATATTGTACACGTTGTCGAAAGAACAAATGATATCTAGAAGCCTGGTACGCTTTGCACCCACCCTCATACGATTAAAGGTGAACGCAACCTCTGTGTATAACGGCGTCGCTTTAAGGCCTCCAAACACGCGTCAACCTCCATGCCTCTGCAGAAATCAGATGATGCTGTGATGGTCGGTGTTCACGTACTGTACTTTCAACAGCGGACTACTGCTTCTTCCACTGCTGTGCTCCGTCCAAGGGGCGAAGGCGCAGACAGAACATCGACTGGCTTGATAGCAATGTGCGCCTTGACAAGTGTTCCGTTGTGTGCTGTCGAAGTAGCACCTCTGCGGCCAGCACAATATAGACTGCCAAAGGTTCCTTTTCGATGAAGGTAGTCAAGCTGATCTTTGTTTGCACGACGACCCTCTGTAGTTTGTATTTCATGGCGGCGATGATCTCCGAAAGAGCGAGCACCTTAAACAACAGGATAGCAGAGTAGACGGGCCAGCGTGGAGCCAGTTTCGGATTTGTCGATAGGAAATAGCCCCCTTGTACTCGGCTGATTAGTGCCTTTCGTAGGAGACATATGTGCCAGAGCAAAAATGTCCTGTATGACGTGTGACACTAAACGGAGTATCGCTTGGAACACGATGAAGTTAGCAACGTCACAGGAGCGAAGAATCACACCTTCAGCCGACAAGTGTTACGGTGATAGGTGATTGCTTAGATTCCGGACGGCCGCTAGCAGGAGGTTGCATATTTCCGTCGCTGAAGGTTTTAAGCGTACTATAAGCCAACTTAAACGTGTTCCGGCCAGCAAGATCAAGGAGCAGCCCACTTTAACGTCGATTTCAACGATCTTCAGAGACCGTGCATAAGTTCAATAGCGTTCAGCTACCTTGGTCCCGATGGTTGGTTGCGGCAAGTTGGGTTTGTTTACCGCAGAAAAACGCGACGCTGTCGTGCGCCATTTTAACCTTATTATCATTACTTGGGCGGCTACCACGTTGTCTGTCCTCCACGAGCATCCATTCGACTGCATAAACTTCTTCGGAAGTCTGACTCTGAGAATATGGTTCTGATTCCTGCCTGCATGCCTAAGATCTTTACAAACCGTAGTATATGGTACAACTGGTGACCGGTGACTCCCTAAACATGAGTGGGAAGACGAACCGGCGCGTTTTTCTGCAGCCGCTCTACAGGAATTTAGTAGACTGTCTTTCGTCAATGGAGGCTTAAACTAACATGGATTCATCCGATGTTGCTGCTGTACAGCTTATTCAAATGCTAGAGGGCTTCCGCACTATTTTGCTTTGCATTACAATAGCAAACTTGGAACACGAACACACAAGTTAAGGTTGGCTTGAAATCCTACCAGTATAGTGTATGGCGTAGAGACTTAGATCTGTAACTGATATACGTTTATTTTCGCCAGGACAGTCATAATACTCCTGTAATCGGAAGGTTCGCTTCTTTGTTCTTCGCCACTCAGCCGCCGGTACGCAATGGGCAGGTGGCCGGCAGCATCTCTCCATACAACCATGTTGACTACCTCTCCAATTAAGTCGATTCTTCACCTACCTCTACGCGTTTTGCTGTTAATCCTCGACTCGGATGTCTTATCGTACCAAGACATCCTGGCATGCAAACAGGTATGCACCCCATCTCTCGGAATCGTTGAATGTCGTTGACTTTTTGGTCTTAGGTTTGCAAACTGCTTCGACGCATCATTGATGGAACACCGTCCCTCCAGTATAAAATACTACTTGCAGCCACCGGCATGGACGACATGAAGACGTACTCGCTCAGCGCTGCCAAAAAGCTCGCGAAACTCAGACAGTACGAAGCAGCCTGGGCTGACCTATTTTCACCTCGACCCTACAAATCTTCCATACCAATACTGGGCGAGCCTGGTTGGGAGTTCTTTGGTGGCGTATTTGCCCAGTTCCTCGACGAACATACCATTCAGTTCATACGTCCGCGGTTCCACATTAGAGGCGTGAAAGAAGACATGTGGGCCCTCTCTCTATCGTTGAGCTTGAGTTCCTTCTATATGGATCCCTATCAAGACTTACTCATGGTTGTCGTGTGCGACGAGGGGCTGTGCGTCATTCTCTTCTTCATGATTTACTACCAATCTGAATGTATCCAGTCATTGTCTGCATCTACTCGATATACACACAGGTTCAAAACATGCTTTGGCGAAGATGCAACGTTTGCTGATTCCCGCCGACGAAGACGCCGATTTTGAGATTAATAGTTTTGGCAACAAGGTGGTTATGTTAATACGATGGGAGGAGGAGGAACTTCCGCGTTCTAGACTTGCCATTTGGGACTGGCAGTTGGGTATTCCAATCTTGGTAAGAGTTATCTATTGTTTGCTGCGCCACTCATATGTATCTGCCCTTCAGATATATGACAACTCACCTGACCTTGATGGTAAGATCGGTACCGACTATGTGACATTCACATTCCTGGACTCGGATAGGATCGTGTTCAGTGTTTGTGATTACACCCCGAGGAGAGGATTTCAGAACGGCCGACTTGTCGTGATTGACCTTGCGCTGGGAAGTCATGCATTTTCCGATGCCCTGACTTTTCAACTTCCAGAGCTAGCCGACGATTGCCGCATTTCAGAACTGACCCTGTTTCGTAAATGTTCATTAGCCACGCCTGCCGCCGGAACATGCAGAGTTCCATTCCGGGGATCGCAGGAAAAGGCTGCGATATTCATTCACTATAGTATCAGCAATGTCTCTACCGGAGAAGCCGAAGTGATAACAATCGTCCTTCCGACCTGCAAGCTCCTTTTCCTGTGCGACGAGTATGGTAGCGCTTCTGCTTCTCAAGATGTCCCTCGCGCCGTTCTTTGGGATCTATGGGGTCCTAAAAACACCCGAGCTTTAGTCAACCTCGATGCCGAATATCAAGCAGTCTTCGGTACTCGACTGCTCTGCGTGCAAGACGACTACGTCACTCTGTATGACTTCAATCACCTTGGGGCACTTTCTGACCTTACGCTTTCTCTCACGCGGTGTATGGGTGAAGACGATGACTGCGACCCGTTGAAATTGGCAACTCAGTTTAAGTCACCGTCGACGATCAAGTCGAAAATGCTTGCGCAGGAGCTAACAACTACTCTCCCTTATCGCGTGCTCTCAACGGGAATGATGTATGATGAAAGCCACACTCTCATGTTCAGCGAGGATACAGTTATCATCATGAATGTATGTTCCCGACCTACCCATACTGGATTTTTGCTTACCGAGGCGTCCACATTTGATCAGGATACCAACAAAGAGAATGTCGTCTATTCCATCTAGTAGCATGAACGTCGAGTATCTAACATGCGCTCTCATATATTTTCGTCTTGTCTATCCCCCACCATGATTCCACCAGTATCGACACCATTGTACATAAGACTCCTTACAGACTCTCCAATTGCACTGTGATTTATGGATATAAATTTTAAATGCCGTCCTGTCGCACGAAAACCCGCGTTTTATTTTTATCTCTTTCCCCCGACGCGATTCACGATACCACACATTAACATTCTGGTCCAGAGTTGGCATGAGTGGTCTCCTCTGTACACTTTTGGAGTCTCAGAAGGAAATGGTTATCGTTGGAACAGGGCTTCTGATGCTCTTACTCCGCCCAAACATCGTGAATGAAGATAGGGAGATATGATCAAGCAATGGATCATCCACCCTAGCTCAAGCAGTGCGTAAATTCCAATAGGCTACACATTTCAAGAAACAAAGCTAATCGCCATTAGTGGAAGCATACATGCTCAATCTAAACGGACCCGAATGTCCTTGAGAGCAGTGATCACGGATACACACAAGTCCAAGGCAGATTATGGCATGTACGGCTTACGGGTGAATATCGATTGATCGGTGATAACGTCACCCAAATTTGCCTTGCAATATGGTAATATTCTATACACTGGAATCTCGTAAACTGAAAACCCTTGCACAATGCGACTGTCACAGAAAGCGATCTGGGAGATTAGGACCTTCTATAATTCAATGCTGAACAACTGGATAGATACGTCTGAGTAAACAACAGGCTCAGAACAGAACGATATTTACCTCGGATGCAATCTTCTGCACCGTCTTAACCTTCTTACATTCCTCTTTGACGTTCGTCGCTTTCGACGAATTCAACATGCCCTCAACGTGGAAGCGGTGAAGATACCTGGCAGCCGCCTCGATTGCATATCAGATAAAAGGACAACGAAAACATACCGCAGACATGCTTCTTCCTTGAAATCCGTATAGAGCTTCCGGTTGTACTTCCTCTGTATAAAGATGTAACTTAGCCATGATCCATGAAGAACAGAAATGATGCGAAGTGATACCTCTTCCCGGCGAGCCTGTTCCTCATATTTGTGACTCTGGTGGATCAGGAAATGGTCAGACATGACGAAGAACGAGACCCCACTCAGATACATCTCGAATAGACATGCAGCCTTGTTGGCACCATAGCCAGTGAATCGTTCGTCGCACCTGCAGACATCCATTCAGCATATCGGGCATGAAATGCACGTAGAACAATGATTTACCAAGGAACGTTCTTGCTCATAATCACATACGGCTCATACGCACTTTGGTATTGACCGACGGGATAGATATCATCCTGACCTGGGGGAATAGAGTAATACTGTGCATAATTCGTACTGTTATGTCCAACAGCCCAGGATGCATGGAACGACGCAATCTTAGGAGCCGAGCCCAGGACGAGCCGAAGTAATGTCTTGAAAGAATATTACGACGATGCTGCAGCACTAAGGAGAACCAAACGCCACTGACCTCTTTATCTCGAGGGAAAATGCGCTGATCCGACCCGTCTTCCTGATCGAGGTACTCAAACACTGGAACCACCAGAGCGGCCGTACCTGCACGAAGTCTCTTGAAGACATTCAGCCTTGCCGTCTCATTCATTGAGTTGCGCCAGGCGGGTCCAACATTCAAGGGTGCGTTCGGATTCCATTCTCGGTCGTTCAGCTCTAGCTTGTGCATCGACTTCCGGACCGCGCTCCTCCAGTCGGTGCAAACAGCAAAGTCCACGTCTAACATCATCACGAACTCAGTCCTAGCAAACAGTCGAGCGACATTCCTCCATAGGTTGAATTGTCGACCGCCTTCACCTTGTCCATCGTTACCGGTGCCAGATTCGACTTTAGATCCTCGGACAGATCGCGAGAAGGGAGAAACCGCAAGATGCACGTCGACATAGTCCGAGAAATGAGGAGAAGAGTAATACAGCTCGTGCAGTTCCTTCAGCGCCCTTATAGACGGATGATCATCGGACATCGCAGAAATGCCTTCGACAGGTAGAGGCACGTGTATCGCGACAGAGATGGGGCCTAGGGACGTCAAAGTCAACGCTCTCGCAACAGGCAGTGGTATCCACCTTGATATCTTTCGACCAACTGTCTCAGCACCTTGAATCGATTGCTTGTCACCAGCGTGGCAATTGTCACATCGTCCGATTGTATTTTGGAGGAAGCGCGGAAGTAGTACGGTACGATCTTCGTAGGATGCAGAGACTGCGTGAATGCCTTTGAGAGAAGGGTTTCTTCGTGTACAGCAGGAAATTGTGTACGACCATCAAGATAGGGATTGTCGGTCGGCCATATCAGAGGAGTTTGAGCAGATCCAGAGAACACCTGAAGGAGACGAGAGTCGATTTCAAATTTACGAGAGATTTCGCTGCCAGTATTCTTGCCCTGCGAGGAATCGGAGAACAGCTTCACAGAGTGCAGTATTCCAGGGGTAGCGATTGAAAGGAATAGGCGTGTGGTATATAGAACAGCGACGGCAACATAGACTAAGAAGCCGAGCTGCAAGAATCTTGATATTATCGAGAACATACGTCGACAGGCTTGCGAACGCTAGAAGTAACAGAGGTTTATCTTATGAAGATTATGGTCAAGTTCACGGCCTAAGATAACTTCAATCGACGAGGAGCAGAGTTGAAAGACACAAGTGTAACAATCTGTAACAATTCATGAAAGTGAAATTGATTCCGTAGTAGGAAGTTATGGTGTTGTGTTTGGTCTCTATCATTCAAAGTCCGCAAGTCCAACCATTGAGGACAGTAAGTTATGTTGATACAGTAGATGCTCTCTTGTCATTGAGTTTGCACTGTCGTAGACTGTTGTTTGTATACCAGCTCCTCGTATAATCCTTCATGGGAGATATACCCTTCTGGGATGCAGACGGCAACATGTTTCTCTGCGCTCCCCCGCCACTGTTCTGTGATGAGTGGCGGCGAGGAGATGAGATACCAGTCGACCAACGCGATATTCACGCACGCGTGGAAGATCTTCTTCAATGTCCAATCAGTTCCATAAAAATATTAGCTGTTTCGGTCAATACTGTGAGTTACGTTTGTCCTCAGGCGATAATAACCTAACTGGGTCGTTAGACAATGGAAATTGTTCTTCAGGATGGCCGAAAGTTTATCTTACGCCACCTTCCTTTCATTACTGACGATTACGGATCGAACTCTTGGAGGAAACGCAAGTTGGAAACGGAACGTGATATCATGTTGTTCTTGAATCGTGCGATTCCTCAGTTACCCGTTCCAGAGCTGCACCGAGTTGAGGTCCAGGCTGATTACGGGGAGATATGGATGGAGGAACTCCCTGGGCTGCCTGTAATAAACTGCTATACACTATTCAATGTGGCACAAAAGGTTTGTTGAGTACCCGCATGTGGCGTCAGACCACTGACTTATTGTATTCCAGGAGGCCTGCGTTTTATCATACGCCGATTTTGCGTTGAAATTATTCAGGCTACAGGTACCTGATCAGATTGGTTCTGCCTCTCTCAGAGCCGCGACCACTGAGGATGACTCCCTTACTGTGGTGCCCAGAATCTCTCATCCCGAACGAGCGTGTTGCCCAACCGTACTTGCATCTCTTGAAGAGCACGTTGCCGTGTCTATCCAGAAGTGCTTGTCCTTCCGCTCCGCCAATGAAGATGTTGACACGATTATCCAAATTCGCGAGACTTTGACGAAGCTTGAAGTGCTGTTAAGTCCTCTCATGGAGCAGCTTGGTGACAAGCATCTGCGACGATGCGTTCTCGTTCATGAGGATCTGCGGTCAACCAACATTCTCGCAGATACAACATCCGGGAGAATTACGGGGGTTCTTGACTGGGAGTACCATGCATTCCTTCCCGCCGTCTTGGCTGCTAGTTATCCTGAATGGCTTCTTTATACCGGACCTTGCGACTGCCGTTTTCGTGATCCAGATCCAACGGTTCCGGGATGTGTGTGGTTTGATAGCCCAGAGAATGCTAAGCACTACATGGATCTCTTTGACCAGGTGATGACAATCTGAGCACGTTTATTTTAGGTACTAATGCGACTTTAGGTTGTAAAGGAACGAGATCCGGAATACTTTGACTGCCTAAAACGTGGAGAACATCTTCGCGATGCGTTACAGTGGCTCCCTCATCGCAGATTTGATAGAGGCTGCAAAGGACTAAGGGCGTGGATGGAATGTACTTTTTGATAAGTGACATTGGTAAATTTGGTAAATAGGCAGGCGACTTCCAAAATCGTTGTAGTTATATGGGACAGACTCAAATACCCTCTACGTGCGTTTCAAGTACATGTTATAATAGTTCTTGACTTTTAGGACTCAGCTATATACATGTCTAAGATATATGGGCACCCCAACATGCACTCCTTAGTAACAACAATGAGTTCCAAGCAAGAGAGTCCGTGACAATAGCCTCACTCGTGGAACGGTCTAAACAAACAAGTTAATGCATATTATGGTACAGAATACAAGGGCCCGGCAGTCAAAGATCGAGGCAAGGAGAGGGGGAAAGCGATGATAGTACAGACTGAGCCTGGTGAGATTTGAGGAAACAGATGCATGAAAAGGAGAACGGTGCGTTCGTAGAAGAGGGAGAAAAATAGCCCCGACAGACTAATCTTACTACTTCCCTGCGCTGTTGCCACTAGGACGAGGCTTCGGGCGTCCAGGACAGAAATGAACCCCGCCCTTGGTTGTATTCATCCAACCACCACATATCAGGCAGCGATCAGCGAGATTGACGGGGGTCTGAGGAGATCATTCGTGGCTCAGCACAAAGAACTGAAAGCGGAGGTCTGAAGCATCTACTCACCGGTCCAGGGTTTGTACTTGGCATGTCAGCGGCGCGTGGTCGTAGGTAGATCAACAGATGGGAGGAGTTCTGAGAGAAAAGGGCAGATAAGGAGGAGGTCGAAACGTCAGTAAGGGAGAACTCACGGTTGAAGACAGGAATTACTGTTCTGGTTTGTCCCGGATGTGCTGCGGCTGCTATTATATAGGGAACACCAGTGGGCTTTTCCGATGCAAGCCGTCTGCAGTCGGGATCCGCATACAGAGCCAACTAAAAGCGAGGCGTACGCAAGCCTCTACAGGAAAAAGGTCCGTGATGAAGAAGTCAACCGTTTAGATGATTCATATCCGATTTCTGATCGCATTGCGATGGTATCTTTGAGCCCGAAGGCCCAATGGTCCTAATGAGGGATGAAGGGAAACTGATGCGCGTAGGAAATCCGCTGTTGTCCTGGCTCTAGGACCTCACCTCATCGTCAGCTGCATGCCTCGAGGATGGCGAGGCTATGTTGGTCTAGTCCTTTCAAGGACATTGGTTCAGGTGGGTGTATATGTGAACCTCGGCGCAATTTTCTGGACAGATTTGTATCGACACGAGGTTAGAGGGTTCCCAAATATGCCAAGGAAATAGATTGAAATGCTTCTGAGAAGTGGACCTCTCAGAAACCACCTACATGAACAGTATGGAGTAGCTGCATCACAGGTTTGACATGTTAAGATATTCACCAGTTGAGGGAGACAATCATTTCAATCAACGAGGAATACAAGGGATGGTGGAGCCCTACCTCGTTGACCCCACAACAGCAACGCTGTACGCAAACGTTAAATGTTTTGAGGAAACCTTAGTATCTTTTGTGTGAGTACACGGCGACGATGACTCAAAAACAAAGTCGTGTCCGAGTCTAAACTTACTGGATACGTTCAATGTCTGATATATGTCCATTAGTTCTTCCGCTGCTAACCCGTTGTGCGAGTGGCCGCATGCTCCAACTCGACCCTGAATGATTATCTGACGAGAACAATGGGCGGCGCAAAAAGCTTTCTATGTCACATTGTGAGCCCGCAGATACAAAGTTGTACTCAGACAACTTTAGACTAAGATACCTCACAAATTGTTACGGCCCTGAGGCCTGAGGCCTGAATGGGCACTATCAGTGCTGAATGACATACACTCCGTGTACATTGACAACACGCTATGGCAGAAATACTGTCACTTGCAAACTTCGAGTCAAGTATTTGACTTACAAAGGGTTGGGCGCTAATGGTAGTGGTACTGTACGTAACGGCCTAAGTACAATGTTTCTCAGATAGATGAGCACATAACTGTTACGATCACTTTCATTTCAGATCTACGAACACACCTTTCCCTCTCGTTATTCATTTGTAACCATTTATTAAAACCTGCCCAAACACATTCATTGATCCATGCTCGAACCTGACCGATACCATAAGTATATACGAACACATTGTTACCACATGTATTTAGATAATAGTTGTATATATACACCAGATGAACTTCGGATTAACTCCAAGTCTCGAATGGTTTTACACTGCTCATTTCTAGTTTGATTTGAGTTCTATCAATAACCGTATAGTAGGATTTCGCACTGATAATCATTCAGGGTCCAGCTGGAGCATGCGGCCACTGGTCAGAAATCGGATATGGATCATCTAGACAATTGACTTCTTCATCACGGACCTTTTTCCTGTAGAGGCTTGCGTACACCGTGTTTTCGGTTGGCTCTGTAAGCGGATCCCGACTGCAGACGGCTTGCATCGGAAAGGCGCACTAATTTTCCCTATAAAATAGCATTCGTGCGTCCGGGACAAACCAGAAAATCAGTTCCTATCTTCAGCTGTGAGTGTTTTCTTGGTGACTTTCCATCCTCCTTCTTATCTGCCCTTTTCGCTCAGAACTCATCCTGTCTATTGATTCACCTACGACCGCACGCCGCTGACATGCCAAGTACAAACCCTGAACCGGTGAGTTGTTGTTTTATGTCTTGGCTTTCAGTTCTTTGTGCTGAGCCATGAATGATCTCCTTAGACCCCCGTCAATTTCGCTGATCGCTGCCCGATATGCGGTAGTTGGATAAATTCAATCAGAGGCTCTCATTCCTGTCCTGGACGCCCGAAGCCCCGTCCTAGTGGCAACAGCGCAGGGAAGTAGTAAGATTAGTCTGTCGGGGCTATTTTTCTCCCTCTTCTACGAACGCACCGTTCTCCTTTTCATGCATCTGTTTCCTCAAATCTCACCAGGTTCAGTCTGTACTATCATCGCTTTCCCCCTCTCCTTGCCTCGATCTTTGACTGGCCCTTGTATTCTGTACCAATATGCATTAACTTGTTTGTTTAGACCATTCCATGAGTGGCTCGATGCTAGCAATGTGGATTCCCTTGTTTCTACATCTTACTCAAACGTTTCTGACGGTGTTTCACTGGCCGGCGGACTCATGAATGGCGAAACACAAAGAGAGGTAATAGGACAGCTTACTAGGTACGGACAAGGGGTATACAAGCAACGATAAAGGGAACGATTGTTTGGGCCCAATCGTAGACGAAGGTAGTCATGAGGCCGCCGAAGACTATACAAACGGCGATGCCAATAGGCAGAAGGCAACAGGCCGCGATAATGTTCATGTCTGTTGGTGCAGTCACCATGGCCGCTCCGCCACACTATAAGGACCAGTCAGTAACACTCATTCAGACTGACGTTAGTGAAAGATGAGCCGTACATGACCAGAGTACACAAGAATACATGGAGGGTGAATAGCAGACGTGCCGTAGGTGATCTGATGTCCATTATCTGTTCAATTTGAGCTGCCAATCTGATGACTCAGGCTATATGATCATCTCAAGGAACGTATGTCACCCATTCGCGTTCATCTTGAAAGTTCGGCCGCTACCATAGCAAAAAAAAGGGGGGCCAGTTAGATATCTCCGCCTACGCCATACCACTTGTAGTGTCTTCAATAGCTGCTTGAGCCAGGCGTCATGAAACTCTCCACCACGGTCCGTTTATCCCAAATGTATAGGATGCTGTCCTTGATTGTAGTGACGTTGCACTCCATGTCCATGCACTACCACTGAGAATAACAGGTATCTCGGTAAAACAGACCCATGAACTGACGTTAAGGAAACTCACATCCCACAAAATCTGGCTGCACTGGCAGTTAGAGAATCCATCAGCTTCCCGTCCGACATTCCAATAGACTAAAATTTATCTTCACACTTCTGAATGCATTTTATCGACACCTCTATCAATCGTCTTAAACTGACCGAATCATGCGCACATAGTACTTACTGAGAATTGCTCGGACGAAGAAGGCGAAAACTTGGAGAATTTGGCTTGTAGAAAAGTTAATACAAGTATGAGAGCGGCGAAGAAGAAGCCGACGCCTGCGAAACGGTCAAATCGACTTCGATGGATATGTTATAGAAGTGAGCTCACCGACTACCACGCCATATCCCGCGCTCTGGTCTAATGGGACATTATGGTGCGAAAAGCTCGTACAAAGTAACGCTGGACGTCCCGAGCGAAGGTTTAAAATCAGATATGCTAAACATCGTCAAGACTTAGAAGAAATAGAGAGGATCTCGCCAAGTGGAGAGGAAAAGGTCATCGTTATCGCGTCGAGGAACCTTCAAAGTAAGGCTTCAAAGCTTTGGGCATGGGGTCCTGAAAATATCGTCTTGGATATAGGATTGAAGAAACGTGTCTCCACAGAAGCTACGAGCTCAATTTGGGCCAATGTCGTAAGATAGTAGACGAAAGGTAGTGAACCTCGTGCACATACCTTCGACCTGCATATAATGGAGACATACATACCAGTGCGCCTCAGTTCTCTGTCTGCTGGATGTTTAACCCTGTTTAGTACCAGTAGCAATACCAGTCGCGTCTCCAGTCCATCCACTCGAGGCATGACCAGCAGTAAAAACGTAAGTATTATGGTAGTTGAGCTACCAAGATCGCAAAAGCTAATCCCGGACACAAGTCGAGTATCATGTAGATGTAACAAAAGTAACACAACGTCTGTGCATCGCGATACATAACGTACGAGAGACTAGAAGGTGATAGATTAGGAACATAAGTGTCAATAAACATCCATATATAACTCACCGAAGTTCCTTATCGACACCTCGGCAATTCGAGCATGAACGAGATGCACCAAGCCTTGAGGTAACACCGCCGAATTGATGATACAAGACGAAGGACTATTATCGCCCAAGCAGCCTTCTCCACCAACTCCCCTTGACGGCCTTATCTTCCTTCGCGATACCGCTTTCAGCACGCTCAGCGGAAGCAGCATACCGACGTTTGTACTCTGAAGGTAGCTCTTCAAGCGCACCGTACTTCCACATGCCTCGTTTCGCTGCCCTGGAGTACAACGAGATTCAGCTACCGCGGGCAGGAAGAACATGAAATCAAGTGTCACTGACTGAGCTTCCGCCTGAAGCCGGAGGAATTCCTCCTTGCCCCATTTGCCATACTCAGCACCAGATTGTTCGTAAGTGACCGCCCAACCGGCCCGAAGCATTTCCAGAGAGATACATTTGCCTCTTGCCATCCAGCTTGGCAGAAAGCGTGGTTTCAAATGAGGTACTGCGACCTACAGGAAGATCAATCAGGCGAGTACGTGAAAGAGCAGGAGAAACCCACAATTCGTGAATATTGGTCCTTCCGTACAAGTTGACAATATACGGTCTTGCCTTCTACTTGACTCTTTAACCAAGCTAGACTCTCATCGGCATACTTCTGCCCCGGCCGGCCAAAGTGACTCCCCTGTTCCATACCCATCAGGGTGAAAATGAACCTATGAAACGCAGTGAGACGCACCTCAGGAGCGTCTATACCTGCAAGACGAATATGAATAGTCTGGTCCTTCAATTCTACGAACAACAGTCAATCATACTATTCATGACAGGTCAAGAACGTCCTTCGTAGAGACCTTTACTCGTGGAGGGAATTCTTCGAAATTTCAGTGGCCAGTTCCAACCTAACCAAGGCGTATGATACACGCGGAAATTGTCATTGTCACCTACACTACAACACATTAAGGTCGTGTGCGGCCTGCCTCAGATGGTATTCACCTAGTGACCTTCCCCTTTATCCAACGCTTCTTCGCAATCATATCCGGGGTTATCCACTCGCTGTTGGGCAATCGACGTAGGTATCTTCGATGAAATGCTATTGTTGCTGAAGCTGCGACACATCCGGAGACGAAAGAAACGAATGCGAGCTGGTATTCTTGTGGTGTGTCATTGAACCACTCCCTGATGCCCGATTTCGTCGTATCGACATTTTCAGTATCTTTATTTCGAGACCAGAACATGGCGTAATGAATGAAAGAAAGAGAATCGTGGATTCTAAGATGGGTACAACGCGCCGACTGCACGCTCTCAAAGTGAAATCGGCGCCTAAACATAATATTGACCCTTTGATCTTGCAGAATCTTGTCCGGCTTCCACAAGCTTCAACGTTCAACCAACGCTAGAAGATATTCTACTCTTCTAGTCGAACTTGAGAACAAAAATGAATACTCTACGATCGCTGGAGACTGTAGATCCGTCTGTAAAGCCCGAGGAACTATTCAAGTTTATCTGCAAACGACAACCGGTAGTCATTAAGGGTCTTCCAGACGATGAGAACTTCAAAGCCAGAAGATGGGTATGTCGGGGCGAACCTGCGTGTGATATATCTGCTGAATGTATTGCACGAAGACAGATCTCGACTACCTTAGCTCCAGGGCGGGTGATATAGAGGTTCTCGTAGAACCTATACATCCAACGTCCAAGCAATATGGAACGGATGTAGAACGAATTCCCATGCCATTCAGAGAGTTCATCACATCACTCAGAAGCTCAGATGAGCCTCATCTCTACCTGACGACACAGTATTCTGAGCAGGATGAAGACCAACATACCGTCTTACCCCCGCCTGCGTGTGCATTGGCGGATGACTTCCCTACAGTGCCTCGGATCATGGGGAATCTTTGCCTGCAGCAAGTGAACCTCTGGGTGGGGAAGTCTCAAGAAGGTTCTACATCCGGTCTGGTATGTTTCTCATCCAGCAGAGGCTATCACAGGCTCTCAGTTTTTATTTCTACGGTGCATGTAGCATCACGACTTCCACGATAACCTCTATTGCCTTCTTCAAGGCCGAAAGCGTTTTGTTCTCTATCCACCTCAAGAGGTTGAGAACCTATATCCATATGGCAATCTTGACAATTTATACTCGAACGATTTGATCTCGTACAAGGACGCACCCGTGCGTTCTGATGGACTGCCTGTCCGTGTTGCACTTCAGGCGCGCATCAAAGCGATTGAACAAAAGCTCGAAGCCATGCGGAAGGGTAAAGGCAAGGACAAGACGGCATCGAAGGACCGGAAAGCGTTAATGGAGCTGTATGACCAAGCATTGGACGAGCTTGCGCAGATGACATTGGATGGTGAAGGAGGGTTTGATATCAATGACGAAGTGGACGACTTCGATGCTCTTATGGCGCGTATGGACAGAGATGACGGAGATCCTGATGAGGCAGGCCCGTCAGGTTTGAGCGGCGGTCATGATGAGGATGACGAAGAAGACGACGACGAAGACGAAGCGGACGACGAGGAAGGCGAAGGGCTCGTCGCAGACAATATCGACGAGAATGCGCATAAAGAGCCCTCTTCCTTCTCACGGATTCCGACAGCATTAGTCCATCAACATCTCAACCTCCCTACTACAGCCGTCCCTCCAACTGAGACCTCCCTCTCCGACTTCCCAAACTTCACAAAGGCTTCGACACCGTACATTGTCGAACTCAACGCCGGCGAGATGCTTTATCTTCCAGCGTCATGGTGGCACGAAGTCACTTCATCGTCTGGCAACGGTAATGGCATCCATATGGCGTTCAACTACTGGTTCTATCCACCCACAGGTGATAGCTTCAAGCAGCCATACGAAGATACGCTGATATGGGAGTACCTCCGGCAACAGAATGTGGACAAAGCGATAGAGGAGAGTTTAGAGAATGGGAAGAAAAGAAAAAGTGTCGGGTCTGCTCTGCAGGAGAAGAAAAAAATCAGGCAGTAACCAGTCACCAATACATCGGTCGTTTCATCTGTTCTAGTCTTTGGGGCCTCCACTAAAAATGTACCCACATGTAGCATCTCGAATTTACCACACAGCTTGCAACGATTGTCTCCCACTACAAGTGCTGATAAGAGCCATGCGTGCGCCGCTTTCCTGACCGGTTAGTGTGTAACGTTCATACCCCCGCGAACAACGACGCAGTAATTCAACAAAAAAAAACTAAATGTATTTCAGATGTCTACTCACTTTGACTCCTACGCGTTGTTTGCTTGAGAATATGCAGTCGAATTCTTTCCATAGCCCCAAGTATCAGATACGAACTCAAGAACCAGGCTAGTCGCCACTCTCGGAGTCCTTGGAATTATTGTAGTTACGTTGAACCTGACCCAATCAAGTTAATCTATTAGAGTCTCTTACAACCTATGATGTTGTTCTTTTACTCACCGATACAATGACTTATCTCTATCTCGACATTTACCAGATAAAATGACAGTACGCTCTGTAAAGGCATTGGCGATGGTGTGAACGAAATTACCCAACCTGTAGTGCCATGCTACCCCAAACGCCGGATGGTAAACATCTTTCAAGCTTAGACAGAGTGCCTAGTCATCTCGACCTCTAGTATGCAATGGATGCCCTCTGGAAGAGTGTCACGTTGAGCCTGACGTAGTCCAGAAGTACAGTACTTGTCCTCTGGCGGCAGGCGTTGGCACAACTGAACTTGCCTTTTTCGACCAACCTAAAGCGGAGTTGGAATTCAGTCTAGAAGGCGCTCATACCTTGAAGCGGTTCTGACTCAAAACCACCACCACCATCGTCGCAGACAACATCGTTGCGCTGCGCAAGAACTCTTGCTTTTACTCTCTCTCCTTATTTTATGCACAATAGACCTACTGAATCTAATCAGAACAAGGATAAATATCGAACGAAGCATCAGCAAACTCGCAAACATTCTAGCCAATATGGACGCATTCAACCAAAATCAAAACCCGTTCGGGGAGGCGAAAGCTTGTTGTTTGGCATACCAAACGAATCTCTTACACACATCACATCGTTCCTCGACCCGCCGTCTCTTATCACACTCTCGCAGACCAATAGAAGGCTATACCAACACGTAGCGGACGATAATACGTGGCGTAGGGCATTTGTTTACCAGTTCTTGGGCGTCCTGCCAGAGGATGACATCCAACACGGTAATGGGCATGACACCACTGCGTCTAGTAGAAGCATGATGCTTAGAAAAATGGAGTCCTCTTGGAAGCGCGAATTTGTCTTCCGGTGGAATCTCAGGCGGTAGTTACATTTGCTCAAACTCTTGGAGTATGACCCTAATACGTATCGTTAGACGATGGGAACGATCTCGGTCTACAGCAGTGACCCACGTTCCTACGCATTCGTCAATAGGAAGGATTCATTTGATGCCTGTGCCGAATACCGTTGGTCCCCAATCTCACGCCGTACTAAGCTCTTCCCTTCAATACGGCATCGTCGCTCGGTCATTCCCCTTCAGCGGCCGAATCCTTCGTGGTTACCTTGATGCAGCTGGTACTTTGAACGGCCTCGGAATTGGGAACCCCAATGCAGAGTTTTCGCCGGATCTTATGAAATGCGCTATGACATCGGACGGTGGCACGGCCAAGGTCTTGTGGGGTTTTAGAAATGGTAGCGTCGCGGTCACAAATGCACCTAAAGCCATGGAGGGCGCTCGACCAGTATCTGCGCGCTGGACGAAATGTCAGCTGGACGATGCTCATGATGGAGCAGTGGAGGACGCGGTCTGGGCTGGTATAGGCAGCACGTACGCTGTCACAGCGGGCGCCGACGGACGTGTTAAGCTCTGGGAGGCCAAGCGTATGGCTTGTCTCTGGACTTCACCCTTGAAGTCTGGACAGCTATTGAAGGACCCCTGCGTGAAGGTCGCGGCTGACCTCAATGGCGGTGTCATCGCAGGCTTGATGAAGAGCGGAGAGCTCATCATTTGGTCTGGTTTGACTGGAATCGTATCTGGCGATGTTTCTCCCTCAGAAATTCGTGAGAATCGCGCTGCTCCTCCAAACCTCCCTCCAGTCTTCATCAACCCTAGTGATCGAGAACCTTTGGCTCTATATATGCGCCTTTCCCCTTCGAAACGTGTTTCCATCATCACCGCATATGTAGATGATCCCCTTCTATACCGAACCACAGTCGACATCGACGATGGAGACATAGAGCGAAGCATTTTCGGCGACAGCTCTGCAGCCGCCGTCACTTCATTGCAACCAGTTTTTGCTACTAATCCGGATGAGCCGAGCTTTGTCATCGTCGGCGACAAGCTTGGCTATGTCAGTGTCTTTCCATGGGATGCGTCTGGTTCTACTGTAGCACCTAACCGCAGATTTCAAGCCCATGGTGACAGTGCAGTCTCTGCGATTGCGTGGTCGCCTGCTGTCGTTGTTACCGGTTCATCCAAAGGCACGATCAGGGCATTCGACTCGCTGAACTTCGCTTGTCTTCGTACATTTCCTGCTACCGGTCGACCTGCCATTGGTGAAGCACCCGATCCTGTGAGCAATGTTGTTGTGGATAGGGAAGCGCTTGCAGCGAGCATTGGGAGCCGCGTTATGGGTTGGTTTGCAGGGCCTGTGGGACGAGAGAGGACACATCACAAAGGCAGGCACGCCAAGTCGTCGAAGTCGCACCCCCTTGCGAAGTGGCAGCGTAAGTGATTGCATTCAAGTGTGGTGTTTTCGTGATGCTGATTCTGGACGCACAGAACAAGTGGAGTTGTATCGAGACATAGCAGAATCGCGTCAAGAGTTAGAGCACGAACAGGCACATACGAGACGTACCTTCGGACGCGAACGCGAGCAGCAATCGACGTTGGCGCACTTGGGTTTGAATGAAGTAGAGGCGGTTGAGTATGTCCTGATGCTTAGCCGTGAAGAGGAAGAATTGCGTCGGAGGGCACGAGCAGTGGCTGCGAATGCGGATGAAGGAGTCTTTTTCGATGACTTCGACGATGTTTCGACGCCGCTTCCTACGGAAGAGCACTTCTTTGACTCGCCTATTGCAGGGCCTTCTAGAGCGACATCTTCGCATCACTCTGTGCCGTCCAGGGGAAGTCGTTCTCTCAATGGTCGTGCTTTGCTGCACGTTGTCGAGCCATCGAGCCACAAGGTCCATGTCTCTCCACGTCATCCCCCGGAGCCCTTGGAAGCAGGGCCGAGTATCAGTCCGAACGATTCACTTCCGAGGAGCGTCTCGAGTAGCTCCTCCTTAAGTAGCTCTACTCCGTCACCGGACGATCCGTTACAATTCCCCTCCGTGAGCTCAACCCCCATCCACCGTTCCGTTCCAGGGAGCGTTGGGTCAGGCCAGAGCGCCTGGAGCACACCCCTCCGACGTTCTGAATCCGTTGGCGGTTCGTCTTCTCCCCGCGCGACTTATTCCTCAGTGGCATCATCGCCCGCCGGTGAACAACATGCCTTCATGCAACCTTCGAGTTTGTCTTCTAGGTTGGGGAATCTCACAATGGGTCCCTCGACAAGCGCGAGTGCAAGAACCGAATTAGAAGATAGAGAAGCGGAGGAGCTGAGGTTTGCTATAGAGTTGAGTCTTGCTGAGGCAAGAAGTCGTGGTGAGGACATTTGAATATGCTTTGAATATGTCGCGTTTTGTGCACCCAATATTGCAAGTGTTTATATGATGGCTTGGGTAAACTAGGCTATGCTTTTCTTTGTAGACCTTCTTTATGCGTAATGGGATATTTTCCAACATCAAAGTCGCTTGAAGATTGTAAGAACTTAAGTGCATGAAGAATCTCGCTTCAGAAGCTTCTGTGGTGTAGCTGAGTTGAATGAGCATCCATTCCTTTCGCATGGACTTGCTAATCATATGGATGTGCGTGCCGAAAGCTAGTAGATTGATACATCGTGTGCAAAGAGGTCCGGATTGCAACGTCGAATATATCTCAGTAGATAGTAGGAGCCCACAACAGCTGAAACAAAAACGGTGGTCGAGGGTGAGAGAGCCGATTGTGCGTACTTGAACATAGAAATAATGTGACTTAGACGAAGTCATGCACGCCAGTCGAACGGTAAGGTCAAATGGTAGGTGAATGGGATGTGCCTGCGGGATTGGATTGATGAGTGTATTCGTGAGTAACAAAGAAAATTCCTCCAGAATGGTATTACAACGATGTATGTATTATGTATATCCTGATTCGAGCCTTCATACAGTCCGTCGATCTGTCATCGCTCTGACAATGCACCCAGTACCTGCAACTTCCGTTAACTAGGTAGTATCACAATGAGTACTGGTTGTTATACGGCGAGGTAGGTTCTACTTACCTTCTCGTGCCAGCCGAGGAGGACGCTTCCGCTCACTTCACCCCAACCGGGCAAAGCCATCCCCTTGTACAGATACTTCATGAGAGTATCCTGAGCGTCCTGCGACAACGATCGGACGATGGCTGGAATCTCCGAGGCTTTCGTGCTATTCAGTATAGACGTCAAGGTTTGCAGGTTCAGGTTCTAGAAAGGCATTGTAATCATTCGAACTATAGCCCAGTACCAAGAGCGAATACACACTTTGGCCTCCTCAACGTTCGGACCCACTGGTGTACCATCGAGAACAAGGTTGATAGCACCGACAGTATCGCCCCTATTGTCAAGTGAGACCCAATATCATTGAGCACGTAGTAACGGAAGTCAGACAAAACATGCCTACTTCGAGAGAGCATTTCGGACTGCGCCAACCTTCGCCTTCGCGTCATTTAGTACCTGAGCTGGGTCCCGTGGATCTGCCTCGTAGAGTTCCTCCTCCTGCAACACATCCTCATCGTATTGGTCGATATCGATCTTGCGGAAGTTTACATCCATGAGTGAAGGCGTAAGAGCAGGGTATGTAAACCAGGGACAACTTGAAAGGCAAGCGGTGAGGTTTACAGTAATCGATCAATACTGATACTTACACAGCTTGCCCTAAACACTAGTTTGGGTTGTATTCTCCTTTTCGCAGTTTATTCAACTCTACAACTTCGAGTCTTCCACGTACGCGTTCAAGGTGATGATTGGTGACAAAACTTACTTTGTGTATACATTTTCCCTCAATCTGCCTTTCATCGCGCTTACTCCCTTGCAATCTGAGTCCAGCACGGTAGAGCTATCCTAACCGTTTCCCAAGCCACAAGTCGCCTTCTAGAATATTGAATGCAGATTGTCTTTTTAGCTATACCTCGCTATCAAATGCAAGTGATATAGAGCAGCGAAGTACCCTCAAACTACAGGTGCATGGTTGCAACGAGGCTTTGAAGCACTTTCACATTGCTTTAGGCTGTGTTCTTCTGGTGGAGTACTTGGCGACCGACACCCGGATCTGCGTCCTTCAAGACCCTCAAGTGACCTTCAGTCATGCACTCGTTCTGGTCTACCGTTCAGAGTTCACATACGCCCTTTTGCAACGAGTTACTGGTCTCACATCACTTGAACGGTCTCGATTTCCGTTATTTCTTGCTTGCAGCACCTTTGCAACGCGGCTTGTCCTTGCGACTATATTATGGCTTATGAGTTGCTGTTGGTTTTATTTGGACACTATTCGTTACCTCCTACGCTGTCTTGACGACGATTTTCAACTTTCGACGTATATAACACTACTATGTCTCAAATCCTTGACGCGTTCAAGATCAAGTCTCTAGAACTTGAGCCTGTTTTCGAGTCCTGGAAAGATGCTCCAGTATTCACAGGGAATCCTAAGAAGGATCTCCCGGTTGACGACTGGCTGGACAAGATGAAGGCTGGCTGCATCGAGCGCAAGGTGCCTCGAGATTATTGGCACAAAGTTGCTTACCATTATATGGGCAAACATGCCAAGGAGCGGTTGGATGAGGTGAAGTGCGTGATGCGCAATATGCACGGAGGAAAGTATAAGTGGAACTGGAAGGCTTTCAAAGTCGCAATGCGTAATATGGGCTGTATGTTCGTCTTTCCTGCTCTACGCGATATTGTTTGCTAACTATTTACTGTACAGGGGACATTGACCCGAAGCAAACGGAGGAATTCAAAGTCGAGAGTAAGCCTTCTGGTCTATGGTGGATCGTCGGAAAAGGCAAGAAGACCGAAGAGAAGAGCCAGGATGATGATAAAGCTTCAATCAAATCCAGCGATTCATCTTCCTCCAAGTCCCCTCGTCCACCTGCCCCAAAGAAGGCGAAGTCAACGTGGGACATTTCGACCTTCAAGCCCTTTCCTACTCCGAGACGTGCGGCGACGATGAGCACCATTGAGACCGTCGGTACATCTTCGGCTCGTAGCACATCACCATCCGCCTCCTCGTCAAGCAACACTTCGTCAGCAGTTTCCATCGCCAGTACTTCGAAGCCAACTGCTGTAAGCACACCAGCCGCTACTCCAGGTGATGGTATGTCCATTCCATCTTCCTGTTGCCGTGACGTTTCTAAGTCTCGTACTTTCCGCAGGTGTAACATCCGTTGCCCATGCACCGGTCTGGCTCGTCAACGCATGCCAAGCACTCGACTTCCTAACGACGGAACATCCAAAGGCGATGACCGCCATTTCTGCAGTGCTCATTACCGTGGGGTCTCTTCCTGCTCTCCCTGTCATTTCCGCTGGTGCAGGAGGCGCTTTCCTCGCCAGCGGAACTGCACATGCTTTGGGCTCAATCGCAATTGGTGTGGGGAGCTTGTTGAAAGCCATTGGCGAGCAACAGGTTCAGGCCCATACGCAACCACAATCGCAGAAGTAATCGAATCCGTTTATATGGATGGTAGATTGTTTATTCGTTATGTTCTGGAACCAGCGCCGGCTTTATTATCAGGAATATGTTATTGCGTAGGGGAATTTGTACGATATTCTGTACTTCTATTCTTGTCGATCGCTGATACACGGCGGAAGTTAAGAAATACTCTTAGCGACGATGCACGAATGCTCGAGTCGGCGTGAATGAATTGCGGCATGTCATTGGTGTCATAGCATGCAGGTTTGCGTATGACAGTGAATTAGGCTGGACTACTAATGATCATCGACATTACCAGACCGCCAGAATTTGGGCTGACGTCAATACCCTCTGCCCGCAGAATTAAAGGTAGAGACTCCAATGACTCAGTAACCCAAGGCTCAGACCTGCAAGGCTTAGTCCCAGTCCTCGTAACTCCCCGGCGAACTGTTCGCCTTGTTATGGCGTACTTTCTATACACGTACTGTCCGAATAGAAGGTAATTATTATATAACCTCGACAAGTGATAGTCTACTACGAACAGGAATGTCTAGGACGCAACTAGCAAGATGAATGATGATCCAGATATCTAAGAATGCGGGTTGGAGGAAGTCTAGGTTGTATATACTGTGCAATGTCCATCAGAATTGTCCGGTTGAATCCAGTAAAGCAAATGCGTCGAAAAGTTCAAGGAATATCAAGTCATGGAAATTCAAACGTAGCTTGACGATTCGCTGTACTTGGTCAGCTTCGGCACATCCGCCTCCACCAATGTATCCTTGATGACGTCTTCGTCCTTCGCCATAAAGATTTTGCCCTTCCAGAACGCGAGCATGGTAAGAGCGAAGAGGACGAGCCAAAGCGTGCACATAATGATCGTCATGATAAGGTGCCAAACGAAGAAGCCTTGTAGTTCAAAGATGTCACCAAGAGCACGGATAGTTGCGATCCACCCAACTGCAGTATCCCGTTAGCATAAGTACCTGGCTTGCAGCGGGCTACCACTCACCATTGGGGAAAGTCAAGGCCCAGCCTATTAGACATCGCAATGTCAGACCGAGAGAACGGGAGAGAAGACAACAAGTACGTACAGCCCAGAATCTCATGCAAGTGCTTGTGGACCTTGAACCAATAGGGTAATGCACCAAAGAGGAAGAAGAATACGGCCAGACCGAAGAGCAGCAAGGCCCCCATGACACTTGATGCATACCAAATCTGACCTGCTTCGGGAGAGACCAGGCCATGCAAGGGCAAACTATGGCGGCGCAGACCATCAGTCAACATGAAACTCAGGGTTGCAAAGCGGTCCTACATTTCTTGTGCCTTCTTACCCAGGTTGATCAGTGCGAGTGCGGTGAAACCGGGAGGTCCGCATGCAACGAACGCGCCATTAGCTTGATGACCATCGAGGAAACCAGTCTAGGATGGAAGTTATGAGCCTCATTTGAAGAAATTTGATCCCAAACCTTCCCGTACTTACCATCATGATACTAAGGTACATCAATCGTCATTAGTACGAAGCAATACAGGAATTAATATTCAAACTCACCGAATGATGTAGATGCAGATGTAGAAGAAAGTCATGAAGAAACCGAGACCTAATGATTTGCCGAATTCAACAGACCCATAATGCAAAACGCAATTTGCAAGAACTGACCTTGGAAGGCATAGGCTGTCAGAAGAATACCTATCGCCCTTGGCTCTTCAGAGGGAATGACCTTCAAGACATTGAACGCGACAACTCCAACAAGCATCTGCAGATCAAAAGTGTAATGTGAGCAATCTTGCGCCATCACAGCTGAAAGACGCGAGGTATACCATCGGGAACACCTAGGAGATTGCGGGGATGAGATTGCAGTGCCACGAGCCAAAACATAATACATACCAAGAATGCCCATGCCGGTGTAAAGGTGGTCAGATCGTGCGGGTTGTTGAACCATATCATGAGCATCGGGAAGCACACGATGATGGAAAAACTAACATATACCCTGAATAGACGCATCGTTCGATAAGATTCTCCATTTATCATATGAAGTCGCAGACAAGGAGGGTCACTTACCAAAATAGAGCATATATAAAGTTCGGGTGTACATGTCCTGTCGGGACCGCGTAATTTATAGTTCCAATGAGAATAGTCGCAAATGATAGGACCTGGCAAGATAAGTGAGCACGGTTACAAAGAAGGACGAAAGGGCAGAGATATTCACAATGAGGGGTACAAAGATTCCTTTCACTGGGTCCTTGATCAGTCGTAATGCCTGTCTTGGATAGACTGAATAGAAAGTGAATTCAGAGAAAGAGGTCACAAGAATGAAACGAACACGTACGAATGGCTTGCAACAACAACGTAGTAGAGTTCAAGAGGAACAGTATGATGTTGATGAAGTAGAAGATGGTCTCGACCGTGATCAACGTAGGCGAGCGACTCTTCAAACCTGACAAAGTAACGTACACGGCTCCTGTACCCATCCCAATAGGGAACTGCGTTCCACGTAAATTACACTTCCTGGGTGAGAAACACTGAAACGTACTGCTTGCCAGGACCATCCGTGAATCCGACGCGCGAGTGACCCAACCCGGGGCTTTTCTCTATCTTGCTCGAAGACAGACGATTGAGACATATCGAGCTAAAGAGTGACAATTCAAAAGAGAGCGACGAAAGCCAGCTTCTGTGGAGAGGAATGACAGGAAAGGGTGAAAGGAATGTAAGGCGAGTGAGGGACGCGAAGAAGAAATGATGAGACGCACTGCGCTCTAAAAGGCCGACCGGGAAGCACAGGAGAAAGGAAGATATTGTGCTCAAGAAGATCGCCCAAGCGCGGGGCTAAGCCTTTATACCCCCTTCATTTGAGTCGGTTATGCTTGCGACGCGTAGGACTTGCCAAGATTACACTGCAACGACTCCAAAGATGCCAAGAAGGAAGGTCAAAAGACGGGATTCTATCATATCCTACTACGGATGCGAGATGAGATGATGCGTCTAAACGAGGATCAAAAGTTGGCCCACAAGGCTTTGTCCTCTTCGAAGCTGGTGATGAATTGCCATTATTTGCGACAAGTCGCGCTGACGACAAAAGCCAAGACTAGATAGGACAAAGACCTTTAAGTTGCATTTCGCTATAGAAGAAGGCGTACGTACTGAGTCAGGCCAAAGCTGGCTAACTCAATTCAACTTAGCGGGGAAATCTTCTTGGCACTGGTTACTTGTTGTATCCAATCACAATGTGTTAGAGAATCACCGTACCACATAGCCTTTCTTGGCTCTCGAGGACGCTCAAATCAGAGTCCGCGTATGCGGTTACCGCCGGCGAGTTTCCTGGCGATTGGTACGGTGTCAACAGTGATAGAGTTCTATTGGCTGAACAAAAAGAAACACGGCTATAGGTCACTGGAGTAGATAGAGACCAATGAAGAATAAAGAAATTGCGAAGATCGTGGGGAGGTATCCAGACCCTCCTTATCATGCACAATATGGTCGTGAACTTCGATTTCGAATCGTGGGGCTGTTGATACGCTCATTGGCCACCCGGGGACGGGTAGTAACATGAATAGAATGAGCTGCCGTTTCTTTGTCGTCCCCCGGAATTGCCGCCTACTTGCTCAAAATGCTGTTACTAAGACGGAGGCTGCCTCATGGTAGCGACTTGGCCAATTGACACGATTTACGTGCACTGGTACTGGATGTAGGCATTTTGGTGACTGTGTGCCTCCTGGAATCCGGGCATGCCGTCGAGGGTACGACTCAAAACGGCTGCCTTCAGTGTTCTAATGGAAAATACTGGAAGACTGGAGACCCGCACATGAAAAGGATAACACGTCACAAGGGGCATGGTGTGTGGGTGCTTCGGTCGATGAAATTTATGAAACCAGTCAGTTACTAGCATCCGCAGCTTCATAATATGAGATCAGACCTTGCGCAGTACTGATCACAAGTCTCCAATGAGAAAGAGCTGGATTGATCGTCTTCGACCTCAACTTGGTTGTCACAAGGAGTCTCATATACGACATTCTGATGGAGAATACCAGACAAACACACAACGTCATCATCAATAGAACCTGCGCACATTACCTCCAAGGTATTCGCATAGCTCAACCAGGGAGAGGCGAAATTGGCATCCTGGGGTTCAAAGTCGCGATTCATGCCTTCGCCTCGACATTTGGAATCATCTCCCACGATCGCAGTAAAAGAAGTCGTGACTGCCCGTTTAAACATTGTCCAAAGGTGAGAAGGTGATGTCAAACCGGATGCGGATGACCGTTCAGGAGACTGTGTTACTAGTGACCTCGATGGTTCAGAACTAGAGCGGATTTTCACTCGGGCGGTAGACATCGCTGCAGTGAAGATCCTAAGGGCCGGTCGTCTCTTTGTAGATGATAGACATGGCTCTGCGTCACCTGTTGAAGGAAGCTTCTCTGTCTCAAAACGGTGACAAAGTCAACGCCAGCTGACACGAATGAGACATATCTTCACCTACAAGTCTTCCTGAAGGTTGCGTGGAATATAACGACGGGTGTACAAGCCATCGTTCGATATTTTGAAACGATGTAAGCATATAATCGTCACGAGAGAATGGTGTTTCAGATGAGGCTCACCTTTTTAATTTCAATCGGCGAACTGTCTAGAGCATCAGGATGGGAAGACCAATACTCTCGTGCTTCATGGTATGCATTTGCAAGCTCGAGTAGGGATAACGTGCTTTCAGCGGTGAACAAATTTCGTCGAGCAAGGCTACGGGATCCTGCTGCGATAGTTTAATGTCCAGATATCCAAATGACGAGGATAACCTTACCATGATCTGCACGTAGGAACAGGATGGTAGAAAACGCACATTTGACTACGAGATCGGCGTTCGAAAGTGTACGGAGCATCGTGGACTCTGAAATAAGGTAACTTTGTGGCCGGGGTCAAAGGCCCCAACACCTCACTCATTGTCTTCTCACGATCAATAGGACAACGTGCCAGCGGGTTCAAGGGTGGCAAAACCAAATTGTGACGTAACAAATGCATATCCTGAGTGCAAATAGCCCAAGATTTGCAGGGATACTTAGGTCGGTTGCAATGTGGCATTCAGACAGGTTCCAAAGCATAGCAATAACATTGTAAATCATCCTGACCGTCTAGATGAGGTGACTTCTCTGTAGATTGATAGGAGTACATTACCTACAAATATCAACTTCTTCAATGTCGATAGTACCTCCTGCGTTCGCAAGGTTGCAACTTGTCGACCGGAAGCATGGGATCGGCCTAGAGAGGAATGTTACAGACTACAAATTGTCTTTGCAAATGCGTTGGAACGACCCGCATTCCTCTCGTAGTTCATGGACGAAATGTGTTCAATTTTACGGTCGTAGAAGGTCGTCAAGAGGAGAGTCATCAACCAATCAACATCATACGTACGTGAAGCCGCGGAGCTTGAATATTGCCAAGTCCATAACAGTTCAGTAGCAACTTCACTCTCGCCGACAACTGTCTCCGCTATGTCTGTGAACTTGTTGTTGTCCATCCTCTCCTCGGTACTGTAGACCTGGACTATGAGCCTGCAAGGTGTGATTCGGTGAGTCGCAAGCGTGCCAAGCTGTAGACATGTGCCTATGCTCATCTATTTCGTGGACGATTCTACCTTGATCCTTGGGTAAAACTACGGTAATTCCGCGGTTAGACCAAAGTTTAACGTGCTTTCAGCCTTCTTATTCTCTTCAATGTACTCAAGGCTTCGGAAGATCTTGGCTCTCAATGTGCCTGAACCTCGGTGATCTGATTGAGGTCTCAGGTCATCCCCTCCTTCGACGGCTTACAGCAGTAACATACGAAGAAGCTCTCGAACCTTGACAAGAGAATATGCCTTATCGAACACAGCTTATGCGAGTGCCGTTTCGCGGCAAGCCTTGGCCCCGATGGTGCAAACCGCGGACTGAATCGTCTCTGGTGGTCAGCTTGGTGCCATACGGCAATACTTCTCCAGATCTTGCTTGTTCATCCGTTCATCCGTCTTGGGATTCTCTTGTTCTGAGCCTGGATTGTCCGCACACCCTTGTGGGGTGCTAGTACTTAAGACATCGGATGTATGGTTCGTTCTTGTGGTCTTGTCCTCGATTACCCGCGGAGGAACTAAGTATGAAACCCTCTGTCATCGTCGTGGCTTTGGTCTCCTTGGTGGCCTCTGCCGTTGCTCATACTACTGTGTGGGGTGTCTGGGTGAACGGTGTTGATCAAGGCGATGGTCGGAATGTTTACGTTCGCTCGCCTCCTAATAACAATCCGGTAAAAGACTTGACCTCGGACGCCATGGCGTGTAACGTTAATAATCGTCGTATGTATTCAGTTAATGCCTCCATCTGTGCATCGGCTCTGATACTTTCCAGCTGTTCCGAAATCTGTTCCTGTGCAGGTCGGTGACGAGCTCACTTTTGAATGGTACCATAACACGTACGTTTGTCTTGCTCGCCATCTCTGTCTGTCTGACTTAAGGCCCCCCGATCACAGCCGAGTCAGTCCTTATCTGTTTCATTAGGATCGATTGTTTCTGAAGATCTTATAGGATGATGATATCATCGCTTCCTCTCACCATGGACCAATCGAGGTCTACGTTGCACCAGCTGCGTCCAACGGCTCGGGTGATGTATGGATCAAGATCTTCGAAGATGCGTACACAAGCTCTTGGGCAGTTGATCGTCTTATCGCCGCCCATGGCCAACATTCAGTCATCGTTCCCAACCTTCCAGCAGGCGACTACTTGTTCAGAGGTCGGTGTATTTTTAAATTGGTATATGTGCCCCATTGAATTTCGTATTACAGCGGAAATAGTCGCACTTCACGAAGCCGACTCGCTCTACTCTCAGAACCCCATCCGTGGTGCAGTGCGTGTTTCTTGATTACGTCCTTCTCGTAGGTTTGCGGTTCTGATCATATTTTGGTGTACTCAGCAATTGTACATCTCCTGCGCTCAGATCACGGTCACTTCTCAGGGTAATGAAACCCTTCCTGCTGGAGTTGCGTTTCCGGGAGCTTACACTGACGCAACACCTGGTATTCAATTTAACATATACGAGACGCCAGCTACAGAATACGTTCCCCCTGGTCCTGACGTCTGGGCTGATGCTGTTGGAGGATCAATCATCGAAGTTGGCATCGCTGATGTTTGATGTTGGAAATTGGAAAACAGGAGCAAGGATGCTGATTCTTCTTCATATCGTGTCGAGTTGGAGATTGGAAGACAACAGAGAGTGAATAAATACGTGTATAGTGTAGGACGAATACGAAGTACATCGTACGCTTTACAGTCCCATTTTGCGTAATTGAAGTAGACTGATCCGAGGTGAACTCAATCTAATCTTATCGTGGCTGTTATGCACAACGAGCCGAATACGTCAGATCACCGCGTGGTTGGTGTCCTCCAACATCCGTCTGCATATTCACCTGCTCGAAATTATGTTCCCCGTCGCCCTTCATGTCTTCCACTGCTCGTTCTAAACGGACGCCCCAGTGGAGGTCGTTATCATCATCTAATAAACCCAAGCCTGCCACGAGCGTGTCACTCATTTTTGCGCAGCCCCAACAAGGTGCACCGCTTCGCTCAGCTGTCGAGAACTTACCCGCAGTCGGTATCGACGATTCTGCAAGTTTCATGAGCGAAATGCCGAGGAAGAGAGAACGTCTTCAGTCTATATCTTCTGCCGTGACATTAGGAGATCAGTCTCCGCCGTCCAAGGAAGAGAGTGGAAGTATTCACAAGCGGTCGCGAGTTGCCTCGATCGCGTCAGGCAGCGTGGATCCTCCGATGGAGCAGACCACTGCGAATGCAGAAGTACAAGGCATAGACGTCAATATGAACAGTGAGTACCTATGTTAACATGTGTTGCTTTTACTGAACACCAGTAGTCTCAGAATCGCCTGTGTCGGACACCATCATGGATAAGCCAATGTCAGACTCTCCAGAGACATCTCCGATTCCTTTGGTACCACCTGAAACTACGTCGACACTTTCAGTGCCACTCCCTTTACAGGAGACTGCGCGGAATGAACCTCCGACAGCCTCACCACCCAGCCGGTCTTGGTTCTCGTCTTTCTCAAGATCAAAGGGCAAAGAGAAAGTATCTACAATGTCAAACCCAGTACCCATTTCCACAGAGGTTCCAGCCTCGAGCGTGCTTGCTTCACAGGATGATCAGGAAGAGAATCGACTCTCATCACCCGAGACAGGTACACACGCACTGGCGGATCTTGGCCCGAGTCAGAAAGAATCGACATCTCCTACTTCAGAAGAAACCGTTGTACCTTCGTCAGTCGATACTCACCGGACGAAACCTGTATCTCAGCAACTGACACGTGCTGCAAGCAACGCAGCGTCCGTCTCTTCTGTGGACGACGAAGTTCCTCGGCCCAAGATTTGGAGTGATAGTGGTTCTACTGAGGCCGCAGCGATGTCGCCTCCGTCTCAGAACACTGCTGATCATAAGCCGTCTATCAATTCTTCGAGCCCGCCTACTACCAGCGGCTTCATGCTTAGACTCCCTCTTTTGGGTCGACCGAAAATGCCTCTCAGTCAAGTGGTGTCTGCTGCCGCTGGTACACAGAGCGAGACCTCGAACACTGAACCTGTACCATCTGCAAGCGATTGTAAGAGAAAAGGATCAGATATCAGGTGGTCGATTACTGATGATGTACCCTACTTGCAGCTCAAGCGCTGAAGAATATGTCTGCAGAATCAGAAACGCCTGAACCATCAAACCAAGGTGGACTTGTCAACAGAACAATCCCTCAGGATCCTTCGGACCAATCTACTCCTATTGTAAGTGATCATGCAGAACAAGAATCAACTCCTATAGCCAGAAGTCCCGATGAGACCCTTCAACAGTCACGTCAAGACGGATCGACACCTTCGTATTCCTGGTGGGATTATCTCGGCTTAGGTGGTAACTCAGTTGGAGCCAACACAGTAGACACTTCTGCTACTCCGACAGCCGCTCAAGAGGACGCCCCGGCTACAGATGGAGTTCCCCAAGGATCTGCCATGACCGATACCCTGCCTAAACCAGAATCATGTCCAGAACTACACGTCATGCCTGCAACACTCGAGAGTATAACGCCTCAGCAGACGACCACTATTCATACTGGTGGTACAGGGTCAGAAACAGAAGTCCCTAATTCTCCACCATCAGATCTTGCGCAGCCCAAAACGGATGCAGCACCTTTGGAAACTCGAGATCGGCCTGCAAGCTTATTCTCTTCAGAGACGGCGAAGGCTCAGGGTTCAGTGTGGTACACCCCGTGGTCATGGTATTACGGAGCGCCAGCGCCAGCTTCAACCTCCGGAATTGGTTCTGAACCTACTACGGCTGTTGATAGTCAATCAGAAGCCATTACAAAGACGGAATCAGAGATGGTCAAAGAAGAAGCCCTGGCTCGTGACGAGTCTATACATCCACAGATAGCCCCCCAGTCCCCTGAAGAAATTACTTCGCCGATGGAAGTACCAAATCCCATCGAGTCGTCTATTGCGACGAATCGATCCGGATGGGCGTCGTTCTTTATGTCCAGAGCACTTCTGGTAAAGAGTATCACTAATGAATCGAAGGACAGAGATGAGAATGGTATGGAAGTCATGAACATCGATGATGATGACGAACAACAGGTGGAAGGTACTTACGGAGCGCCTCAATCTCCCGTTACATCTGTCACGATTACCACAACAAGGGAGGTAACAGTACAGCCGAGGCAGCAGGCGGTACCGGCTCCTGTCTCACCACCTGGATCGCCCACGAAGCCTCAACCTTCTAAGCAACGGGAGGCAAAGAAGCCTAGTTCACCTGCTCTACCCCTCACCAATTCGGAATCTATCAAGAAGGAGGCGAGCAAGCCAAAGCCGGTGCCCCCAAGAACCGTGTCTCCTGCACCTTCCCAGAAATCCTCGAAATCGTCGCCTGTGCTACCTTCTCGGATCCAGCAACCAAATCTCGTACTTCCTACATGGGGAGATACATTCCACACACATCCCCGATCATATGTCCCTCCTCCACCGAAACCTTCCAAGTCAAAGCTCTCGAAAACCCTATCGTTTGTTAGTCATGCGTTATTCGCGAGCGAGGGCCCATCACATGGAAGTGCCAAGGGAAAAGAACGGGAGCATATGCAACCTGAGATCCTCACGTTTGGTCAAGAACTTCCTAAGGCTCTGGGTGTCCTCAGTCAGACGATGGACTCCGGTGTCTTGAATGGAGACTGTAGAGTTGTTGTTATTGGAGTTGCAGGATGGTCACCAGGTAGGACATTCCCCCATTCGCCTATTTAAACTTTATACTGACATCGTCAAGGTGCTGTCACAAGGACTATAGCCGGCGGTGTAAGTGCTGCTCTTGATATACATTTGACTTCTAGCTCATGAGATTCCACCGCAGTTGCCATCATCTAGCGGCAAATTTGTTGACATGACTTGTTCGGCCCTGGAGAGATTCGAACAGCAGCACGACATTAGGTTCCAGAAGATCACAAAAATCCCATTGGAGGGCGATGGCACGATTGCAAGAAAAGTAACAAAGTGCGTTCCAGTCATGGTATCCGGTCACCCCGTACACTTTTTGGAACTCAGACATCATTGTTTTTGCAGGGTCCATGCTCACCTGTTGAGCAAACCGGAGTGGATTGAGGATCTGCACCTAGCCGATGTTATTTTTATCGCTGCCCATTCGCAGGGTTCCATCGTCTCGATTCATTTGCTGGATAAGCTGATCCGGGAAGGCCATATTCTGACGCCCCGTAACATCGACATTCTTACATCCACCGCCGCCCTTATTGCACCTGGAGGCGCTATTCCAGCTTCGACATCGCGAACACAGAGGATTTGTTGTTTGGCTTTGTGTGGCATTCATTTGGGTCCGCTACGATATCTGAAGACGAGCTCCCTATTGCAACCGTATATCCAGGTATGTGGTTCTCGATATCATCTGATTTTTAAGCGTGCTGATTGGCTCTCAAGTATTTTGAGAATGCGGCTGCTCGAGAGTTGTTTGACTTTCAAGTAAGTTTTTAGCTTTCGGCGTCGTTGAGCAGATGTTAAGATGGAAACGCGTAGGATACCGAGTCGAAGTTATCGAAAGATTACATCAATGCATTGCGGACGATCATGGACCATGGGGTAGGCTCTCCCGAATTTCTTGTGATATCGTGTTGAAATGACACTTTGCTTAGGCGAAAACTGTATACGTTGCATCTTTAAATGACCAAGTTGTACCGATCTACTCTGGACTATTCACAGCCGCTTCGCATCCTCGCATCCTCAGAGCTTTGTACATCGACGGAGATGCCTATCAGTAAGTGAATGTTGCCAAGGTTCCATTCCATATGCTCACGAGTATGCAATTCCAGTTCATCGGATTTTCTATCGAATCTACTCGTGCTACTGATACGAATAAGGAACGCCGGTTTGTCCGACAGCGGTCTGCTCGCCCATCTGTCGGAAGCAACTGCGGGAACCCTGAGCGGCGTTGGTCATTCTACTGCTTATGAAGAGTTGGCTACCTTCTCGTGAGTGTGATTGGCAGTTTTTCATTTTACTTGCCACTCACCTGATCCTCACCCCTAGGCTGGCTGTCGATTATTTGTTTTTGACCAATGACGGCGGCGACTCACGTGAAGATCTTGTTGTGGATTCGTTCAATGCTGTAAATGAACAAAACGATTACGAGGTATTTGTCATTTCATCGCCTGCTTTCACGTCGATCTGACAAATGTTTCGTAGATCCCGTGGTCGCTGCGTGATATGATCGCAGATGACAGAGTGGCCCAATTCTTTGCAAAGGAGTTCTCTCAACTGCGGGATGCCTTTGACGACTGGGCCCCGAAGACCACCATTCTTCGTGATATCAAGAGAAAGCTCCAACCTATCCAACGTCTCTCCACCATCAAACGGGGTTCATTCAGTAAGCTGTAGATATACACACGTCGTTTCTCGCACTGCAGTCAATTACACTTTCGGATCTGTCGCACTTTTAATCGGACTCTTGCTTGCTTTCTCGTTCAGGATTGTTCCAACCATTAACATACCTTACATTAGTTAGACCCGCTAGATGCGTTTCTCGCATTGGTCGTATTCACAGTCTTGTATCATAGTGATGTAGAAATTGTCATTGTATTCGTGCTCACTTTACAAAACGATGGGACTGGGAGCAAACTTAGCGTGCTTCTACGAACGTGCACACGACCGAACGCGTGCTGTTATGGGGAGTAAAGAAGAGGTATCATTCCATCATGACAGAACTTCGAATACTCCAGTGGATGATGTATAGGCCATCGGCGTCCGCTAAAAACTGTCAACGATACTCCATGCCACAATCTCCGACAGTGATGATCATCTTGTAGCTGTTGGACCTTTTCAGTATATCTTCAATGTCCGAATGGTCTTGCTCGGTAAGCTTGAATCCGAAAACTTTCAGATTATCCTCCGCGTGGTCGGACAACCCTAAACGAGCACCTAAAGATTTTCATATCAGTCAAACAGATCGTGTATGCAGGGTCGTAGCCTGATGCGCACCAACTATCACGGCGCCCACGAACGGATGGTCAAGAACCCATCGTGTGGCAATGTTTGTGATACTGAGTCCGCCGTGACGGTCACCGATGGACCTTAGAACGGCCAAAAGCGACTGAAAGAGTGCCCAACTGCCCCAGGCGTTCTTGATAACATCAAGATACTGGGCCAAAGATGGGTGAATATTCTATCGGATATGATGGAGAGCGTGGTACCTTTCGCTGGGAAGGTGTCAAGTTACTTGAATACAAGTCGGGTTCCTGTTGGTTGAGCCAGCGATCCGCAAGGAATCCGCCACACTGTATTTGTGGTTAGGGCGATCATCAGTCACAAGAGCACGGAGCTTGGCGAACAGGCTTCCTTACCAGGGTTCCATACGTGAGAAGTTTCACACCATGCTTTTCACATACATGGTTCATGCCGTGCAGGGGTCGAGTATCAATAATAGAAAACTAGACTCGACAATATTAATGGCTTTAGAAGGAGTCTCGGTAAATCCCGATGTAGTCTGACCTGCACTTGGTTGGAAACGATTGCATTGGGTCCAAGTTCCGTGCAAATTTCGTCCATTCTGATGGCGTCGAAATTGCATAGACCAATAGTACTAATGGCACCTTCGTCGCGAAGCTGTTTCAGGATCTCTAGGGCATCAAGGTAACGTTTGTCATCGTAATCTTGCCAATGGAACTGGACAGATAAAGTCGCAATCGTGCATCAACGTCAAGAAAAAATTTGACTGGCCTGCAAAAGATCAATCCGACGTGTTTGCATACGATTCATCCGTTCTTGAATTGCACCCCTGACCTTCGCAGGGGTTGGATCCAGCGGCCTAAAAACACACCATTTCGTCGCGCCGAAGATGGAGCTTGGAGATGGCATGCTGTCACGAAACTGGCCCTAACATCAGGCTCAGCACTTCGATAAGATGCCTTAAAGAAGTGGAAGTCTAACGAAGAGAATTTCAGAACTTCCGTAATGATCAGCTTAAGAGACAGGAGTTAAACACAGAAGCATGATATTCAGGCCAACAACAACTTACCCTATGAAGCGGAATATATTAAGGGCATATACTACGATCAGTAACTCAAATGACGACCTCATCGCGTCGAAATTGCGCACCATGTCTGCAGTCATCAAACCAGTAAGGAGTGTGATCTACAATCATACTATTGACGCTACTCACCAAAAGCTGTGTATCCCTGCTCAGCATACCGCGCCATCTCCGAACGAACCTTCGAGGCAGGTGCACTCCCCCATGCGTTGCTGGACAGCTGCCACAAACCCGTCCAGATGCGCGGGAGTTCAAATGGACCTAGAGAAAAGTATTCAAGTGCGTGATTGACTGGCATAGCGTATGACTTGGCGAAGAGATCAAAGATACAGAGATCCCGTTCACTCTCGACCTTTTATCCTAAGTTCAGGCAAAGTTCGGCGTCCATAAAATTGCAGATATCCCTGCACCTCGTGATACCGAGCCCCCGCGAGCGTGCGATCAATGTGGAGATCACACATTTCTTAGAACTTTGATCAGCTATGTGCTCGAGTGAAAATTCGGAAGTTTGCAATTCTAAGAAGGCGTCAAATCATCCCTTGTGGCTTGACATGCCTGTCTGATAAAGGCTGATACAGACCCTTTCCGACGCCAGTTGGGCTTCCGGATAGCTATACACCAAGCAACTCAGTGCCGGAAGTTGTCGGCTTTCGGCGATTGAAACTCCATATAAAGTCTATGACCAAGTCAAGGAAATAGCAATCAAGTTTCTGCGATGCCTGCCCCAGGCTCGTCCGCCCCTCCCCGCCAAAGCAGCAAGCCAGTTCTAGGACATGTGTGAGTGCTGACGTGTCGTGTCCAATGATTCGGGCTGAACCTGAGGCTTCGGCTCTATCCAGCAATCTTATGGTGGATACGTTCATTGCAAACGCGAATATTGATGAGCAAGTGCCGGCTCGGGTTTCTCACATGGTGTGACGGTACTGAACGCCGGCTTGTCAGCCTCCGGGCCATCGTACGCAGAACACTTGCAACCAACCCTCCGAGTTTAGCTGCATGCTTTTCAGAGGCGGCTCGCGAGCGTTTACTCCAGACCAACGCTACCTCTCGTCCTGCAGGGATCCTCTTCACCAAGAACGAAGCCGATGGGCGAACTATTCCCGGACCTGATCTCAGGCCTACTCTCATTCGGGCGCGAACTTTATATGGAGCGGGGCTAGGTTTCGCTTCCTTGAGGCTTCTGGCTGTTGTTGTGAAAGCCACGCAAGGCCATATGTGGGACGAAGGAGGATATCTGGAGAATATATTGGCCGAAATAGATGCAGATATCAGTCAGGCACTGCAAAGCTCCCGAGAAGAACTAGATGGTGGCAGAGTGGGAGACATGGCTATGGCAAGGCAGGCCATGGAGGAGCTGCGAGCGGCTGTGAAGGAAAGCCAGGCGGGGGTTGAGGGATGGGGTGGAGTATATCCGTTTGATAGAGCCGCAGTAACTCTGGATTATTGCAAGGTGTAGCGCCTCCTTGCCACCAATCAACGATGCCCGTACAATATTAGGTGCAGTGGATCCGCATCACTGAACTCATGCGCTAGAACTGTTGGGGAAGAAATCCGTGGGCGTGGAAATACTGCCTCGAGCTTGCATATCAACTCAGCCTGAGATGAATGGAGGAATTGGCCTGCTTTCCACCTACCACGCAAACAGCCGCCGCCGGTGGTGGCAATCAATCTGAACACCGGAAACTATGTATCGCACACGAGTCCATCAACATGTGGGAGATTTCGCAAAGAGTCCCAGATACGGACGAATAATCGAGGTACCGGCATAGAAAGCTACGGTGATTCTACACGCCAGGCAATGGGATATATTAAGATCCTGATTAGTGTAATAAACTTTCAGTATCAGCTATACCGCGTACCTCGAAAAGGCCACTTATTCCGTGATACCGATCACGACGTAAATCCGAGCATGACCAGCCTTCTTCTGTTCTCCCCAGGTGAAAATTGGTTTCGCCTAATGTCACACGCATGTCGCGGACAGGAAGACGTCGAGATTGATGTAGTGCATCAGGGGTTTTGGCGGTGCCATTGGGTTGGAGGGTAATGATGCATACAGTCGGAAAGTCGATCTCTGAGAATAGAGACGTACAGCTTCGAACGGTCAGAGGACGGAATTCCCAACGGCTACATTGACGCGGTAGTAGTCATGTGTTAGATGCTTTCCAGGAGGTATTCCAATGTGCCACGGTCTACCGTACCTCGACCTGCTTTCCGATATTTCCACCGAAGGGATCAAGCGCTAAAGTCGTATGTGACTTCGTGCATCATTCACGATCTAGAATCAACCACATGCTGAGATCTTCTGGACAATTCGCAGATTTGTAGTGGAGATGTTTTGACCAATACGGTGATCGGCAAATCCACCCCATAAAGGGTGCGCGCCCTGTGGGGTAAAGCGGTTACAGACCCTAGCCCTTAGAGGTATACGACGCATCGTTAGCATAGGGTGTAGGCTCCACTGTTGTTGGCATTAGAAATGGCCTCTGAGGGGTTAAGTGAACCCATGAGCATGCCTGGTACAGACCCCAAATATGCACGTTAATACGGCGTAAACGGTGTTGCAAGGAGATACCTTAATGATATGCTGCTAACAGCCCCCGTTTGTTTCCGACAAGTACTATCGTAGGGTTATCACGAATTTACCTAATGATGCATGATGCAGCTTGTTACTGTGACGTCTATGACGAACCCTCGCTCCTCGAATTAGTGTAGGAAGGTCGATAAATGTTCCCCCCACCGAGGGATCCTGCTCTATAAGTAGACAGATAGTGGATGTTCTGGGACGAATATTGTCTCCGAAATATGGTGAGATCTGGCACGAGAGACGTGTGACATAACATAAGTATTTTACTGAGCACAATCTGAAAAAAAAACCTCACCAACATCTTCGGGGTTAGAGACGGATGCTGCACTGTAGTAGTTGTCAAGTCTTCCCGAAAGATAGAGACAGATGTGATGACTATAAATTTGAAAACGTCGGTGACAACGAGGTGACAACAACAGATTAAAAAATGAAAGCGCTCGATCGATCTGCCATCAAATCGGTTCAGTTCATACTTACAGCTGCGTGGTGTTGCAGTCATACATATATTCCATTCCATTCTCAGGTTGCATGGCACCTGACATAGATTATCTGGTTTTCTTCTGCCGCAGCGTCGAATTCGAATTATCCAGGATCTGGAGGACATGGTATGTCCGCGGATCCGTATAATATGAAGTAAAACCCAATCAAAATCACCTCAACGACTAGGCAGCAGTTATCAATGGTCTAACAACGTTAGAGGCCTACTTAAACCGTGACAGTGGTTGCGTATGCCGTAGTATTTCACGAACCGTTTGTACGCCGGAAAGCTTGATCACTATCTTCTGGTCAAGTTCATGCTCACCTGGAGATTTAGACATACCTAGGTATATTGGTGTTACCAACTCCGGTGTCTTTTTACAACTTATACGGTTGTTCAAAGCGTTGTCTGCTTTTTCTGTGTGATTTTTGTGTAGAATATGCACGCAATCAAGTTAGACCGTTCGCAATATCAAGGATGTTCGGTATACCCGCTTTGGGCGCCAAAATGACCTATTCGCTTTCTCTACGCTCGCAACGTCCTACACGCTGGACTTGCTTTTGGGCTGTCCCTGCTTTCACTGTCTGCGGTTGATGTCTCCTACTTTGAGTTACATTCTATCACTTCTCTGAGATCGCTGTCTTTTCAGCGATATGGTTCGCATTTAGAACAATATCTAAAACACACCAACACCTCTGCAACAATGATAGAAACGAAATCAAGGATTTCTCAATCCTGCATTCCAGTGAAAGTCTCTCGGCCAGCCCAGAGTGCTTTGCCTAGCACACTTTCCGTACCAAATTTGGGCCTTGTACCATCCTCGCGACACCTATCTGTCAGCGACAGTCCTACCCACCCAAGCCCTGGCTCTAGCTCGTCTGTGTCGAGCACAGGCGGCGGGATAACGCCTCTCCGCTCCTTTCGAAGTCTGTTACCCTTTGGATCTGGTAGCAAGCACCCTGTCGCGAATTTGAGCCCCGGAGGTTCCAAGAGCTCTTTCGTGAGCTTCAATTCAATTCGACGGTCGATTAATGGCGACAGAAGTGGGGAACGCAGCGTGTCTGCGCCTCAGCTGCGTACCTCAAGATCTCAGGAGCACCAACCAGTGTTCCACATTGGCTCGACTCCCGCCATTCAGTTGTCTTACAAGGTCAATGAGCCTTTGATCAGCCAGGAAGACTTTCATGGCTTGGATCTCTATGTCTCTCCTCAGAAGACTTCTTCACCGAAGTCGGCGCCTGCACAGACCAGGACATTTGAGGCTCAGGGTATGTTCCACTACCCGCTACACTTTATGCCTCTTTTGACCTTTGCTTTCAGCGGCTCCCTCACCCGTACAACTTACTCTAGGAATATCTGACCTTTCCACTATCATGGAGTCAGAAACTTCGGGAATATCGAAACACATACCTCATCTAGACGACTCACAGGATCAGCATGAGGACGAACGCATACAGAACACATCCTTTCTCCTTGCACCGCCCGATAACGGTGGTTACCCTCAGCCAGAATCTCAGGACACATCTGCTCTTGACCTCTCAATGTCAGACGTGCGCAATCAGGTGCTCGAGGCATTGACTGAGGCGGAGCGTCCAGAAGGATGGTTACATGGAGTCGTAGTTGACGACGCCGAGAGTCCCACTGGGAATGTTCCCGGGGCTGGAGACATGAGCTTTGACCTGGGAGCCATTGACGCGGACCTGGCAGCGATCCTAAGTCCTAACAGCCTTCGTACATCGGCCTCTAAAAGGCAAACAGGCGTTGACAGTTTAGCGCCGCCTTATGTCACTTCACCGTTGGGCCAAAGTCCTCGATCTTCTCGGTCACCATCTCCTGCTACCACAGTACCAGCATCTCTTCCTGACACTTCTCCTCGGCGTCGTTCAACTTCTCTCTCTCGACCGGCAGCATCAAAACTTCCCGCTATTACGACGGACTCCCGTCTTACTCGCTCAGTCTCAGAGCGGCCTACCCATGTCCGTCCCCCTCTTCCCTCCCCAACGGCCCGAGTATCTCCTTCTCGTTCCTCAGACATCGGTGAACGACCATCGTTAGCTGCTCGACGACTTGGTTCATCCCCTTTGTCGTCAGAGCGAGAGCTTTCGCATCGTCCATCCACCGGCACAGAAGTAGAGATTCGTCGACCGCCAGCTTCCCGGTTAAAGACTCCTGCGAGATTGGCATCGCCGGGGAGCACATCTCGACCTTTGTTTCGGCAAGCTTCGTCGCCTACGTCAACAACGCACTGGGATGCGGACTCCGTCTCTCCTTCCTCCCACTCTCCGTCCTCGATGTCTGCCCCACCTGGACGTACATATGGACGTCCCAGCCTGGACAACGGTGCCCAGAGACTTAGTGCATTACCCTTGAGAAGCAGAGACCGGAGTGCCAGTTTATCTGAAAGTCCCTTATCTGCGCCATATCACACACCAAACTCTCAACATTCCACTGTTGAGCGTATGGGTCCTAGGACTGCGAAGGCCTTCGCAGCTGCGGGACTAATAGACGCGGACAGGGACGCATCCGGATTGCCTGCGAACAGGTCTATTTCGAGGTTTGGCTTATCCAGGAGTGACCGAGATTATAGGTCTCAGTACGCACCTTCTCGTTTGGCGTTTTCCGAGTCAGGCTCATCTTGGGGAAGGCGCAGTGGTAGTATTTCGCGGACGGGAGCGATGTCTGAGGTGACCTCCGCACACCTATCTGAAACTCTTTCCACTCCGCGGACGACGTTTTCTGCTGCTTCAACTGCGCCTACTAGCATATCTGCTAATTCTTCTCCTCATTACGCACTCGGTGACATGCAGAAGATTCATGACCAGCATTCGTTGCAGACCTCAACGCTCATGAACGCCTTGGCAGATTCTCAGCTGACAACACGCTTGCTCAGGGAAGAGAATATCCAGCTTCGTGATCGTATCCATGACCTGGAGAATAGACTATCCGATGCAATGAGTGAGCTCCAGAGGCTCCAATTTGTATCGCTACAACCGCAGGCACAGGCGAGCTCCTTATCTCGGAGTAATTTCCGCCGAGTTGCTGGTTCTGCTGGTTCTCGTGCGACTGAGTTCGGTTTCAAGCGTTCTCTCCCACAACATTCTCAGCCATCGACCTTGCGTTCAGACAATGGGAACGTACTAGAACCCTCGCCTGAAATCATCGGGCCGTCTGGGTCCGCTCGTACGTCCTCAGAGTCCCGTCGGGACGGCGAATCTTATCCCAAGTCCAGCCATCGAAGACGATTCAGTAACTCGTCATCAATATTCCCTGGTCCCCCTAGTACTATGTCGATGTTGTTGCATGAGGACGGTGCGGTGTCGGACGTGCCTTCGAGGTCACCATCTTCCCCTACGCTTGTCCTGTCGAAGCTGCCCACAAGGCAATCTCAAGGCTCGTCGCAGCATAGTCACCATCGGGCTGCTTCCTCGGGAAACATATCTCCTACGACGGCGAACTTCTCTATGCTGACTGGGTCTCCTGGGAGCTTGAACCTCCGTCCGGAACATGAGCGGCTCTTGGGAGATATGCCTATGCTGGATCTTTGTGCCGGGGACTATGAACGTAGCGACTTCGAAGTCCCGATACGGTGATCCATACCTTGTTAATAGAATCCCCCTCTTTCTCACTGCTTTCCTTTTGCTAATCGTAATTTTGGTTTTTTCTTTTTTTTTTTCCCACTCATCATCATTGCTTCGACACTTTCGACACTTGTTGCACCATTCACAACACATTGGCTTCATGTTGTATACCCCTTACACATTCGACCTTTCACACGTGTTTATAATTGTTTCATTCTTCGGGACTTCCAGCAACAAACTTTCGCTATCGTCGGGATGCTTTCGTCCAACTTTTGTATAATCTCTCTCTTGTACTTACATCTCATGATCTATTTGGTATCTATAGGCGTCAAACACTAGCGTAGAACATGATGCTGTCATTATCTCTCCCTCGGAAATCTGTCAGAACGTCTCTTTAAACCCAAACCCCACAGAATGTCGAGATCGTCTCTCATGTGCCCTGAGAAATGTCGTTATAATGCAGGGTTGCAAGATCCATAAAAGCTTGTACATACACATGTACAGCACCTTGTCTGACAGGTTGTGTACAGCTACGACGCCACCTCCAGGGCGGTCTACATCATGATTGACGTCAAACAGTCAAAGTGTACAGAAATTGCGCACAGGAATAAGCTCGAACTCCGACACCACATGACGAGCAAAGTGAAGAAAGGCACACGTTCGTAGTACGTACTGTGTAGTTCGTTGGTATAGGGCTGGTTAAACAATAAATAGACAACAGTGAACACGGTGAGATGCTACAACAACGAAAGCAAGAAAAACTCTAAACAAATATCAATAGATCGAGCAAAGTAATAATCAAGAAGAGGAACTCCCGGTCTATATATATTGTCTAGAGTCGTGTGGCGTGATCTAGCGCCTCTAGAGCTGCGTTTGTGCGGACGTGGAGTGAATTCTATGGTGCGGAAATACATCAGTCAGTCGGTCAGTCAAGGAGTTCATCGAACAAAAATCCAATTTTGCTGTTTGACGTGGGTGTGAGATGAGATGTACGAACCTCCATGCTATATTTGCCTCCCTAAAGAGCCAGATAGAACACACGAGACGGATAATCAGAAACCAACAAACGATGGCGAACAGGTATGACTGGAACGTACCCTTCTGGCGGCAGCGTTAACCTCAAGTGGCCTGCCTAAGAAGGTTATTGAATGATGATCTATTCTATTCGGGGTGGGCGTCGGGCGCCGATGATGCAACTTACCTGAGATGACGAGCTCCAGATGTGTACGAGCACCTTCCTTGTCACCTTTACACGCGAGTAGTCGGCCTAACTCGAAGTCTACCAATAGCGGAAATTAAGTGCCAATCCGTGATGAGAGGATCAGACCCTGAGCTGAGTAAGAACTCACGCGCAAAGTACACGATGAAATGATCAAGCTCGATCTTGGGTCCATGTGTGAAGATGAGCTGGAAGGAGGTCGTAGCCTGAGCCACTGCATCGGCTTTCGATATTGGCAATTTCTCTTCAGGGTCGATGACCGCATCCGGTTCCTATTGGAATATCCATACGCCGTTCAGGTGATCAATGGTCTGTAACGGGTGAAGACGATGTAGGCATAGAACCACTCACCGGATATGCCACATATCGCAAACAAACCCCTCGTAAGAAACTCGCCAATAAAAGGTCTTCCCAATAACCTCTTTGCTTCCCCTCATACGTTGACGGGTCTTTCTCATGTGTCTTCAGAGTTGCGAGTGTTGTATCGATGAGGGGTAACATCTTCTTAACGATGACTGATCGAGGCGCTCGTCCGATACACATGAAGTGATAGCAGAACTCGAGAGCTGGGAGTGCTAGACGGCCACCTTGGTCTTGACATTTACGTGCTTTTCGAGCGACGAATTTCTGAAGGATATCAAGATGAGTGAGTGCATCTTGATTTCAATGTGACGAATAAAGGAAAGTCACCTCGAGAGGTATTGACTTGCCAGCAATCCGTTGTCTCAAATTGCCGACGTTTCCAATACGTTTCTTCGCTTCCTCGCGCTCCTCTTCGCCACCCATTTGCAGTAGGCAGGCCGTAACACCGTACGTGTACGTTGCCTTCGACCACTATCTCGCCAATTGGAAGTCACCTTTAGTAAACCAAGCTTTATTAGAGTCGATTGCACTTGACTCACCGTTGCTTCTGCTTCAAGCTGCCTCCAACATTCTAACGATGAAGGAACATCCCAAAGGGCTAGATATGCAATTGCCATCTCCCAATAAGATATATGGTGCAAGTTGCGATACTGGTCCTGTGCATCCATTGCCTTCTTGTAGTACTCGATTGCTTCGGCCGGTTGGCTCCGGCAAAGGCTAAGCCGACCTTGACCAAACAAGAAGAATACGCCTGAGGGCGAGTTTGAGTGATTGCGTCCATGCGGAATGCACGTTTAGAGGATCAAGTCTCACCATTAGGGTATCGTTTGAGGTTATACTCGAGGATCTTCTGCGCCATGTTGATATCCACACCATCGTACGTAAAACCCGACAACACCAAGTGGAAAACGAGAAGACACATGTCACATATTGTGCGCCGTACGCCCTCCTGTTCTGTAATGCGCATCATTTAGTAGAAATATTGATGATGAACGAAGTGCATATCTGTACCATGTGAAACTCCAGGTTCTTGCGAGTCTTTCGTCCAGCCTCCAGCTTTGTAGAGGAGCTCTAAACCGACTTTACGATCACCTTTATATCCGAAGAGTTCGATGAGAGTGACAAGTCTTGAGGGCATCATGGAAAGGACCAGATTCGATGACCCAACGCCAAGGTAAACGCCTGAACGAAAGTGTGCGTCGATTGATTTGTCCTCGGGACCTTCACCTCGAGCAGCTGCTTCTGCATCCGCAGCTTCCAAGTACTTGCCTAGCTGGCGGTAAATGTTGAAAGCAGTCCTCATGTTCAGACTACGTGGCTGCTCAACCAAACACCCGTGAAGGAAACGACGATTGCACTCACGCTTCCTTGATGAAAGCTAACCAATCACCCGAATACGCGATGCCTACAATGGCCTAAGGAAGGGTCTGGTTTGGGTTTCAAATGCATGCGAAGGCAGCAGGAAAAGGCTGACCCTCTCATACAGACTCTCCGCGTAGACCAATTCGGCATGTCGCTCAATTGCGGTCATGCTCTTGATCCAGCCGACACCTGTTGTGTTCAAAGAGTTCACCAAAAGTCCGGCAAGACGAGTCGGGAGCGAAGCAAGGCGTTTTCGGTGTTGACTGGCTACGGCGCTGCCATGCCTGACATGACCGATTGCTGCAACAAGATCCTAAGGTAATCTCTATCAGAATTATGACATACGGATAATTATCGAAACTGCGCACCTCGTCCTCGAAGGACATCAGTGACTTGACACATTGTATAAGTCCAAATCCTGTAGCAAGATAGAGCCGCTCCCTGTGCAAGACAATTTGTTCTCAGACCGAATAATAGAGACAAGTAGTATGCACGTACTTGGAGGGATCACATTTGTGACAGAATTCTTCAGATTCCACCATGTGTGAAGCCAAGAAGAGGTGCAACGCGTAGCATATCCGAGGTAGATCCTCGAGTGCCTTTTCGGGTGTATACCTGCCTATGGGTGCAGGTGGTTCAGAGACCCAAGGAAGCGCAGGAGGAGCTAGTTCGTTTAATTCGTTCAACATGTTGGGAACCCAGGAACTCTCGTAACGGGGTGATCAAGGCTTGAGAGTTGAACAAACCATAAGGGCGTTGACGAGGTGAGAACGCTCGTAGGCAGTGAAACGAATTTGCTTTCGCCGTACGCGTTAGAGAGCTAAATGTAGAAACCGGCTACCCGGACCGCGGCTCCTACCCCGCATTAACGACATCTGCATCAACGCTTGCTTGGAATCAAGAATCACCGTTGTCAACGTTGTCAACCGCGACGACGCGACTGCATACAACATGTCCTGCGCTCATCACCATCAGCAGCAGCGTGCAGGAGACTACCCTGCCCAGAATTATGGTCCAGGGAAGAAATGGATCAAGAAGCTCACCAAGGACCGTCTGAACACGTTCGTTGGAGGTCACTTCCACGATGTGAACTTGTCGTCAATGTTATTCGTCCACCGGTTGGATGATTCACATCACGTAAAACTTCATGTATGGAGTGCGCCGGGACTCACCAAGCCCTCGTTTGAGGAAGCTATGAAGCAGAAGTTCAAGCCTGCAAAGAAGGGTGATTCCTTTGGACCTTCTTGTGAGTTGAGTCTTGCATAACGTGCTTGAAATTTCTCACCAGCATACAGGGACGAATCATTGGTGGAAGGTTGCCCTTAGCATCCCCTCGTACTTTGAGCAGTATGAGCGAGTGCAATGTTTGTAGTTCAAATTGTGTGCGCCGCAGTCATATCACTCATGTAGATTCCCACAGTCGAGTTCGATCCTGGCTGTGAAGCCATGATCTATAGCACGGACGGAACCCCGTTGCAAGGTATCACAGGAGGATATGGAGGTGACCGTCGCGTCGAGTATATCATTCCACCTGACTCTCGGAAGGCTGGCAAACACGAGTTCGTGATCGAGTCTAGTTGCAATGGCATGTTCGGTGTGCCTTGGGACGGAGACAGCATATCGCCTCCAGATGTGCGTTCACTAGCTCTCTATGCTCTTACCACATTATCTGAGTACTAGTAGATGAACAGGTATTTCTCGCTCGCGTCGGCTGACATAGTGGTCCCGAACCAAGAAGCATGGGGACTTTTGGCGGACTTCACGACGTTGCGAGAAATCGCAGATACCCTTCCTGGCAATACCTCACTTCAGAACAAAGCGCTCACTGTAGCGAACGATATAATGAATGTCTTTAATAACCGTGACTTGTCAAGTATTCCTCAAGCGAGGAAGCTCGCCGAGCAAGTCTTCGGTGAAGGCTGGGAAAAGAAGGGTGAAAAGATTTACGAGGAGGGTACTGAGAAGGCTCAGATTTGGGGTATCGGGTATTGTCATATTGATACTGCTTGGTATGTCCATCATGCGTCCAGTAATATAACTCTTAACATCCTCGCTATATAGGCTCTGGCCTTATAGCGTCACGCAGCAGAAGGTTGCGCGTTCGTGGTCTACGCAGGTCGACCTCATGAACCGTTACCCAGAGCACCGTTTCACATGCAGTCAAGCACAACAATACAAATGGCTCGAACAGGTTCCGTCACCTGCGTCTATTTCAATACTTCACGTTCATACTCACATTGCTTTGTAGCTTTACCCACCTCTCTTTGAACGCGTCAAACAGAAAGTGCTGGAAGGGAAATTCCACCTGGTAGGTGGTTCTTGGGTCGAGAATGATGCCAACATGCCTTCGGGAGAGGCACTAGCGCGACAATTCCTTTACGGTCAAAGGTACTTTGAGGCAAAATTTGGCAAGAGATGTGACACAGCTTGGTTACCTGATTCTTTTGGGCTCACTGGAGCGTTGCCTCAGTTGATACGACAGGCGGATATGAAGTATTTCTTCACGCAGAAACTGTCTTGGTATGTCAGTGAACATCTTCTCCTGTACGTAGCTAATTCTGATGTTAACAGGAATAATATGTAAGCTTTCAGTAACACTGTGCTGGCTATTGAAACAGATCTTTATTTAGCAACGTCTTCCCTCATTCGACTTTCAACTGGGTCGGCATTGATGGGTCCCAAGTTCTCTGCCACATGACGCCAGTTGGTACGTTTCCATTGCAAGCACGCTATCTGTCATGTTTACCGTATTATAGATACATACACTGCTCAAGCTACGGTGGGCGATGTCCATAAGGGTATCACGAACCACAAGGTAATTATACTGATCCGAGTCTCCCTAAGAATCTAGACTGATGGATTGCTGTAGAACTTGGAGTCCTCTGATATTTCGCTCTTGGTCTTCGGTAATGGGGATGGCGGAGGAGGACCTCTCGCAAAAATGTTGGACAATGTGAGATTTGAAACTTTATGTACTGTCGCGGTGTGGATTTCTAACATACATGTGCAGTTGCGTCGTACTCGAGCAGCTAGTAACGAGTCTCGAGAGCTTCCACCAGTCGATATGGGTCATTCCGTTGAGGATTTCTTCGACACTGTCTTGAAGGATTCCAATGCTGGTGACAAGTTGCCTAACTGGTAAGCAATCTTCGACAAAACGACCTTTGCAATGCTAAGTCCTGTATATTCTTAGGAAGGGCGAGCTATACCTCGAGGTCTGTCACTTGCAATCACTGTGTAAGACTAGTTTCCTGAAGTCATAGCGATTTAGTTCCACCGGGGCACGTATACCTCACATGGATCAATCAAGAAGGGCAATCGCAAGTCTGAGATCCTACTTGGGGATGTCGAGGTTCGTCCCGGTCCCTCTCAGTCTTGTGTAATCCCAGAGCTCACAGATTTAAACAGCACATTGCGACGCTCGCGTCTTTGTACAAATTCCACAACTCGGACTACGTGTACCCCAAGTCTACTATCGATGATTGCTGGGAGAAGGTTCTACTGAATCAATGTAAGCTATCAGGATTATATTTATCGGGACATGCGCTGACGATCCTTTACAGTCCATGATGGTGAGTAACACGTACATATCGGAGTACCGTTTCTAACACTTCTTTATCATAGTGCTTCCTGGATCTGCGATGTGAGTTCTACCGTCCAATCCCTCTCTCCGTCTCATTGTTTGGTACTACAGTGGCATGGTATACAAAGACGCAGAGATTCTGTACTCTGAAGTCCGTAAAGATGGCAAGCGTCTCATCGAGGAAGCATTTAAAGCACTTTTCCCTACCTCAGCGCAAAGCGGGCCCGGAAGCATCATTGCCTATAACTCTACGTTCTTCCCACGTCGCGACGTTGTGAAAATACCTCTGAAGGGTAGCGCATCGCGTTTGAGGTCTCAGGTTGTCCAAGCTTCAAAGGACGGTTCGTGTGGGTATGCCTTGTTGGACGGTACGAATGGTGGCCACATCTCGCATTGTACTGGGTTGTTCGCAGATTGCATGCCGGTCTCTGGTAAGTCCTCATTTGATACTGGAGTGAACCACTCACTCACTAAACTATGTCTGTAATAAGCGTTCACCAATGGCACCGATCATTTCGTGCTAAGGAACTCTAGTGTGCAATTGACTATCTCTGATGGTAGAATCTCAAGTCTCATCGACGTTGAACTTGGGTGAGTATCACTTCGTATGTCCTTATGCTACTTGAACATCCTTACCTGTTTCAAATGCAGGCGTGAATTGATTCCGAAGGGTCAAACGGGCGGTCTCGTCATCTTTGATGACCGACCTAACTACTGGGATGCATGGGGTATGGTCTCGATATCTGGAGATGCGCTTTGTTGAATGCTCATGTTCTATTACAGACGTCGAAATACACCATCTCGAGACCGCTGAACCGCTGAAGTTTGCGAACGTGTCGGTGGTAGCAGAAGGACCTCTTCGTGCATCGCTGAAGGCAGAAACCACGTATGGAAATAGCAGAATTAGTGTTACAGTACGTTCCTCGTTGTCCTCCACTGTTAAGTTGTTTTGCGCTAACTACTTGGAATCTCTTAGATTTCACTTGACGCTATCGCAGGTGAGCATCTTTGCTTCCCGTAGGTTTTAACTCGCTCATCGTCTTTCTCTTTCCACAGCAACCGTCAAGAAAAATTCCCGGTCTTTCTTCGTCTTCGATGCTGAAGTCGACTGGCATGAACGTCACAAGTTCCTCAAATGTACGTAACGCCGTTTACTGAGGCATTGTGCATAAGCTCAACGATGCCTCAGTCGAGGTTCCGCTCGATATTCATAGCGAAAGTGCAACTTACGAGACGCAGTTCGGTCACGTTCAAAGACCCACGCATAAGAACACAACTTGGGATGCAGCCAAATTCGAAGTTTGTGGCCACAAGGTACGGTTGCTATCGCTATTGCTGTATACATGTGTGCCACATGGGCTGACTTCGTGCACCAGTTCGCAGACTTGAGTGAATTTGGTTATGGAGTCGCGATTTTGTCGGAGTCAAAGTATGGTTTCTCGTGCAGGGGAAACGTATTGCGTATCTCTTTGCTCCGAGCTGGTACGTACCACCTATCATGATGTTGTGCGAGGACATACCTGATATAACTTGAATTCAAATCAGCAACGGCGCCGGATGCAGATCAAGACATTGGAAGTCACGAGTTCTCGTGGGCTCTTATGCCTCACCAAGGTCACTTCCTGGAATCCGACGTTCCGATGGCTGCATACCTATTCAACTCCCCGGTTTATGGTATGTTCGCAAAAAGTATCATTTCACTTCGCATCTCATTATTGCCCGTTCAGTTCGTTACGCGCCTGAGGATCTCGCAAACTTCCCACTCGTACAAGCTCGTCCACTCTTTACGCTTCACGGCGCACACAATGTCTTCCTGGAGACCATAAAACGCGGGGAAGACGACAAGTTCAGTCCCCAGAATGACTCTTCTCCTACAGTCGTCTTGCGATTATATGAAGCATTTGGCGGTCACGCACGTATCAAGCTCAAGATCGCCAGACATTTCCCCGTTGTCAAAGCTACCGTCACGAACCTCCTGGAAGATGAGATCGAGGACCTGCAACTCTTGCATGCCGAACAGGCTGAAGATCGCTTAACGTCTGTATCGCTCGACTTCCATGGTTTCGAGGTGAAGACTGTCAAGTTGACGCTTGGTTCATTTGCGGGGCTTAAGGAGGAGTAAGCAATCCACTTGTCGTTTTCTGGTCAATCCTTTTGAGGTGGCTAATAGTGTTTCTTTAGGCGTGAACTTAAGCGCGAGAGCTGGGTAACTATCGACCATTAGAGCTTTTACGGACTCGCCTGCTCTTTTATACGATTTTATACCCGCAGTTTTTCTTTAGTTTGTACTAGTACATTTCGCGCATTTGTGTGTCCCTTCGGGGTTGTATCACTACCCTGTGAAATAAATGAACGTTTTGTACCCATACTTTCATCATCTACCCTTCGTATGAATAGACGTATTGTACAACCCATAAGGGCGTGTTATTTGGTGTGTTATATATAATACAATATACATGAAGCAAAGAAAAAAGGTCCCAAACATCATAAAGCAAACAGCTCCGTATGCAGCGCAACACCACCAAGTTCAACACCTCTCATCACGCCCAACTTGGCAGCAGCATTCTGCGACTCCCTAATCAACGTTTCCGGCCCACTAGCACAAACGGCGACGCCTCCCCCCAAACCGACCCACTGCAATTTCGACTTTGCGCGTTTCTCCGGGTCGTCTTCAGGATCGTCGGATGTTGCTGAGGGTGTATTTGATGATGGTGGTGGTGTGATGAGTTGTTTGAGTAGGGTGCTTACGGAAGGTCGGTAGATCGTCACGTCGGAGTTGGGGATAGGTGGGATGGCGAAGGGGTTGCAGATGCATGTGAGGAAAATGGAGATGTGGAGATCGAGGGAGGTCCCGGCGACGGTGTTGGCGATTTCCATGAGCATAGGTGCGAACCAATTGATGCATCCTGCACGATTGTCAGTAAACCGTCGTCGCGTAGGTGCCATATAGCAGGTGGTAGGTACTATTGGACGATTTACTCACCGAATGACCGAATACACCACGCGAATTCGATCCGTCTTGTTCTCTCGCCATGTCGTCTACCCAGCTTCCCGCACCTCGCGACGATATCATCAAGTAGACCAATCGTAAACGTCGCACCCGAACCACCGGCGATGAGTAACACACTCTCGTAGTCGCCTAGATCGATGCTACAGCCACCATACGGACCGTCGATCATGACATGAACAGGTACATTCGCTTTGTCCAGTTTTTCATCCTGTAACCGATCTTGCTCTGCTTGAGCGTATTTATTGAGGGCGCGTGTCCAGTCACCACGAACACGAGCGGCGAGGGTCATGGTACGGGTGTTGAGGCATGATGATGAGGAGGGTGCGTTGATGATCGTTAGAGGGTGTGATTCGAATACTCGATTTGAGAAGAATACTCGGAGGCGAACGTGTTGGCCTGCTTGCCAACCGCTATCACAATCATGAATATGGATCTGCAGGACTTGTGTGAGCGGGATCAGGGTGAATGGCGTAGGCATATACATACGAGGGTCATGTTCTGATCTATTGGTACTAGGGACGCGTCTTTGATGCGGTAGCGGAATAGGCGTAAGAGAATATCAAGACCGTAGAACGCTAGAGGAGGGAAGATCCATGGGGACGCATAGATCGTGTGGTAACAGATCGTCACGAAGAACGAGACATAGCCAAGGACACTACTAAGCTTTCAGCTACCATCGTCAAAAAAACCAGAATGGTAAAAATACTTACTGCACGATCCAGAACCCTTGGTAGAAGAACCGTCTGACAGGTCTCAGAGACGTGAGAACAAGAATACAAAGTATGCCAAAAGCGGCTACACCAGAAGTCTCCTTCTGTTGTCCTAAGATAGGTAATCCGTACTGTAGATGGTTCCGGATCCATAAGGCACCATGTACAGTCGCTCCAATGAATAAACCGCGACCGGACCAGCGGTGAATGTAATTCAATTTCTCGTATCCGTGTCCGGGACCGAGGAGGAGGGAGAGAATGGAGTTTTTGGTGGCGAATAGGAAGACGACGGGGAGTTGGGCGAGGGCGAGGAACCCGGCGCGATTGGGGTTGTTGATTAATTGTGAGTTCATGACGATGCATATGATGACTGTGGCGAGGTAGCCAGCAACAAGAATCACTATGGTCGTATGACATTCACAAATGAGATCAAAGTATTCAACATAACTTAAGTGGATTTAACTTACTTTGCCCAAAGTTTAGTTCCACTCCGGGGATCGTCCATCTCAAGAAAGACACCAATGTGTACAACACGCCAGCCACTCTCTTCATTCTCTGAGCGGGAAGTTTCTCCTCAACACGGATAGGAACATATTTCTTTCCAGAGTGATCTTCTGAAACGCCAAAGAATCCAGTAAACGCACGACCTCGTCTAATCGCCCGTACAAGATGAGGCAAGGAGGCAAGGATGGCAATCCCAACAGCTACAGCCCATACAGCCGAAAATTTACGTTGCCATTTGGGGTCTTCAACATACGAGCTAATGTTATATGTGTATATTTCGTTGAGGAATCAAGAACTGAGTTTTGTGAGTGAAACGCACTTGTATTGCTGTAAATCCGAAGGGATCTCTGGTGGTGTGCCAAAATCCGACATAACGCAGATGCGGAAAGCCTCCAACCTTCAAGTCGAGAGACTTGGTACTTTCTTGCAGTAAATATTAGGAAGCTTGAAGCTTGGAGCTTGAAGGGTGGTGGTCGGAAGAGAAAAGGATTTCACACTTGAGGGCGATCATGATATTTGGTGTGCACAAACAAAGGTGAAAGAACTTTTTCACACCGCTGCGGTTTCACAACTACACGTACTGGATTTGATTTACTGCCGTTCTAAAGCTATAATTAATGCTACGGTACAGGGTGGCAAACCCTAGAGGTCGGGAAGTATACGTATAGTCCGAGCCATTTCTGAGAAAGTCTTCAATGGTAATATGAACCCGATTAACTATGTTCATTCAACGTCCAATTTCAATAGACACCCGAATAAACACGTCCCAACCCATCCTCCGCCGCCGCCGCCGCCTCCTCCTCCCCCCTCAAAACCCTCCTAACATCCATCAACACCCCTCCCAACAAATTCAACCCCCAACCACCCCCGTCCCTCCCCTTCATACTCAACGCCCTCCCCTCCCCATACCCCACCCCCCAAATCCTATCCACCGGACTAGCCTCCACAAGCCTCCTCTCTCCCGTCTCCAAAAGCTTTCTTCTAAGGTAAGAGTTTTGTCTGAATTTGTGCAGGTTGCCGTGGAGGACGATTTGCGTACGGGCGGCGAACCAGAGTGGTTCGTTGAAGTTTGCGATGGCGCGGCCGAGGGATTTAATTTTTTGGAGTGTGGGTTCGGGCAGCTGGGAGGAATCGCGATCGGTTGTATAGGAGGTAGAGGGGATGTGGGTGGTGTGGATGATTTGGGTAAAAACATCTCGATCGCCAAACAACAAAGCTTTACAAGCCATCATCCAATGTTCCGCAGTCGGGAACAATATCTCATCCTCGCTCTCAATCACGACAGGTCCTTCATTGTCGCCAGGTAAGTCATGACTGTGACCGTGACCATGATCGGGAGAAGAGGAGGAGGAGTTGTGGATATCGATGCGAAGTTGAATCCGGGCTTTGAATGGGGAATGGTACCATTGCGAGGCCCATCCATGCGTATCTGTGACTTTCCAGAAGAAGATGTAGTCTTCGGGATCATTGGATGGGTATGTGTAGGGCATGCTCTCCGGCTATAGATACAGCTACAAGCTTAAAACGGTTGTGGACTCGAACGACGAAGGATGACATGGGTTTTGGTTTGGTTTATATACCTTATGAGGACGTTCGAACGCAGCTTGGAGCCTTCACCTTGACAGACGGACGGACAGACAGAGCTCTCCTAGCTTTGACTGCAGTGAGAACACTCCGAAAACCAACTGCATGCATAATCGTACACCCGTCTGCCCAATGTCCAATTCCATACTATATTACAATGCAAAAAGATCTTTGCGAGTCATGACGATACTTCTCTCATGCATCATGCCAAGTGAGCAGCATGACTTGCATACCGACCAAAAAGCATCTCTCCAACGCCCAGCCCAATGACCAGCGAGAGTATGAACCCGACTTGGAACGTCCTATCCAACAAAGCCAATCGACAACCGATTAACGTCCGTTGAATATTGGATAGAGTAGGCTCGGAAGCGAGGAAAAAGAGATACGTACATGACAGCCAACATGAACGCAAACTGCAACCCCGCTTGCCCGACGTGCAAAATCCCTCTCATAAGATCATGAGCGAGGATAAACGGGGGGACGTCTCGCATCGTCACGGCCTTCTTCAGCTCTTTGGCTGTCAAGGAGGATAACGAGTGCTTGAGATCGAGATCTGGTTGGGCTTTCTCCGAAGCTACAGGCAAGCCACGGGCGTTGAGACGGTCAGAGCGCACGATTTGAGCCCTTCAATATTCACACAACGAACGAACGAAACACCAGCCAAACATCAACACAAGTCCCCACATTCAAATAGCACAAGCCCTAACAAAAAAACACACACCTCTTATTCCAATGAATCTCCATCAGAGCCCGACACGCCGCCACCCACCTCTCAACAATCCCCAACAAGAACAACCCAATACACGTCCCTACCATCGCCCCAGCACTCGTCGGGACCCAGCCCAAGAACCACAAGGTGTCGCCGCCGGGGGTGAAGTGCAGGTAGGGGAGCATTTGACCTGTGGTGAGAGACATCGCGCCGTCCATTGACATGTCCATGCCGTTCTCACTGCATGAAATGGGGTGTAGGAGGGCGAGGGCGAGGAGTGTGAAGATGAGTGTGTGTGGATGTGGAGAGTACATGGCTGATGCTGTAGAGGGATCTGGCTTGCGTGAGGGGGAGATAAACTCAGGCGAATCGTTGTGAAAACGCTTTTATGTTGCTTACATAAGCAACCCAAACAGGCACAAGCAAATCTCTTAGGTCGTGAAGAGAGACGTAGTGGGGAGTGAAACTGAGGCTCTGAGATGGACGTACCTGAGTTGTAAGACGATAGACCGTCGAGTCAGACTATGTACAGATTCCAACTTATTTCACCAGAGATACAAATGTTGCGACGTTGCTGCCGGGGAGACTCACGTCGACGAAGGGGCATTTCTGTCTACGATACAATCAATCATTCCCCGAGCCATCGATGATACTCGGGAACTTGAAGGTCCGTGCGAGGGAACGAGAGCGGGCGGGACGGGTCATCGAGGACAACGAGGGCTGCGCAGCGACAGAGCGTGAGGTCCAAGGTGAAAGTCAGCAGGGAGATCCAGAGTAAGAATAGACAAGGCCGGTTCACGAGGCTCGACAGCGTAGGTGCAGAGTGTTCAGATTCGGAAGATGACCAGAGAGTAGAAATAGATGGGTAATTTGAGGAGGCAGGATCGGAATGCGTGAGGACTACGCTCTCATCTTTTCCTGCCTAGAGATCGTATATTGGAGACATTGAAGGTCAGTTATAGCCATGAGCAAGTCCTATAGAGCGATATGGGGTCGAAGAGAGGGTCTAGAAACGCGGTGGATAGAGGGAAGCCTCAAAGATTGAAAGGCAGGGCACCGAACAAAGCGCTTTCGAACGTCGACGCCGAGTTTCGAGAGAACTACGCTCACACTCGACGCTAACTTGGACAGCAAGGGGGCATGAGAGTTCTAGAGACAGTGCGCGGCGAGTGAGAAAAAGGGTGTATACGAGACTGGATGGAGCAAGTGCTTGAGGCAGATTGAGAGAGGACAGACGGTGGTGAGGGCTGGAAAAGGAGCCTCGCTTGCAAACTCACTGAGTCCTTTTCGCTGGGCGTCTCCGAGGCAATAATGTGATTGGTTCGGATAAACCCATAAGTTAGCGCCGTTCAAACTTGAGCACGGTCCTGCATCTTTCTGGAATCTGCACGGTCATCTAGTCCAAGTTCATACTAATAGTCCTGCCCACTTACATTGACGTATTCTCATCTAGCTACTCACTCGTTCGAACCACAGAAGAACCACCAAACGCACCTTCAAAATAGTATTTTCGTGAGGCTGCCAGTCGCGATGAGCAGAGCCGTGGTGAGCATTGAGCCAATCCATCAGGATCGCAGTACAACATGATCACCTCAGTGTATAGCACTTCAATTCGCACTTTCATCAGGATATCTCATTGGGGCGATCTGTCTCACCACCCATCCACTCGCGTCCATTACATCCAAGGGCTCGACATTCCAGGGCGCTCGGTGTTCAATCCTTCGACCTTATTTGCTGTAGACCACATATTGATGGACGACACTGGCTCTACGCACTCTCTGTTTGCTGTACATGGCGACTCTCATTCAAGAGCTCCTGTCTACGTGCATCTCCGTGTCTCCCAGTTCAAGAGTCCTCGCCTCGTTTCTGCTCGTGCACGGTTGTTCTGTGTTTCTGTCTCTCTTTGACCTCCCTGCCTTCCTTGTCCTCGTGACGGTCATCGGAGTGTTCATATGCGGCGATATGAATCACCACGCGCTCGCCAACCCCAGCTTACAGACAAACTATGTGGACAGTAAGGACGTGTCTTGTAGGGCTGGTCAGACAAAGGCGAGGGTGCGGAGAAGCGGGCATCCAACCGTGACGCTGGGTGGAGGATCTTAGGCTACTCGCACGTCAATGCAGAGTTATCCTCGCCCTCGTCGTCTCCCTCTCTCAGTCCCTGTCTTGGCCATATCCGATGATTCTGAGTACTTGGGTTCTCTTGCACAGAATACGGGCGTATATACTACGCATGGATCCGTTCGGCCTGGGTATTGATTTATTAGCGCCTCTACGGCATCTTATACGTGAAGATGGCACACGCGCGTTGTACTAGGACACTGCTTTCGACCGCCTGGATGGTAGTATACTGCCGTGCTCTCCGAGCTCCATATTGGAGAGGACAGCGAGAGAATAATCAACATTTATTATTCTGAGTGTCAATCTCCCCGTCGAGGACCGTAGCTGCAAATTCACTGCACCCTTTGCGCTGGACGTCTCCGAGGCAATAATGTGACTGGTTCGGATACTCCCATGTTGTTAACGCCTATGCAGGAGACTGACGAAGTCGAAAAGGTACCATGAACGGCAACCAGTACTTCCAAGCTCACCGTAGTATAGTCATGCTCACTTGCATTGACATCCGTTCATCTAACTACTCAGTCTTTCCAACAACAGAAGGAGCTACTTTCACTTGACTTGGTCCCGTTGCTACAATCCCATCCCTGCACCTTTTTTGATTACTATGATCCTTTAGACTAAATTCCTATGCATTCAAAATGGCATCTTCCTCGTCAGGCTGCCAATCGCGTTGAGCAGAGCCAAGGTGGGTATTGAACCGCATCACCTCATTGTATGGCTAAAGCCCTTCATGGCTATCCTTTAGGGATATCTTGTCAGAGCGATCTGGCGCAGCGCCATTCAACACTGAAAGATCACGACCAAACGAGAGGGAGGGTCGATCACCCGTGGCCATGACCGACAAGACCAAGAATTAGCGAGAGCACCTTAGGACTTGGTACCTAGCGACGCTAAAGGCCTCGCGTTTGAGTGCTCTATACGTATAGCCAGAGTTCGTTTGGATGCGTAAGATGAGTATCATCTTTTTCCACTCCGGCTATCCGAGGGCTAATGTCGTTGACTCTACAGGTACGCCTCCACGATATTCAACGCACTTATCTATTTGCGCGAAGCTTTCTCCTTTCCCTTCCTGCAAATTCGTACTGGCCTTCCGTCTTTTGCCGCTGTCTCACTCGTCTCCATACGTCCGGAGTCTCGACATCTCAAGATTCTTATGAGGTTCAATTCTTTGATTTTTTTTTCTGCTAGAGGCAATAATGACTCTGGATGATACTGACTCAGCACTCTCTATTTGCTTTTTTTGGGCGACTCTCTCTCAAGAGCTCGTGCTTTCGTGCTTCTCTGCGTCTCTCAGATGAAGGATCCTCCCCTCGTTTCTACTTATGTGCCTTTGTTTCGTGTTTCTGTTCGCATTCGACCTTCCTCACCTTCATGATTATCATTGGCGCTTTCATCTACAATCATCCGATTCATCACGCTCCTCCTGCTTACAGACAATACGAGGGACCATATAGACGATGGGTACATGTGCTGTGGGGCTGCACAGATGAGGTTGATAAGTGGTGAGGGTTCAGCTGCGACGATGGGCGGAGGATCTCAGACTGCACGTACGTTCATTTGTTCTCGCCCTCCCAGTCCTTTCCTTTCAGTCCCTGTCTTAGCGATATCCATTGCCTCTGTGTACGTATTCTCGTACACAGGGTACCGCCGCGCATTCTACAAATTGATCCGATAGGCCATGGTATCGGTTCATCAGCGCCTCGACTGCACCTTCTCCTACATGAGGACGGAATGCGCTGTTATTGAGATGCTGGCTTCGACCGCCCAGATGTAGATATACTGTCGTACTCTCCGAGCTCCAAATTGGAGAGGACGACGAGAGGATAGACAACATTGACCATTCTTGCTGTCAACCTCATCGTTGATGAACGTAGTTGTCACGACGGGTCTCCCTAAATCGACCGCCAGTACCTTTCAACTTCGCGCTTCCGTCTCCTTTCTCACGCGTCTTTTCTGACACTTCTCGCTCTCCCTTCTTAGACTGCCTTTGTATATTTAATTGAACCCTAATACCCTGCATCTGTGATTGTATCGCCCTTGGGCTGTGAACGCGCAGCGGTGCGTGTGAGATGTATCGCAAGCGTCCTAGGATCGTCGATCAGGCATATATATACAGACGGGTGAGGTCAACCGCCCACGCATACCTTCTTGTTCAACCAACACACTTCACCTTACTGTTCTAAGCTGCATTCTGTGAAACTGTGATCATGTCAGTAAAAAGTAGAGAAGAACAGCAGCTTTCACTGCTGCCCTTGGAGATACACCCTGAAGTCATATACTGGATGCATGCAATTGGTCTTAGAAAGTGGAGTCCAGTAGGAAGAGTGAGTTGAATATATCTTTCTGATATTGAAGATGCCAAGTTTTGACATAATTTCTGCATATACAGCTGAGGACTTTAGCTGCATGTTGTCTCACTTGTCATGCCTGACATTCATATACATTGCCCTTTCTTTACAGGCATATTAGCCTATCTGCTCAAGATGCTCAATATGCTAGTCTACTATGGAAAATATATGTGCATCATCATAAGAAATACTCTACATACTTGAAGAGCCTTGAGCTTCATTATGTAGTAAAAAAAAAGAAAATAGTCTTAATCAAAGAGGCTGGTCTATACCACTCTTTTCTACTAGGCTTAATAATCTCATTCATTTATCTCTATGGAGGCTTGATCTTGCCTAGATTCATATAGACTTTTTCAGAAGCCTGGCTCTTCTGCCAATAGATACTTTGCTTCTGAGATATGCCAGATTGTCAATTAAGCAGCTTCAAAGAGTGTTACAATTATATTCTAAATTGCAGCATCTAGCACTTATTAATATTGTCATATCTTCTGCAATTTCAAGTGTCACTTTATATAAAAAGAGGCACACACAGACCTATCTTGAAATTACTAGAACTTAAATTCTCAGATTTATCACTATTGAAGTGATTGATTGATAGTCACTATATCTGCTATCTTAATCTTCTTAATATTTGGCTCATTGATAGAAATCAATCTAGAACTGAGTATGTATTGACAATCAATGAAATTTTATTATACTCTAGATCAATATTATCAAAATACCATATCACATTATCTAAAAATGCTGAAGGTAAGAATTATATTACATCTATATTCTCTGATATTATTCTGACTACTTTGATAGCGATTAATTTTTACCATAATTCATACTTGCAATATCTAAGTCTAAATGCAGATAAAGAGAACTTGCCATTTGTGTTAGCATTCAAAGATGCCTATGAGTGTGAATCTTTATTAGCCATCTAGTGATAAAGAAATCTGTCAACAGCTTGAATAAAGCTTATTGAATATGAAGCAAGCCAATCTTAAACTTGTCAGCTTGTCTGAGGCAGATAAAGATGTTGACTGGTTTCAGCTATTTTCTAGACTAGCAGAGAAAGGCATTTTATATATTGAAAATGAGTACTTTGATATTTATCACTTAGATATAATTCAAGACTAATAGATAATGAGATTGCTTGAGAAATCTAAAATAAGAGAAAATACTTCTAGACACTCTGTAAAATGTTAATATCAAAAGATGTTCATATAGATTTTTTGATATTGTCTATTATAGATCAATATTAATATTCTTACACATAGTCACTCTTACTATTTGTAAGCCAGACTACTAAGAAGAGAGTGGTAAATTGTATTTACACTAATGAAAGAAATATGGAATAGTACAAATATAAACTTCACAGCATCACTACTTTCTGTACATTCCAAGATGCCTGAACAACTATTGACTAACTTGTATTTCACTTCTGTATGCAAGTTCACATTGCTGCGAGAGACTTGAGCCTGGCTGAATGGAAAGTTGCAGTTTCGTCAGGATATACTAGGCGCCTTGATAAATGGGGTTATTGAGTGTGCATAAGCGGCTAAAGTGCCGCTTGAATAGTACCTATACAATCTATTGTTGCACCATAAACTAGCTCTCACTCACCACGAACATTACCCCCTTTTCATCACCACCACGACGCAATCTGTCTATTCAACGACGATTGCACTGCTCAATGACATAATCTTGGTATACTCCAAACGCATGATTTACTTTCATTATCATCATCTCTCAGAAGCACGACTCAAATGATACCCCCACTCATACCCCTCCCCGAGGGAAGTAACAGGAACCAAAACGCCGAGAAAGACGACTTATTCTCTACCCTCTTCTCCCCTTCAACACCACATGCTTCACCAATCTTAGGCCCCACAGGGGCCGCCTCAAGCAGCGATGCACGCATACCAGCAGTCAGGCACGCGAGGACAGTATCTTCAGACTCGGAATTTGGTGCATTCGTGTCGGTTCCCTCAGCAGAAGATCCCCTCGCATCCTCGGTAAGGGAAGGAAACGACTTGAAAGATGTCTCGTTCAGTCCCTTGCAGAATACCAGATTCTTCGATCGGTTCGCAGAGGAAGCGAAGGTTAACGCTGACAAGAACAAGAAGGGCATTTTGGAGGAGCTTTTACAGCACCAGGACGATCCCTTGTATTTCCTTAAGCCCGATGATGACCTTGTTTCTGAACCTTCGCCTCATTCGGTGCAACAGAACACATCGTCGTCTTCTGTAGCGTCGCTACTTGACCTAGACCCTGACGAGCCAATTCCGGATCCCCCAAACACAGAACTTGAGACTGAACTCCACGAGGCAACTTCCAGCCATGATACCGCCTCGCGCTTCTCAAGACATCCTGATCGACACCGGAATCAGACAGAACCATCAGGTTCGACGATTCATCCCCTCACTCGAACGCCTTCGTTACCGCCTTCGCCAACCCGAATATCTCGTCCAGAGATTCAGCGGACACAGTCCATATTCACTCCATCATCCCTCACAAGTTCTGCTAGCTCTATCTCCCCGGCGCGTTGGATGTCCTCTCTCCTCTCGCGGCCTGCCGCGAAGTTCGAAGGCGGGACTGTACCGCCTTCACGTTCATTCACACCTCCCCTAGCGGACTTCCACCATCGAGCTCAGACGATGGCTGCGAGTGTGCCCTCGCCAGGAATTACTCACGGAACTCCATTTGCGTCGCAGCCCTATATTCCACCGTCGGGGGCCCCTGGGTTTGCGGGAGATCGAACGTGGAATACTGGGAAGTTTGAATTTGACAAGGAGAACGTGGAGAAGAGGAGTGTGAAGCTAGTAGGGAGAAAAGAGATGACGACTCCTGTGCTTACCGTGCAAGTGGCCGATATGGTGCGTGATCTACTCTCTTCGGACAAGACGTACTTGTTCACGACATATATAGCTTCGTCCATACTTCCCCGCATTAGCTCGCTTACCGCACTCGTGGACGCTGCTCTATAGTTTGGATCAACATGGGATCTCTCTGCATACCCTCTATAGTCGGTGCGACGGATTCCTAGGGAGCACTCTGGTCATTATGAAAGATTCGAATGACACAATGTTTGGCGCGTGGTTGGGTGAGGGGGTTCACCCATCGAAAGGATCTTACTACGGTAGCGGCGAGTCGTATGTCTGTTTATCACTTCATTGCTCGCACTTCCTGTTGATCGCCTTCATTAAATAGATTTCTGTGGAAAATGGGGCCCGACAACAGAGTACGAGTCTTCAAATGGACAGGCAAAAACGATTATATCGCACTTTGCGAACCGGACTACATCTCATTTGGTGGCGGGTATGTTGCACCTTTGTACTTCACCTGAATGACTGATGACGTCAATGCGGTTTTTATGTAGGGACGGACGTTATGGCTTATACCTTGACGAGACATTATTGGATGGATCCTCAGCACCATGTCCCACATTCGACAATGATCCGTTATGCTCATCCGGCCCACGTCAGGGCGTTGGCTACCGTTTCGAATGCGTCGGGTTGGAAGTGTGGGGTATAGGCTCGTGATGATATCCTTGTTGTAACCATTCACAATTCAGACGGTATATCGATTACATCTTCGACGGTTTCAATCTCTGCCATTGTATCAAGTATTTTGGACATGTTTTTCTAACTTATTGGCACAAGCTGTATAGATACACACATTTCATTCGGATCTCCACTTCTCATTATCAACGAATTCTCAACGCTGTCCCTCATTTGGGTGAAGTCAAAGTCCGTGTGATGGTATGAATGCCCGCAGTCGTGCTGCCTAACATGTGTCTTAGACACCTGGGGGGTAGCGTACTCATAAGCCTTTCGCTCCTCCGGTCCACCAAAGGTCTTCCTATGTTTCCATTTCTTCCTTCTAAGCATGAGTTCTATTTCTCATTACCTCAACTCCACAGGTGAGGGCGTCGTATGGTGGAGAAAGAGATATTCCCGCAGGTGGTCAATATCGCAACATTCGATACACCCTCAACTGGCGTAATATTACAGTCGAAACCAGGGAATTGAGATAGGAATCTATTAGGTGCACGCGGATTAGACCAATGGGTTACTTGGTTGCCTGTGAATGAGTTTGATACGACGCAGGGCATTTGTGGATGAATATCTGAATGGGGATGGAAAGATTATGCATACTTTTCGTATTTCGGCGCACCCTCAAGGTGAGAAGCATTCGCGCTTCTGTGGAGCACATCAGCAGTAAATGGTGGCCATCATTGAATATCCAACGTGTCCGACTATTGCATCGCCATTCAGCATCATTGGATGTGATCTCGTCCCCCAGACGGATGCCGAACCAACTGAATGGCAGTGAAGAATTAGTTCAAGGTTCGGTCTCGCTGTCCGATATGGGCATGTAGGTCAGTCAAGAGCCGTGGCAACGAAGAATCCTCACCTGTCAATAGCATACCCCCCTCATCCTCGTTAGAAAGGGGAGACGACAAGAGACACGAAAGCAGAGGACCGAGAATAAGTTAGAGCTGATAGAATATAGAAAGATCCGTATCTACAGTAAGTACTGGCCTCATCGTCCACCATGGCTGGCCAGGGGTAACTTCAACAACAAACACTATCACAAGAAAAACTAGTACATTTGAATCAAGCAGAAAAATAATAAAAGAACACCTCCCCTCCTCTCATCCCTTCGCTTTGCCTGAATAATATGTAGATCGTCTAGATGTGCAGATGTGACTATGGTATGTATGTGCGTGACTAATGAAGATAGGTTTGAGTAATAATACGTGAGACGTGCAGGGTTGCCTAGAGCAGATCGACGTGGAAGTCAGGTATATCGAAATAGCGTAGAGACGAAAGGGAGGAGAGGGGCGTGAAGTACATCGAAGATGAAGGCGTAGGGTGTGTTTTGTCTAAAGACTAGCTTAGACATCAGGTATTTGGGTATGGACACCGTCTCGTGTGTGATCTTCCAAACTGGGTTGTGAGACGAAAACGTTTTGACCCTTGATGTTTAGGAAGGAGTACTGCGAAGATACGCTCTATCAGCAACAAGAACATACACGCAATCGTGATGCACTGACATCGACGAGTTCGGCGCCACTTTGGCGGTTATAATTGACGTATACGAGATTTGGCTGTACGTACGCCACCGGTCAGTTTTGTCCGAGCATGTCAAGAGAAAAAAATTGAAAAAATCAACATACTGCCGACATAAACGGTCTCAACCCTGCCGACTCCAAAAACTCGAACCAGTTGAGGAAGTCTGGAAACTTTTTGTTCCATGCATGAATCTCCATCTGAAGTTGTCCAAATGGCAACGGTGTTTCCCAGTCAAGGAACGTCTGAACGATAGACCTCAGCGTGTCAAACTCCCAGCCTTCGATATCGATTTTCAAAATATCAATGTGCTTGTGACCTAAAGCAATAAATAGATATGAGTGGAGTCCGCAGTGTGATATTGATAGAATGGCGATACTCACCGTTCTGGCGCATCAGCGATTGGAGCGTCCATATTTTCGGCGTGTCGTCAGGGCCATGCGAGTCCTTGGGTCCGAGTTGCAGTTGCGCGAAGTGGGTACGATGTTTGAGGTCCTTGGGTATCTGGTGACCAAAGCCGGTATGCAGAGCGTCGTGACCCCAAATTTCACAATGTCTCGTACGAGACAAAACTTCCCCTTCGAATGATGAGTCCCAGTCCACACCTGTGTAACGTTAGCAAAAAACGAGGACAGAGTACAAAAAACGAACGCACCAAAGGTATAAATCACACAGTTGGGCTTGTCCTCCAGCCTAGATAGTCCACAAATCCATTTTCCGCCGTCGCCCGCCGAACCTATCCGCTCCAAGTCATGCGGGCAATCAAACGTTGGCGGAAAGAAGTCCCCTGAGAGAGATCGAGTGAGTGGTATTGCCTTGCTAGACAAGAAGCGCCTTACAAGCTGTATACGCTGGCCATGGATCCTTGTCTGGCGGGAACCTATATCAATAGTCAGTGGCTGGCTGTATGAAAATAACATTCAGATGTACATGACCACCCGTTCCGGAGTCGGCCCATGTTTCTTAATTAACTCCTGCCTCTTCTCCAAGGTCTTTTGATACATCCTCTCTGAGCGGGCTATCCGCGCAGGAAGACTGGGGTCATTTGGCAATCCCGAAACATCAACGGGAAGCTCAGCCAATCCGAAGTTTGAGTGGGTGAAGAGCAGGAATGTAATGGCACATATAACAACGACTAAAAGGACATAACGCGGGTTGCGTTGAAACATCAAAGCCATGGTTGAGGTGGAAGTTCAGCTTAAGTTTGTCCAGCGTTCCGTAGTGAAGCTAGTGCGGGTATTCGGCAGATATATACGCGGTTCGGAGATTCGCACAGAATGGAGCCAGGGTGAGAGTGCGCACAGGATGTGCTGTCGGTAGAGCTGCCCGCGCTATATCGAGTTCGTCGACAACACACTGGATTCCAAGCGAATTCAAAAGGCTGGGCCATGTGCTGTCAGGGGATCTTACGCTAAACATGATAAGATTAGATCTACAAACTGGCGGATGCAAGCGGAACCTCTGGTTAATCTTCTTGGGGTCTCGTCGATCGTACTATCAGTATTCGAGGAGGTTTAGGAGGGAGAGATCTCTTGAGGGGGTGTAAGTTGTTAAGAGTCTTGGCATACGTATTGGGAAGTGGGCTTTGTGAAATAGTTTGTGTGCCCAATTGCTTGTTATGCAGAGAGATAAGATTAGATTCTAACAACATATCCAGCGATCGGTTGTTGAATTCTGTTCTTGCCGTTAGTCCTTCTAGCAAGACCGCTAGTTGTCCCATAGGCAACTAAGTGCTGCCCCGAAACTTCAGGTTATTTATCTCCAGCTATCCCGACAAATCCGTATTGCCCAGAGTCCAGAGGATCCAAATGCAGAATTGCCGACTCGACGTACAAAGGTGACTGCCTTCCTATGGTCTCCCTGAGGCGAAGTAGATGGACCTTCGCGCTACCTTCCCAGAAGGTCTGTGATGCTCTTAAGCGGACACGAGCGAACCACACCCCTACAACGTGCTAAGCTCCCAAGCTGCAAGATCAGGCAAGACGCGGACATTATCAGCCAAACCGGCACGTTGTCTGTTGACAACAATAGCTTTACAATCTATTCCCTTGATATTTACCTATTGGCACTGTCGAGGACATTCATTGCGATGCAAACCAGGTATCCATCATGTTCTATCGCAGACAAGGCGGTGATAAACGTGTAGCCCAGAATGACAGTTCGAGAACGCTATTTGCGCATGCTGACGTTATTATGGGGTTCCGATGTCCTGGACCACGTTGTCAAGGGTGCAATGTGTACGGCGAACCAGGGAGCTTATAAAAAATGCTTCGTACATCATGCGACTCCACTACTCTGCCCTTACTATACCCACCCACACTTTCTTGCTCAGATCGCACCTGAATTACTGGTTATTGAACGTGAAGTACCGCTATGGCTACGACTAATGGTCTCCGTGTGTTCTTGTATGTTGTATTGGTGAGTCCCCTTGCAAACGTTGAGAACGAGAATTTGATGACACCATGTCCCCATTCTAGTGGTTATTTGCGGCTGTACTCTTAGGCTTGACTGCTCAACGGTTACACTACACAACTCATATCCCTCTTGGAGACCCTCTGCATGACGGGGTACCCTTTTATGGTGAATCTTATGTTCCGACCTGCCTATATCTCCTCCTGACGCCCAATCATCAGACCCTATAATTGCCGAGTTACTGGCCTCTTCGGTGTTGACGGTATTATGGGTACCCTTTGTGTACGTGTGGAAGTGATTCGAAATGGTTGGAATGCTTGGAATGCTCAACTGATCCCCATATCAACCAGGGTGCACGTACTCCATCGCGATGACGACTATGGTTTCGTTGGAACGTTCGCAGGAGAGATCCTCGGACTTTTTACTCTATTCATACTTTGGCTTGTTGGTGCGGCCATCGCCACTGTAAGTTCATCGCAATCGTACATTTTTTTTCCTTATTCTGACGTTGGCTTTACGATCAGACGTTCTGGGGTGACCTTTCATGGTGTCATCAATTCCTGCCATGTCGAATTCTCACCGTTATCGTCGCCTTCGCGTGGATGGGCTGGATCATCCTCCTCACGTTGCTCATTATCAGTCTACTCTTCGCTTTCATGAACAACTCATTTGGGAGACCGCTTCATGGACGATACGATCCGAGAGGAAGTACGTACGGTCCTCGGAGGGTCTAGGTTTACCATCTGACGACGATCAAGGGCGTTCCTGGATGAGGAAATGTTGGGCTTAGTATATGAGATTCAGTGATGACGAAGACGAAGGCACGACGAAGGTTGGGCTTCATGATTACGATTGGTTCTTGTACAGTAGGTTTTTGCTACTAATACACTGTTAGTGTTGTATTTATTTTGATCTTCGCCAAGCATGGCAGTAGGCTTCAGCTATGTAGGAATAGATGTTTTAAATACCAGGAGTTTGTCTATTGGATACAACACATCGGCGAAGTTTAGTAAAGTCCAAAGCTGTTTACACTCGAGCGCCGTATAAAAACAACGTATCACTCTACTCTGCGAATGGGTTGTCGAGCAACAAAAAGCGCAACTACACCCACAAGCCGAATTTCAACTTCCTCAAACCGCTCCTTCAACGATGCCAAGAGTTTATCTTGGCTATCCCGGATATTGGAGAATACACCCTTGGCATTATACAAATCCATCAGCTTCTGACCCAGCCAGTTATGCTCTACGCCTTCTCCAAGGATAGTTGCCCCATACAATGTTGCGTCGTCCGTCATAGCGGGAATCAAGCTATGAAGCACTTGCGCGCTTTTCGCAGGAAAGGACCCCGGGAGGCAATGCAAGAGATAAAATAACGATACGGAATCGAACCTCTTGTGCATGCTGGTCGGAAGGGGGAGGAAAACATCATGCTCTAAGGTCTCTATCCTGCCTTTGTATCCTGCTTCACGCAGTCGGCTCTCCGCAACCTCCAGAGTGTCGGGATTAAGGTCGACAAATGTTATTTCTTCGGTACGGGCCAGATGGGTAACGGCATTGGCAGGGTAGTATCCCGTTCCAACCCCAACGTCCAAATGCGCCTCGCCTCCTGCATGTTCGCGGGAAAATGGTAATAATGTGGTTTGTGTCGGGCAGCGCCATGCGTAACCGTTGGAAATGGATAGAACAATGAAGTCGTATAACTTTAGCACGAGTTTGGTGTAGATCTGTGCTGAGGGGTGCATGATGGTGAGCTGAAGGAGGCCCTGCCCTTTGAACTCATGTTTCAACCTGCACAGGACTCGGAGCACAGGAGAGATAATGAGCGATCACTTTATGAGGAAGCTCGGTGATTGCCGACTGTCACAGTATGGCGTTGAAATCGGTGATCGTTGGACGGTTGAAGTCACGAAAGGCCAGAATCCCACTGACTTCTATCGTCTGCTCAATGCTCCTCAATATCGTATCGTTGCTGAGTTAAAATTGCTTAGCTATCTGTGTCACGCATCGACCTTTGGTTATACTGTACAAACACTAAAGCTAATCAGAAGTATTTGTGCGAATATTCTGGAATATTGAATAATCGTTCGCTGCCTGTTTCAACGTCTCACTCATATTCCTCCGAGAATGTCTTCACATTGTTCCCCTCCTGGAACGAAAATGGCGTAGATAACCTTCGTTGCTCGTATGGTGTATCTTTTCTATTCGTTCTCTGTTTTGGTCATGACCTGCCCATGTTCGGAAGATGGCTGGTGAGTCTGACAGACTGGGATGCGGTCTCAGGGAACTAGCACAGCACCTTAATATTCAGACCCGTCTGCGAACAAAGATTCATTTTATAGAGGCTTTTACTCAAGCCCTAGGCGACTCTCAGTTCACTGCAACTGACATCGACACTATGCTGTATCTTCAGATCGTATTGAAGGAGATCCTCCACCACAGACAGCAGCGTCTCATCAACATAGGGAGACTTCTTAGAACTGTGTTCTGCCGCCTTAGATGGCAATCTGGACATTATCCAGGAAGATTATCGATGATATCCTCATATCGACTGCAACGGGCGTTGTGCTCGGATTCTGCTTGCTTCCTTTGTAAGCCTATGTCGCGTATACCCTTGATATCGTCATCTTCAAAATGGTATAAAGTGCTTCATGTAGCTAATGCAGCCTCATAGGCTCTTTGAAGTAAGCACCTCGGGTTCGCACAATAGCAAGTGCGACGTGGTATCCCCAGACTACTAGGTATATGATATCCTACAAAGCCAAAACCATAGCAACAAGAGAAAACAGCAATGCAATACTGTTTAGCCCCGCGACGACTCTCAGACTTCCAGAAGATCCAGCACCGCCCGAAGTAGGACTAGGTACACTACCTGAAGGGGAAGAGGTCCCGAGCCCAGCGGCAGGCACAGTTTGATTAAGTGCGGTGAGGTTGACAGGGGGAGGAAGCGTAAAGGGTTGAGTGGAAGTATTCAAGCCTGGACCGAGGAAGACAGGTCCACCACCTGCCCCGCTTGCATTGACGTTTGGCGCCGGGAATGGAACGTAGAACTCGGGATCTGTTGTCAGTGGACGTGAGAATCATCGAAAAGGGGAGAGGTACGGAGATAGGAGGTCGTACTGAGAGGTCCGGGGATATCACCCGTTGCGTTGGTAAAGGGGATAGCCGAACCAGAAACGTTAACGTTCTTGTACTTCGTGACATCCGCGACGAACGAGAAGACGTTGCTCATCGTTCTATAACCATACGTATCGTCAGAAAGGGTGACAGAAGCTGCCTTGAGAATTGTGCCTACTTGTTCGTATCTCCACGGCCCAGAGAGCCAAGGCCCCAGTTGGCCTCGACCGTACTCAGGGTAGAGTAATGCGTGTAGTAGGTCGAATCCGTGGTACCCCGGAGCTTTTCAGGCACGGCACCCCCAAGCAAAAGTGTGTAGATCCGATTGTTGATCCCATAGGTTTCGTTCTCGTCAAACGTCAAAACAATCAACGTCTTGTTGTCGTTGAACGCTGGGTTGTCCAATAAAGGTACCAGCCAGAAGTTCAGCCAATTAGAAGCAAAGTCGATGTCCGTGTCGTGAGCATCATTGACCAAATTCGGAGTGACGAAGTTCCACTGGGGAATAGCCGACGCATTGAGGTCGGCCGCAAAGTCGTTGAAGTTACGAATACGTTGTAGGCGCGAGGAGACACTAGTGATGGAGTCGAAGATAACATGAGGGTTGTGTTTTCGGACGTAGTAAGTATAGGGAGGTGCGGAGGTATTGAGATAATTCGGCTGAGTGAAGCTGCGAGGTACGATTCGTGTGAATATCATCATATGCACATTGGCGCCAGAACACGAAGCCATCCGATGGTATGTTTTCTTGATACGAAGCCCACGTAATGTTCTTCGCCTCAAGCAGGTCTACAACCGTCGAGATACTATAGAACAAGTTGTACGTCAGGAACATTCATAATACACACGTAACTTACTTGGCGGGAATATTGTATAGATCATCGTCCCCCATTCCGAAGAAATCGCCGCCGATGGACGCCACATAGTTCGGCTCGGAAGGGTGGGTTAGAGCGTAGTACTGAGTGAGTAGGATGCCTTGCTTTGCGAGTTGGACGAAGGCTGTGGAAGTGGCCGCGTCGCTGAAGTCGGTGTTTTCAATCCAAATCTATGGATGTCTTGAGAAAATATAACAATGCACAAGAGACTTGAAAGGAGTACCTGAGTGAACCGATTGAAGACTTTCCCATTCACGACGTGTGCCTTCGGTAACGTCCCATTGTTCTGGCCGACATAGTTGGCGGACACCTCGTTCGGTGCAACAGCGGGCTTGGCAAACTGAGGAGCTTGGGCGGCCAATACTGCAGGTATCAAACAAAGCAACGCGATACCAGCAAGCATGATTGTTGGGATGAGTGGAATTTGTCGCTCACTTGAATCATTCGTTTGCCCAGACCATTGGTTAAATTGTGATCCTCGAGCGCCATAAATAGATGGAAGCACAAGTTCATACTTTTCGAGTTGATGTCGTGCCTAAGAATGCCCGTCGAGCTGCCATTGCGGCGTTTGAGAAGCAAAGAGTCTATGTACTGTATCTTGTGGACACCCGAAGGGACCCCAGATACTGCTCCTTCGACCTACATATGAGTTCGAGGATAGACGATATCTGTGTTACCGCAAAGGTGAGTTTAGACACCGATATCGACCGTAGACTCGCATATCGTTGAGGACAATAAGAGGTAACGTACAGACTTGTAGAGGGAATCGTCCTTGGCTGAGAGGTTTTCTACACGGCAACAAAGCCTTCGCCTGATCAATGGTAACAGGTAAATGAAGGTAGATGATCACCACAAACATGCGTTGGGGCCAACAAGTAACGTAATGAAGCTTCCTGATCCGAAATGCGACCATTTCGTCCAGTGGAATATGGCAAATAGCCACCTGTATTGTAACAAGGCATCCATATTCGCGATTCAGGATAGCGAAACTTCATGTGACCGTGCCAACGAATAAGTGATAGGACTCAAATCAATTTAGAAATGAGCAGGTAAAACCATTCGAAACTTGGAGTATTGAATATAAGAACTCAGTCGGTATCGAAGCTTACGACTGTGTATTGTAGCTACCTATTGAATATAAGAACTGCAAGTACAAGTCAGTAACAAGGAAGAGTTTCGGAGTGGGGGTTACATGCTACACACCTCAGTCGGTATCGAAGCTTACGACTGAGGTATTCCTATGGTGGGTCAAAGATTAATATACTGCAAGAGGATGGAAGAAATCGGAAGGAACATCGGAGTGCTGAAGGGCTCAAAACGGAAAATGGTACGGTACTTGAAAAGCCAAGAAAATGGATAAACAAAGGTGTAGTAGCTAAGCGTCCATATAAAGAAATAGGATCAAAGGGTAATCGGGCATTGAGTAGAATGCATTCGGATACGGTCGCGAGTGCGACCGCGGCTTGATTTTCAACATGGAGTTAATCCGAAGTTCATCTGGCATATATATACAACTATTATCTAAATACATGCGATATCAATGTGTTCATATATCCTTATGGTATCGGTCAGGTTCGAGCATGGATCAATGAGTGTGTTTGGGTAGGTTTTAATAAGTGGTTACAAATGAATAATGTGAGGGAAAGGTGTGTCCGTAGATCCGAAATGAATGTGATCGTAACATTACCCCCTCCTCTAGAATCGTGTCCTCACGATTAATTATGATAGAGTATGAAATTGTTTAATCATACCATGATGATCCATTCTTCCGAATTTTCTCGCTCCCATTCTCTATACCATACAACCCAGAGTATCACTCCAACAGTGCATAGGATTATGCCACCAAAGACGCTAAGGATGATGATTCCATCTTTGTCCATTTCTACCAAAGAGCTTTCATTGGTTGAGTAAATGATTGTTCTAGAATAGGGGAATCCATACTTGGGATTGATATTGATTCGATGAGTTGGTAGAAGGAAAGAATGGGGTATTGCCATTCGAGTTTGACTTTTGTAGGCACGAATGTGATTGCCACATGTGTCAGTTTGAGCGTCTGCTCATTGATGATCCATAACTCACCGGCATTCGGGTAATGCTGATTAGATATGATTTGTGCTGTCCTTCGATTTTCAAATAATTTAATCGAATCTGGATCCACAGATATCATTGCTTTTTCTTTTTTATGACGTTCTGCCCATCACTGTACTTTCTGATCCCAATAATCCCATTCTTCTTGTGTCGCTTCTCTAGGAAATGACTGTTCCATAATTTGTGCCTTTAACAATATTCTCGTGGGTGCTTTTGGCGCATCGGGATGGTCTTTATGGAATTTGTCAATTATCTTTTTGTCTATGTTTTTAATAATTTTATGATGTAGTTCCCATGTATTTTCAGAACGTGGTTTTCCAGCCCACTTGATTAGATATTGAAGGCCTCCATGTGCCATCTTGGAGTCTAGTACAGATTCAGCTTTGTCTTCTAAAATATCGATAATTATTGGAATGTTTTTCTGTGTTTTCTGATTAGGAAATTCTGGTGCATGATATGGCAATAATAAGGTTTCATTGAATACAGGATGTACGCCTTTCCATGATTTTGGTAATTTGAGCTTGTATGCGCTAGCTCCAATTTTCTTGATAATCAGAAATGGTCCATATCTTTTATCATCCAATTTTCGATTTGATCTATCTGTGCGTATATGCGTAGCTTCAAGCCACACTAAATCTCTATCTTTATAATTTATGGCTTTGCCTTTATGTTTGTCATATTGTCTTTTCATAACATCTTGTGCAAGTGTCAATGATGCCGATGCTTCCTCTTGGATTTTCTTCATTCATGCTACAAACTGCTCGGCAGTTTCATTACGAATTTCTTTTTTAATTTCTACACCAGTATAGGCTTCTCGTCCGTGATTCATATAAAATGGTGAAAATCCAGTCGCAGAGTGGACTCTGTTTCAATATGCAAATGTTGCTAGTAGCAACCATTCTGGCCAATCAGTCTGTCGATGATTGATAAAGATTCGTAGATAATTTTCAATTTCTTGATTGATTCATTCTGTTTGTCCGTCTGTCTGTGGATGATATGCCGTACTAGGATTTTCCTGAATTCCTAGTTTCTTGTATAAATCCTTTATAAAGCTGGATACAAATTGCAGTCCACGGTCTGATGTCATCTTTTTTGGTAATCCGTGCAACGGATATACATTTTTGATATAGAGATTAGCCCATCCTTCTGATGTCAATTGCTCCGTAGTTGGTATTTCAATATAGTCTTTTGATTTCATGTCCACAACTACTATGATCGCATCATGCCCTTGCGACTCTGGTAAGTGTGTAATCATATCTACTGATTGATATTCCCAATTGTGTTCCGGAATTGCATTTGGGTGCAATGAAGCATTCTTCGGTTGATGGTTAATCTTGGTTTTTTGACAAGTCTCGCAGCCTTTTACATATGTTTTTACATCTTTTTTGATCGAAGGCCACCAGTACGATCGATAGATTAGTTCTTGTGTTTTCGCTTGTCCAGGATGACCAGCACTAATTGAATCATGATGCAAATGAATAATTTCTCCTCTGAGTTCCTTATCAAAAGGGATAACAATCTTCCCTCTTCTCCAGATAAGACCGTCCTCAGTCTCATTGAAATCAGCGTCTTTTGTCAATAATTTTAGTCATACATTGTTCTCATATTTTTCAGTGTTTTTTATGATTTTCTCCCGTAAAGCTGATGATCCGAGAATTTCATTGGCTCGGAACCATTCTGGTTTTAACAATGTAATATTTTCATTATGACTATCACCAATATTGTGATGGGTCTGTCGTGATAAAGGGTCACCCTTCGTCATTGTGTTTCCGGGTTTGTGGGTCAAATTGAAATCATATTGTTGTAATTCTTGGATCCATCGCGCTTGGCGATGATTCAACTTCTGGGGTTTTTTAAAATAACCAAGGTTCTTGTGACCAGAATGAATTTCAAATTTCTGTGCAGCTCCCATCAAGAAGTGACGCCATTCTTCTAATGAGATCATGATGGCTAGCATCTCTCGATCGTAGATCTCATAGTTTCTTTCATCTGGTGAAAGGCTTTTCGATAAGAAGGCAATGGTTCGCCATTGTCCATCTTGCTTCTGTGCAAGTTCAGCTCCAATAGCATATTTCGATGCATCACATTCGACTTTGAACTGATCTTCATTGTTCAGAATACCTAATACTGGTGCCGTGGTAATGGTTTTCTTTAGAAGTTCGAAAGCTTCCTGCTGTTCTGAACCCCAGGTCCATTCTACTTGTCCGGTTAATTTATTCAAGGGAGTGGCAATTTTGGAAAAGTCTTTGATGAATCGTCGATAGAAATTAGCGAATCCAAGGAATGACTGTAATTCCTTTTTGGCTTTTGGTGCTGGCCATTGCGTAACTCCATCGACTTTGGCAGGATCCATCTTTACAGTTCCTTGCGAAATAATATATCCGAGATATTCTGTTTCTTGAGTTTCAAACTCGCATTTTTCTGGTTTGCAGGTTAACTTATTTTCTCGTAATATTTTAAGGACTTCTTTCACAATACGGCGATGTTCCTCCAGGGATTCGGAAAATATGAGTATATCGTCAAGATATATGATTACTTTTCCTTTGAGAATGAGATTATGGAAAATGTCATTCATCATCATCTGAAACGTAGCAGGACTATTTGTCAATCCGAAGAACATGACAGTTGGTTCATATAATCCTCTATTTGTGATGAATGCAGCTTTCTCTTCATCTCCTTCTTTCATGCGAATATTATTGTATCCCCAGCAAATATCCAGTTTCATGAAATATTTAGCACCTTTGAGCTTATCAATAAGCTCCGAGATTAATGGTAAAGGATATTTGTTTTTCTTGGTCATATCATTGAGTTTTCAGTAGTCCTGTACCGGTCGCAATTTGCCATCTTTCTTTTTGACAAAGAAGAAGGGTGCTCCCCAGGGAGACTTTGATGGTTGGATTCTTCCCATCTTTAGGTTTTCTTCAAGAAAACTGTCTAGGATTTTTTATTCTTCAACAGTCATGAAATACACTTTGCCTGCATACGGTGATAAATCTGGTAGCAGTTCTATTGCATGGTCCCATGGTTTCCTTTCTGGAAGGATGTCGAAAGTATCCTCAGTGAATACATCTGTGAATTCACGATACTGTTCGGGAACCATTTCTTCGAAGGTCTTTTTCTTTTTTTGTTTACTTTGTTCGATTGCTATGTCCATGGCTGTTACACGCATTCACTGAATATATTCTCCCCATTCTTTATACCAAGCATTGGTATTGAGTAAATATACGGTATCTCCTTCTTCGATTTCTTGTTGTCTTATAGTGATGCACATGTGTGGGCATCGGTTAAAGTCAACAAGTTGCAATTTGAAGTCTATTGATGGATTATGGTATTCAATCTATTCATATCCGAGGAATATGTCTGACTTCCCCAGATCGGTAACTAGAAGCATGATCTTCTCTTGGTGATCGCCGATTCGAAGTGTGAGTCGGATGTATTCTGTGATCGGTCCTTGAGAATTCTCGCTGTTATCTGTGTTATAGACTTGGATTGGTTGATCAAATCTAGAGGTTTCGATTCCATGCCTTTTTACGAAATTATAATTTATACATGATCCGGTACTTCCGGTGTCAACTAATGCTATTGTATCATGAATTCTTTCTGTTTCTGGGATGATCACGGTGACCGGTAGGTCCATTTGTTTCCCTCTTCCAAGTCCTTTGACAACTCGGAGTAATGGTAGTCCGATGTCTGTGATGCTTTTATCCGACGCACTCAGTTTATTTTCAAATTTTTTTGTATTTTGTTTAGAGGAATCAAGCACAGGTTCTGCCCTGCCGCGCTTCTTGGTAGAAGACGCCTCTGCATTAGATGAAATATTTACAAAAGGGGACTGTCTGATCGATGTACTATAGGCATGTATCGAAGATGTTTTCATAGAACCCTCCAGGGGTTTATCCGAGTCATTGTTCTTATCCGGCAAGTTACTTTGTGCGTTTAAGCCTTGCCTGAGCCAAAATTCAGCTTCTTCGCCTTCTCCGGGTTCTTCTCCATCCATCGCCGAACCATGGCGATCATCTTGTCATCGTCATCATTATCTGAGTCGGAGATCTCCTCGATCTTGGACTCTGTCTTGGTTTCATTCTTTCGAACACGTTGAGTGTTCGTGGAGGGTCCCGATCGATTGGGAACATGCCATGCACTTCCGCAAGTGCCCTTCTCTGATTGCTTAGCCTTACACTTAAGGCAATTTCTGTCCAAGTCCATGGGCTGTCCACGCCCTGTGAATGTTGTCCCGGTTCCATCTTTCTTTTCTCCGTAGTCCTTCTTCGGACTCTGATTCTGGTTCTGACCCGATCCTTGGGTCTGCTGCTGATAGGCAGGGTACTTCTGCCCATAGTTCTGGTTTGATCGGTATGGTCGATATCCGATCTTCTTCAGACGCTTCTCTTCTTCCCGCTGCCTTCGCGAGGAATCAATATCAATGATCACTTCCTTTCATGCTGCATAGTCGGTTGGTCGTGTGTCTTTGTCGAGGACTCTGTCTACAATGGATTCATTGCAGTTGAGTCTGATGAGGTCGATAGTGTGTTTATCGTCCTTCTTTCTGCCTGCTTGCGTGATGTACATTTCCAATTTCTGGAAATATTCTTGTGCCGTCCCATTGCCTTGGGTCAAGTTATCCATTTGGATAACTGCTTGTTCGACTCGATTTGAATTGAGGAATTGTTCATCAAGGGCTTTGATCAACAGAAGAAAAGTGACATTCCAGCTATCCGTGCTAATGTCAAATTCATTCTCAAAATAGTTGTTGACCCAGTCATCAACCTTTGGACCCTTCATGTATGAAAGAGTCATATCGACCTTCTGTTCATCAGTGAGACCGATGTTCTTGGGTGTTCGGAACCATAAGTACAGTTGTCTTTTGAAAGATGGATATTTGTCTTTGGTTCCATCAAAGTCTGAGGGTTTCCCTCCAGATGCCTTTGTGTTTGGCTATGGTGCAGCTGCTGGTGGGTTGTTTGGCGGAGGCAGAGGTGGATTTCTGGGTGGGTTTGGGTTTCCTCCCGGAGGTGGTGGTGGTGGTGGATTCACTCCAAGACTGCCTGTTCCAGATCCAGTAGAACCCATTGGTGATATCGGTGAAGGTGGTGTGGGATTTGTAGGGGATGAGTGTGGTGATGGTACGAGTGGAGGTGGAGATCGACGTGTGTAGTATTGATAGAGTGGTGCAGAGAATTCAAATGAAGACGTGGTGTGTGAACAATAGTGTCTTGTACCAGGCGCACGACCCTGTTCTGGTACTTAGATGAGTATAGATCCGAGGTAAAGGTACTCCTTCAAAGTGTTCCGGCCAATTGCTGATCCGGACACACGAGGTAGGTAGATATAGTAACTACGTAAAATGGTTTGGCCTTTGAAGGCACAAAAAGAGAAATTGATCTCTGCGGTAGTTGTCTTTCGACGTGCGAGAAGATCAAGAAATACCAGCGAGGTTTGAAACCTCCTGCCGTACACTCAGTCGTTTAGGTCTGAGCAGGGTAAATTCTGGTAGGTTTTTTCAACAGCCCCTCTGTCAAGAAGGTTGCAGCACCGCCTACTTCCTGGTTGCTTCAAGAGCGGACTACCAGGTGAGAGTAATGGTTTATGTACAAAGGGAATACAAGGGTTGCAATCTACAGTTGTAGTCGCGTGATTACCCAGGTGGAGGAATGGAGTGCGATATGAAAAGTAACTAGGAATGTGGAATTCAGATCCCTCTGAATGAGGTCTTGAGCGAGTAAGAGTAAAGCAGAGTGGGATGAGGAATGAGGTGGTTGCCGTCGAGTACAACAGACTTTGAGTGAGGTGAAGTGTGGGTGGAGGACGAGGCAATGCCTGTCGAGAGAGTGCGAAGGGGCAAGTTTCGAATTATGATAGGACTCAAATCAATTTAGAAATGAGCAGGTAAAACCATTCGAAACTTGGAGTTAATCTGAAGTTCGTCTGGCGTATATATACAACTATTATCTAAATACATGCGGTATCAATGTGTTCGTATATCCTTATGGTATCGGTCAGGTTCGAGCATGGATCAATGAGTGTGTTTGGGTAGGTTTTAATAAGTGGTTACAAATGAATAATGTGAGGGAAAGGTGTGTCCGTAGATCCGAAATGAATGTGATCGTAACAATAAGGATGCATCCAAAGCAACAGTCAATTTGCCCCAGTCGACCGCATGCTTGTCATGTTCGTGAACTTCTTCAGATACACATCGACTTTCCTTTGGATTCTTTCTTCACTATCACGTAGAGGAACTTGCTTATGAGCGTCAGAGAAGATCAAAGGTCAAAATCCGAAATCTCACAACACCAGAAGACACAGTCATATAAAGGTTCTAAAATAGATAAAACACGTTAGTAGCATCTTCGTCAGTGCTTAATTGGGATGCAGAGTCGCAATTCAAGCTCAGATTTCAAGATTCATGACGACATATAACAGAAATTCTATGAGAGAACGAGCCATCTGCAGCGAAAATGGTGACTCGTCGGTAAGTATACGGCACACGGAGAAGACATTGAGCAGAAGCTACGAACTAAATGGTACTGGAGTACATGATTAGAGTAATTTGATTGGGTCTGTATGTATTCTCTTGCATTGTTGCTGCTGCGAAGACAGAATTAAAGTGAGTACTGCCAGAGACGAGACAACGACGAAATCGTTGAACAACTCAAGACGATCTCAAGATGGTCGGCATCTCGGCACGTCGGTGTCTCGACTCGTCTCCTTCGAATCCTTTATCCGTTCTCTCGCTGCACTTTCGATTTCGATTTCTCATGAAGATGTCGCTCGTTGTTACGCACCACCCTCTGTTCATGTTATAAAAGGTACCCAGATAGCTCTCCAAAATGCAGTATGCCCTGACATCGAGAGCTCTCGATCCTCGGACTATCGACCGCACACCAAGCACATTGTTTGGTTCTTCGAACACCCATACACCGGCAGACGAAATTTTCGATCTCTTCTGATACTTTCCAACGCATTTCTTTCGGGCTCGCTTCATATCTACGCTCGTGTTCCGAAGAACAATCAAAGAAGAGACCGTCTCATGAGTTGCTGGACTGCCTAATTGCGATGTCCATTTCCCAACATGACCATCTTATCCTCCTGGCCGATAATAGGGATGGCAGGTCATAGGAAGAAGCGGTTTACTGCTAGTGATTTTGGGACAACCTTTATCCTGTCAAGTTATGTTGAGGTCATGAATTTCTGCATATTCCACAACTCTAGTTTGGGCCACAATCTTACCTCGCCTCATGATATACTGTCGAGATGCCCTATGTCCGGGGAAATGGGTGTCGACATTCCTGGCCTTCTGTCATCAGTCGGCTTTGGAGAGTAGTCGGGGTCCCGGTCATCCTTTAATCTTCGAACACACGTTTCTCAAGGATGTCCTTTCCTACATTTGGAATTAAAGTTACCCTCCTTTCGTCCGACTCGCCATGTGATGTGTTCACTTACTTTTCACACATGGGAGGTACCAAGAGGCACCATCACTCAAGTTTGGATAGGCGCATTTCGATCAAAGCATATCTCTATGCAATGCCAGAATGCCGACCTTTCCAAGCAAAAAAGACTCACACTCGTTCAAAGTTCAAACGCTTCTTGTAGAGGTTCCGGACACATCGAATGCCCCTTGAGGATCGTCCTTCTCCGCTTTGTGGCCATTCGCCGTCACTTTCCATACATCTACCTCTTCCATAAGTGAACCCGAACAGATTCTCTCCGAGCTTACCCCTCTGGCCCCTACCCCCCCCCCTCCCGCTGGCTTCAACCTCTTCCTACAGTCCCTGAAGGTTGTCTACCCTTGTTCGCTATGTCAAGCTCTCCCACTTCCACCGAGGCTGCTGGTCTAGTGAAGCCAACTCCTAAGTCATCAGGCATTCGTTCACGCAAAGTCCTATTTGCAGTCGGTACTCTTGTGGTCATCCTGGGTTTGGGCCTTGGGCTTGGGCTTGGGCTCGGTCTGAAACATAGACATTCTCAGTTTCAAGAGGTTTCCTCCTCGTCCAACTCCACACCTTCCTTGATTGATAGTCCGCAAAGTAACTTCGTACTCAACGGTCTGCAGGGACAAGCCCCGCAAACCCGCACATTCTTTTTCACTTTAACGGAACAGGTAGGTGCTCCTGATGGAGTATCTAAACGCATGCTCGTCGTTAACGGTATGTTACATGAATGCTGCCAAGTGGCGTAAACTGATATCTTTGTAGACATGTTTCCCGGACCAACAATTGAAGCAAACCAGGGCGATCGACTAATCGTCAATGTCACAAATCACCTTGAAAATGCTACGTAAGTCCTCTCCACTTCATCTATATGTCTCGCATCTAACATCAGTTGTGATAGAACAATACATTGGCATGGCCTTGTTTGTATCTTGTCCTTCTGGCTCTCATGCTGTAGATACCGACATTCGGTTCTCTAGTTCCAAAATCAAACCAACTTCTACGACGGGACGTCTGCCATTACCGAGTGTGGTATACCGCCTGGTCAATCCCTTGTATACAAGTGCGTTACTAGCGTCCTTTATTTACCAGAAAGGAAAAGGAAAGACGTTCTGATCGTCTCACGCTTTTTAGTTTCACGTTCGGAGAATTTTCTGGAACTACTTGGTGGCAGTAAGTTCCAAATGTCTTTATGGATCGAGTTCACACTCACCAAATGACTAATTAATAGCGCTCGTACGTAGTCACTTCTCATCTCATGTTGTCATACCCTCATGATCGTCGGTCGTACTGTTCGTAGACTGTAAGTGTCACTTTTGGCCCCCGGTGCTGACATGACGGCGTATCTCACGTCACGTCCCCTGAATCTAAATAGACTCAACGCAGTACACCGACGGTATCACCGGCGCTCTGATAGTGTACCCTAGCGATCCAGCACCCAGAGGGTTCCCGACATGGGATCAAGACCTAGTCGTGCAAGTAAACGATTTGTATCATACATTCAGCAGTGTGTTGCTTGCTGCATACTTATCGGTAAGTAGAGAATGACGGAAGCTGTTGCGGAGCTGATGGAGGTCCTTGAACTAGCCATTCGGTATTGACGGAACACCGGGAGACGAACCTGTCGCTGATGGTGGAGTGTGTCCGGCTCGTTCTTCTCGATCTGATGAAATCTGACCTTGGTTACTTAGACATTAAATGGACTCGGTCAATGGGGCGGAACTGGGAACTACTTCAATGTAAGTTTCCGTAGTATACGTAGCCTAAATCCTTCCTTAAGTTATCGTAGTTCACCGTCGAGCCAAACAAGACGTATCGCATCCGCCTCATCAATACGGGTTCCTTTGCGTCCATCCGATTCTCCATCGACAATCACCCCCTAACCATCATCGAAGCCGACGGAACACTAGTTAAACCGTACAACGTTTCGGGGCTCACCATCGCCGTCGCACAACGATATTCTGTCCTCATACGTACTAATGGGACGCGGAAAGACGGAACATATTGGATGAGAAGTCAGGTCCAGACGGACATGTTCACGTATGATGTTCCGGGTCAGAATACTGACATAAGGGGTGTTTTGAGGTACGCGTTCAGTTGCATACTGGTGCAAATACGGAATCGCTCAATTTTCTCGATGATTAGATACTCAAATGCTCAGAATGCGCCCGCGCTGCCTACGGCCACTGACGATCCTGGACCTGGCAAGAAACTGGCGGATATGGATGATTCACTCCTCATCCCTGCTGTCATTGATACCCCACCAAATAATACCCGGTACGCCTCGTGGTGCCATCCGCCTATTCACAACTTCTAACTTCAACATCGAGAATAGACGATACCCTATCACTGTTGCACTTGAAAATACTAACGATGGTCGTTTCCTCGCATTTATCAACCGGACGGTACATCCCAGATTCACCGTCTTTCTGTTGTGTAGCATTCTGAAATTTTGACGTTTAGAGCTGGGAACCACTGACGGGTACCTCTACTCTCCTCGCTGTACATAACGCTGGTGGTTCATCGTACGCACCGAATGGCGGCAGTTTGCAGGATTCGAGTCAATTCTTGATTACGGAAAATTCCATTCAGACCGTTGATTTACTTATCGTAAGAACTTATGTACTGCGCTCTCGCTTTCTCTGACGTGCATTCGATGTAGAATAACTTGGACGATGGTGATCATCCCTTTCACCTTCATGGACATCGCCCTTGGATGTAAGCTTTATCTCTCACCTCGCGTCCAGCATTGCAGGTCTGACTCGCCGATAGTATGGGTACTGGTTCTGGGCGCTATATTGGACAACCTCTGAATACGAAGAGCCCCCTCAGGTGTGTTATGTTTTCTTTCCATTTTATTTACTGTTAACTCGGTTGTTATCATGTGTTCTAGACGAGATACTGTTCTCATCCCTGCGTACAGTTGGATGATCCTGCGTTTCATTACCGACAATCGTGAGTCATGTTTTCCCTTACATCTTCCTCCACATACTAAAGACAGATCTCTCAAAGCTGGCGTATGGGCTTTCCACTGTCGTAAGTATCAACATTGTGCATCACCATTTTCGTAAGACTAATAGAATCTGTACGTGTTCGCAGATATCGCATGGCATATGGCCGCTGGTCTACTCATGCAGATCAACAGTTTACCCTCCGTTGCCGCCAACCTCACGATTCCTCAGCCTATTATACACCAATGTAGCTCGTAATCGACACTGTTGGTGCAACCCTATCCACATTCAGGCTGTTTCCCGATGTACCAGAGATTTTTGCCCCTGGCGTAGTGGACTTAGATGAGTTCATATTGTACTGCAGTCGTTCTACACTGTTTTCTTCTCTCGTGTGACTCTGAAATAAGTATGATATGGAGGAATACACTGAGAATGGACCAAGGTCATTTTTTAGCTCCAATAAAGTAAGAAGTGCTTGGCGCTAACATTTGGTAAGTTATACATGGATCACTATCTTCCAGCTATTGGAGGCTAAAATCTGAACACATGGGTCTTTCATTGAAAGCCAGTGTGGCGGAATGGTAATGGGCATGCATTGATAAAGAAACAATAGTATAGGCTCCTGCAAAATGCAGTGATGAGAATCTGAATGTGACCTACTTACCCTTGTGAATTGTGCAGTGTAAGTGGGGTAGAAGACTGATGTGTACCAAGATGAAATATGGTAGCATGAGGAGAGTGGTCCCCGACAACTCTCGATGGGGTGAAGTCCTACTCATGACAATAGAAGGGTTTTAGTTTAGTGCTTGAGGAGAGTACTGTAGAGTATGGGCAAAGAAATTGTAGACCGTATGCTCCTTCGAGAGTCAGTAGACTGTACCACTGCCTAAGTCTAGTGCATTTGAGATGTCACACTTCCAAGTCCTAATTCTTTCCATCTCTGATAATGCAACAAGTTCTCCAACACACTCCTTCAGATGTTCAATGTACAAGAAGTACAGTTAAAGAGGTTCGAGTTCAAAAGAATGTGTAGCAACTAACTTCTCACCCACTGCATAGCTCTCGACCATCCCAACCACAGGTATGGCAGTCTCAACTTGAGGATCACCCTTGACAAGGTCAAGTCTATCTCTCAGAAACCAGGCAGTGAACCTCTCTATAACAACCTCTTTTTCTTCCTTTGTCTTGAATGTGATTTGACACACTTCTCAACAAGAGCCCTTAGGTACAAAGCCTCTTGAGACTGGCATAAAGAGAATCTCGAAATGATTGTTGATGATACGAGGAAGACCTAACCTCATCAAAAGATCAGCCAGTGCATAGAAGTTTGAATGTGATGCATATTAGAATAAGAGAATGAGAAATATAACAAGCTGAGAGAAAATATCCTATCAAGAGTAAATCATTGTCAAAGCCACCTCATATCTGTAGTTGCAAATAGAGGTTCAATATTAGTCCATAATTATAGAGGAGAAAGTCTCTGCCCTCTCTCGAAGTCCAAACTATCCTTTTGTAAGCTATCAAACTCCCTGTATCTCGATTGTGCCATCATAAAAACTTCCTCCCCAAACCAGATCCAACCCAATCCTACTTCCCTGATTTATCTCAGATCCCAATTTCATCGACCTTTCCTAACCATCAAGTAGCTTGGCACCCTGAACCCTTGTTCAGCCATAACTATGTAGCTCTCGACTGGATGCTCATTCTTCATCCTTGCCCAAGATCAGCGGGATCTCAACTTGGAATACGGAATCCTCATTTCTCAGCTGAGCTCTGTCCTTTCCTATCGAGACCATACCTCTGCTGCCTTGTTCCAGTCTGTACCTCCTTGATAACCCCCAAATACTGTATATCACAGTACAATCCTCTTAGACAGTATGCATCTTCTCTGCCTGATTCGAGATCTGAACAGACTCTCGAATGGCTATGTGTTACTATGAGACTATTGTTCTTGGATCTCGCAAATATCCCTAATAACCAAGATTCCCTTGAATGGGTTGCATGAGTCACTTAGATTCGAGCCTATACTGTAAGAGTCCATCTTATATGACATTGATGACAGAGAAATGATAAAGTCTCAATAGAAACTGGTTCAGGCTTGTTATAATGAGATTCGTACAAATAGAAATAGTCTTCCTCAAGTATTTGATAAGTCTGTTCTCTCATAGACTATGGTGATCATTGAAAATTTGTGTCTTACAAGTGGTATAAATAATGATCCAGTTAAGAGAAGTGCCTTTGGTTTTCATTATCTCGATTGATATTCGCAAGGTGGACCATTGCCTATTGAGTGAAGCTGCTGTTGAGACTTGAGATAAATTGAGACTGAATCAGGATAGATCTTCATGTAATGTGATACTTGGCTGCAATGAGTGAGGCACAACAATTCGCAAACTTGGGAGGACAATCTCCTTGAGAATCATATCACATGGCTGAGGACCTTATTTCATTGCATACTGTGTTGAACAACAAGTTGGTCGAGATGGATAAATTATTGAGACATTATACGAAGTTGAATCAGAGGATTGCAATATTGAGGGAGAGAGTGATATAGATTGATATGAGTACTACTGTATTCAGAGGACTGCCACTCATGTGACTTGCAACTGACATTGTCAGGGTCATTAGGTAATAAAGCAGAGTTTCCAGATCTGAGAGTATGGTGTGAAGGATGTATTTTGTCTGTTGATGGTCTATCGAGACTTGAATCTGGCTCAGTGCCCAGTTGTACTTAGTGTCCAGCATATAGAGTATACCATGTCTTCAGCATGTCCTATATGAGTTCAGTAGAAATATTCTAAACTATTCCTCCCTTTCTTTCACTATATAAATGTCTTAAATCTTGCTGCGAAGGACCTTGAGTTAAGTCAAGATGTCTTGAGAGGCTGGTAGGAAATCTTGAGGGTTGTCAAGATACATTGTTTGTTGGTCTTTTGGTATAGTTTTGAATGAGAAGAATATAAGAAAAATGCGAGAGAATAAAATAGGAAATGGAAAAAGAGATAGATAGATAATAGAGATGGATGATGTAGGAGTCGAGAGATAGTATATAAGATGAAATATTGTCGAGCCTTTTGTTGGAATATAGTTGAGAGTAAGATAGAATAGAACAGGTTGACTATGTTTGTTAAAATGAGTAGAGAATAGAGAAATGAAATAGTTGAGAGAAGAAATAGAGTTGTCAAGATTGATAGAAGATGAAACTTGAAGCAGTGTGTATCTTAAGTATCTTGAGTTGCAGTGTGTGTTGGATTGGCCCTTTGTAGGGTGTGCACCATGTGCATACCTTACAGTAGTCAACTAGTCATGCATGCATCAATATTTACAGGGCACAACATTGTAGCTACAATTGCAAGATACTGTATATAGCTTCTATTTTTAGCTAAAGATGCTAGATGCTCTATGACAAATTAACAAACTTATAAAAGAGCATCTTTGACCTCATGAGCACTCTGTCAAGAACAATCACTTCTCTTTATGTCTGTTAATAGTTTACATAGGTATATAGACATGCTGCCTAAGAAAATGCCCAAAGATTCTCCATATCTTTTCAACTACCATCTCATTATTCCTCTGCACCAGTCATCATCCAATGTCTAGATGACCAGGTAATTGTAGACTATTTCTCAGTAGAAATTGCAGATTTAGTAATAGATGTAAGTACTCTTATAAATCTAGTGAAGCTAGTTATTCTGGCCCATTCAATTATTCAAATTGATCTCCAATATCACCTGCATTCTTAGCAGCCCCAAGAGTATTAAATGCACCTCCTCAAGTATACAACTTCTTCAGAAATAATGAAAGTTGCTTAAGGAGCTTTGATTACTTCTTTTACCACTAATGCAAATCCTCTAAGGATACACCTCAAGCTGCATCAATATCTATGCAAGATAGCAATATTTAAAGTTCAGATTTCTTTTTAATAAACAGATTGGCCATAAATAATGGCATCATTTAGAAAGAGCATTTCAATCTTAATCCAAGTGAAGCTCATAATCATATCAAAGCCCCAAAGATTCAAGAATTTGTCCATATTTTAGCTAGTGTCAATAACTGCAATAAGACTTAAATAAGTTATCTTATACCTATTAATAATATAATAGTTCATTCCTGATACAATCTATAGAATACTGAGACTGCTCAGATAAGCATATTGGTAGTAAAGCATTCTCTCTGACTCAACTTTCCTTGATAGTCATTTCTTACTATAATTGTAGATATAAGATAATTTTTAGTTCTATAATTTATATTTTCTAATATATGTATATCATAATAGAGCAACATTCTACTTTGAATCAGTGATGTTCTTATATTTACATATATCAGTTCTCAAATTGGCAATAGCAATAGTGTCTTATTATTTTAGAGAGGTTATTTTCTAATTCTATAAGTATGTTCTCTAGATAATTTAACTATACTCTATCTGAAACTTTGATATAGTTTTTGGTGTCTGATCTGATTCTTAAAACTACATTGAATATAAACATTCAGTATGTTTTCACTTTTTTGTATATGTAATAGTCAATCTAATTTACCAAATTTTAGCTATCTCTACACTGTCATTGTGAATAGTTTTGATACTGTACATGCTACAGTTCAAAGGTGTGTTGGTGCAATGATCAATATAAGAATGTGAAAAGATATCACTTCAAATCTGACACTGATACTTCAAATAATTTAGATGGCATAACTATATTCAAAACACTATCTATGATTTTATTTCAATGAGTTTAGATACAATCAATGTTTTTGAATTTTTAGCTTAGGTTGCATCTAGGTTTATCAACTGCTTTAAGAATGCTATCTACAATAACCCCAATCTGATGCAACTAATTAATAATCTTGCTACTTGATTCAATAAATGGACTCTAGGTGTTTGTATCAATTCTTCAATCTTTGCAGATACTACTATTAATGCAACAATTTGATGACTATCTATAGATCATATTTGAGAGGATATCAGCAAACTGCAGATAATTATATAATATGAAGTGAGATCAAGCAAGAGTATTAAGACAAGTATATCTCAATTGAGACTCACTATTGAGCAGAGACATCAAGCATAAGCTGTCTATCTTGCTATAATATATAATTCTCTCAGCACACTCCACTCAGAAGATTGAAGATATAACAATAACTATATATATATATATCTTGCAAATTCATATAGCACTCACACAGTCTGAGCTTCTATGTCTTATTAATTCCTATCTTCTCATATTTCTTTCTAATGCTACTTATTATGAGCTGCTACACTCAATAGAATATTATCTTAATATTTAGTTTAGACTTTTATGAGAAGAGTTAATGTATATACAGGCTTATTATTATAGGCAAATATATATTAATAATAGTCACCTCTATAGCATCCTTATTTAGTTATCTATTATTATTATAAATAATAACCTAACTATTATAATGAAGCTAAAGAGGCATAATC